ATTAAACACAAAAATTAAAAAGACGAAATTAAAATCTCAAATAATATATATAAAGATTGGATTAAAGTCTCTAAGAATGTTTCTTTTTAAATATATAAACTTTATTTATTTAACAACAATTATGAAACAAGTGATTCAACTTGTATTAATCACTCTTGTTGGCCCGGATGTTAGCGCATGGCGGTCTTAGTGTTTCTTTATCAGTTATTGAATAATTTACCATATTATCATAATAATTTTATGAATTATTAACACCCGTGTATTTTTAACGAAATTTTGATAGAAAAAAATCGCTATTCAGCTTATTATTTCTGGTTTACGTTTTTAGTTACTTCAAATACAAATTTTGGTTTAAGCAAACATATGTTTCAGTGACTATCACAAAGGTTATTATTTGACAGTTGTAATGAATGGTTCAAGTGGTTTATTGATACAAGTACCTATAATTATCGTAAATTGATTAACAACTTGCATTGTCCCTACATACATAGATCTGGAAACAACCTGATTTACTGTTTCACAAAAGGGAGATCATGACCCCAAGTTGTGTGTTGTGAAATAATTTCACACCTTATCTCAATCTGTGATTTAATCCTCTCACCTGAAGACCATAATGGAATAATCCAGATCAAAGCATGGTAGAGTTTACTAAAGATACCTGGGGGTTATAGTGTTAAGACTTGGTCAGGTGCTAGTGACAGAGTTAAATTATGTCAAGGATCCTCATACCACTGCCAAAAACTGGAACTATATTACCATACCACTGCCAAAAGCTGGAACTATATTACCGTACCACTGCCAAAAACTAGAACTACATTACCGTACCACTGCCAAAAAATGGAACCATATTAACGTACCACTGCCAAAAACTGGAACTATATTACCGTAACACTACCAAAAACTGGAACTACATTACCGTACCACTGCCAAAAACTGGAACTTTATTACCGTACCACTGCCAAAAACTGGAACTATATTAACGTACCACTGCCAAAAACTGGAACTACATTACCGTATCACTGCCAAAAACTGGAACTATATTACCGTACCACTGCCAAAACTGGAACTATATTAACGTACCACTGCCAAAAACTAGAACTACATTACCGTACCACTGCCAAAAACTGGAACCATATTAACGTACCACTGCCAAAAACTGGAACTATATTAACGTACCACTGCCAAAAACTGGAACTATATTAACGTACCACTGCCAAAAACTGGAACTATATTACCGTAACACTGCCAAAAACTGGAACTATATTAACGTACCACTGCCAAAAACTGGAACTATATTACCGTAACACTGCCAAAAACTGGAACTACATTACCGTACCACTGCCAAAAACTGGAGCTATATTACTGTACCACTGCCAAAAACTGGAACTACATTACCGTACCACTGCCAAAAACTGGAACTATATTACCGTATCACTGCCAAAAACTTGAACTATATTACCGTACCACTGCCAAAAACTGGAACTATATTACTGTACCACTGCCAAAAACTCGAACTATATTACCGTACCACTGCCAAAAACTGGAACTATATTAACATACCACTGCCAAAAACTGGAGCTATATTACCGTGACACTGCCAAAATCTGGAACTATATTACAGTACCACTGCCAAAAACTGCAACTATATTACTGTACCACTGCCAAAAACTCGAACTATATCACCGTACCACTGCCAAAAACTGGAACTATATTACAGTACCACTGCCAAAAACTGGAACTATATCACCGTACCACTGCCAAAAACTGGAACTATATTACCGTGACACTGCCAAAAACTGGAACTTTATTACCGGCATGATTTAATTTAATAGCTTTGATAAATCACTCTGAAAAAAAACCCATATCCTGTGGAACATTTTTGAAAAAATAACAAAAATGAAAATAAAGAAAAAATCAACAAACAGTTACACTCTGAGTGTATACAACAGTACCAGTCAACCAACCACTCGGACCAGGATTTAAACCCTGTACCTCCGGGCCAAAAACTATCGTCTGTGATCTTACCAACTGAGATACCCAGTACTTGGACCCAGGGTCATGCTACAGTTATATCTATAATGAAATTAAGGGGAGCTAGGCTACTCTATGTATGAAAAACTACTGTTTAAAAATTTCTATTTCATCGATCACTTGATCATTCATGGGAGAACAATTTACTTTTACAACAATGTGAGCGGTTAGGTGGGGCATTTTGAGAGCACACCAGTGCCTTTCACATGAGGTCCATGGTTCAATTCCTTGGTCAGACAAGGAGAGCTACATATAGTCACTTGCCTAACTACCAACAGTATAATCAAAGTGTTTGAAACTGTTCAATAACTCAAATTATAGCCCATTGCATTCAGGGTCAAAGACTTTAATCCTGTCAGACACTCTGGTGTGACCTTGTCAGACTGACTATTTTTAAAGAAAAGAAAAGTTGCTTAATGGGTGAGAACAGTGAATAAAGACCAAAGCCAAAATAAGAATTGTAAGTTTTTCCACTTTCATCTCTATGAAATATATAAGGATGGGTAGGCAAGCAAAAGGTTACTAATATATTTACAGGAATAAAATATGAAAACAATAATTTCAGACATTGACAGTGCACATTAAAATTAATTATACTCTGTAAATTTCTCTGTATGACAGTTAGTAATAGGAACCTGAGGAATGGTCAAACTTTCTCAACGAATAGGTAAAGATGACCATGACATTGACAATGTTGTGCTGGGTTTCACTGCTTTTACTCTTTCATCCCTAGGTAACTTGAGTAGACTCTACCATACATAATTCATGGATGACTCCATTAAGGTCTAGAGTGGTGAAAGGGTTAATCAAAATTATGTTGACTAGTTTCAACACATTAGATATGTGTGGACCATGTGTCGTCATCAGAATGGTTCTGATGACGACACATCTTATGAGTTGAAACTAGTCAACGTAATTTTTATTAACTCAATCACCCCTGAAATTTCATAATGAACTATTCCAACCTTTGAATTGGAAGAGTTCAAATGTGTCTAAAGGGAAGAATGAGTTTAAGCCATTTAACCCAGCACAATGTTGTCATGGTCATCTTTACCTTTTGATCACTGACCACTACTACTACTACTACTATGACGGGCAGTTGTCAACTTACAAGTTGACACAGCAGCTGTTTAACTAATTCACCCCTGAAAACACATTTGGACTCTTCCTTTTCAAAGGTTGTAACAGTTCATTATGAAATTTCAGTGGTGAATGAGTTTAAATTACTTTATTATGTTGATCTTAACAGCTTTATCTTGTCTTGATATATACACAACAATTTGAGTACAGTGTCGAGACGTACATTAGTGCTGTGAAATTAGTAAGGTATGGTTATTGTTATCAGTGGATTATAGCATTCATGGAGATTTCTGGTCATAATCTGTCTGATCCAATAGAATGTGACTCATCTAAAAATAAATACACACAACATATAACTGGACAAGGTGGTCCTGTGAACTACTTTCATGATCATTTTTTACAGTCTAAATATGTGATATACCTTTTCTGACTATACCTTTTCAATTCACATTTCGGTGTGAAGAGAACATAGCAAGAAGCCCCTATAATTACATAAAATATATAACTTGATAATTTTACTACCGGTATATATGATTTTAGTGGTTTTGCATGGCCACATCCATCTTGATTTTATGCTTCTCCACAAAAAGTAAAAAAAGAAACATCAGATAACATGCTTTTGTTTAAAAATAAAGATTGATGTTATTAGTCTGGTAAACCATTTTATGACCTTAATGTCTTAATTATTATTGACTATGTAGGGGCTATTTAGTCAAGTGACAACCTGAAAATCAAGTTGATACTGAAAATATATATCTCCTAACAAAAGTTTACATTAAGTTGATAATGACATGACCTGACGCCAACGTCCAGTGTGGTCAGTTTCATCTTTTGGGAAAGCCTGCGATAAAAATAGCTACGACAGAAATAGCGCAATATCCGGGCCTTTCAGTGAGTCAAGTAAACGTGTACAGCACTACGCCGTTGACCCGACAACACAGTACCAGTTACAAGTCTGAGTTCACACAAAACGCATTCATGAATTTACACAATACATCGCAAGTAAGAATTATAAATATCATAATATATACCTCTAATCAGATATTTCTGTTCATATTTGGATTTGAATGAAAATGAACAGGTTCAATAAGAGCATGCACACACTGAGAAGGTGTGGCAGGGAGAATTTCAAATCGCAGAAAGTACGATATCAATAGATTACCTGATCACTTATAACGATGCTTGAGATTAAGATGATGTTGGAAGATGGGGGTTTTTTTCAGGATAAATGCATGAAATTCACAGACAGCTGCCGCTAAAACGTACGGCTGTACAGTTAAGGATTTATCCATTACTGAATAAAAACACCAAGAAAACATTGTCTCTTGTCAATTTCTCGACATGAATTGTTCTTAAGGAGTATCAAACTATATAATCATGGAGAAATTTGTGACAGCATTATAAAAAACTTACTTCAATAAATTATCCCTTTAATCAACATTGCTATGTACCATTTTAATAACTAAAGTCAAGATCTATATATCTGAATTTCGATGTTAAATTGGGATCTCTGAATATGAATTGCTAGGGAGTATATATTTCGGGTGACTATAGAGGGCTATTTGAAAGTGTCAATGAGGACAACCCTTGGGGGGGGGGGTTCTAAATAAACACTGTTACCTACAACTTGTTTATTTCGCTGACCTTTTTAAAACACCATCGTGAGTAGTCTTCAGCCAATTGTCATTAAATATTAATGCATGATAAACAACTACATATATTGTCATGGTTTTCAAATAACTGTATAACGTAATGTATACATCTGTACATGTAAACACATGTAGGGTACGAATTCGAACGCCTCAGGCGATATAAACAACAATGTCATGCATGAATCATTAAATCAATAAACTGTATATAATTCATCGAATATGTGAAGGAATACGTACCATTCGAAGTTGCTGCAACTTACATCATACTGTCGAATTTAAAATCCCATGACAAATCCAACAGACTGTTAGGTAGGTAGTGCCTATCAGATTGTCTACCGGAGCAGACACCTGTCAGATTTCAAGCTTTCTTGTAACTGTTGAAAACATTTAATCTTGGTGGTTGAAACGTTTTTTTAAAGATGTCAGCAAAGGGCTTGACAGCTACGCAAGAACAACAAAGCTTTTGATTGAGTCAGATTTAGAGCGGCTATGGCGGACCTGTATGAGCCTGATCTCGGTGCAGCGTATTATCGCTCTAATGACCCCGTTAAAAATCTCAATATCAGGTAATCAGCACTTTAGAGAATTCTTCATTACTCCATCACTAATTGGTATAAAAAAATGTAAGAGATGCTTCTATTCTGGTTTATATCGGTGATGTTCAACCATTGTTTACATTGGCTACCATTTTTGATACAGTAGACGTGCAGCTATTTTTCGGAACAGACAAAAAACTGCTGATTCTTCTTCTTTTGTATCTTTATTTTCAAAGTCCCGTTGCCTTTTCGGTGTTTCTCTTTCACCAACTGATGAGAGTGTATGTGTTAAATAAATCGTAGTTTTTCCAGTGTCTGCCCTGCCTATTTTTGAGGGCAGTTCACCTTTCTCTTTACCCTAAATTCCTTCAAAATAATCTATGCAGTGTAGTGAATAAGCTAAAGAGAAATTTCCTCTAGGAAAGAACTTAATTTGTCTCAAGTTTTCCAGGTGTCATATATATATTTAGTAATTCTTGTGCAAGTATCGCTGAGTGTTTCTGTCAATATTTCCCGGTTACCTTTGTGGGAGCCAATGGTAATGTAACAGATATCAATGCCAATGACTGGTTTACCAGTCTTGCATTTACCCAAAGAGCTAAAGAGAAATTCTACCCAGCTGAGTCTGTAGGAGGCAGCTAGTATTTGGTAAAAGATGTGCAATGATTAGGTTGCCTTACAAGCGTCAGCTGTAGGGAAATTCCCTTTAGCTCAGGGCTGGAGAGCCAAGGGTTGTGGGTTCGAGCCCCAGCGATGGCACTATCATTATCACTATTCTTGTTAACTGCAAACTGGTGCTGTTGACCCTCTCCATTCAAGGTAGGAGAACCCTTGGCAAGGAGTCAAAGACTCTGGGTTGGTGTTAGAAAAAAAAGGTGTGGAATAGTGTAAAAAATGTGCATTGAATTTGATTGGGTTGCCTTACATGCTTCAGCTGTAGGGAGTTTCCTTTTAGCTCAGCGGTAGAGCACTGGGCTGGACAGCCAATGGTCACATGTTCGTGCCCTAGCGATGGCACTATCTTATCACTATTCTTCCTATTACAATTTTACCAAGGTGACATAACATTAAATTTGTTGTAATATCATTCACCAATGGTAAATTGATATTACACTATCATAAGTACAGGGTAGAGGTGAAACTGGTGTTGCATTCTCTGTTAAACCGGCAGATCATCAGACCCTGATATAGACACAGAGCAGCTCTATCAGTGTTAATCAGCCTCAGCCTGTCTGTCCAATGACCATTGTTTGCCTGATTAACCTACAGTAGCATGTCATCAGGTTAATTATCATGATAGCTCGAATGCTTTTGATAACTACCATTATCTGAAAGAAAGTTACAGAATTATGCCCCTTTATTCTATTGCTAAATCGGTGTCCGCTCAATGTCTCGAGAATGGAGTGAGTGTAATCACGATTATCTGACCATAATTGATAGAGTGATTCCCCTTGATTACATTAATACAAATAATACATGGATTCCATTGCACTCATTGATCAAGTTGAATTATTTTCCCTTTAACATCAATTACTCACAAATAATAAATGTTTCAATGATGCAAACAGCTGGTCAACGTATGATGGGCGTATTAATAATACAAATTCAAATGTACGTGTGCGAGACCACCTATGTGTGACTCGCTTATCAGACTGTTTTCTCAACGTCAATAGGTCATCCAATTAACTTGACCCCACTGTTCATTATTGTACAAGAATTATTACACCTTTTGCCATCTGAAGCTTGATAATTGACTTTACAACTTAGACAAAAGCATTAATTAACTCGCCGTCGTACAGCGCGCGCTGATCTGTGACGGCCCTGATTATGTTTACGCAATCAGTGTCAGCCACAATACACACGTGAGCTTATGTAGACGGATCATTTTCTGGGACAAAGATACAGAGTTTCCCTATTTTTAAAAACTTAGTAGTTAATTTAGTAGCCACATCAAATTTTTAGTAGCCAATAAAAAATAAAAGTAGCCAATGGCTACTTTGGCCACCGACAGCGTGAGCCCTGATTATGTACTGCTTCACGCTAACCTTTTTAATATATGAGTCGCTTTAATGTTCTTTAGTAAACGACATTCATTGTCAATATGAGAAAGGGGGATCTAACATCCGTGCAAAGAGTTCAGCGGAGTTCTGTGTTACCAGATGGATTCTACAAGGAATGCACGAGTCCGTCCGTAGTAGTAGAGTTATAAATAGATAAAGATGACCATGACAACGTCGTACAGGGTTTACCAGCTTTAATCATAATTACTTAGCAAATTTCAACAAAGTCGTACAGGGTTTACCAGCTTTGATCAAAATTATGTTAGCAAATTTCAACAATTGTACAGGGTTTACCAGCTTTAATCAAAATTACATTAGCAAATTTCAACAACGTCGTACAGGGTTTAAAAGCTTTAACCAAAATTATGTTAGCCAATTTCAACAATTGTACAGGGTTTACCAGCTTTAATCAAAATTACATTAGCAAATTTCAACAACGTCGTACAGGGTTTACCAGCTTTAATCAAAATTACATTAGCAAATTTCAACAACGTCGTACAGGCTTTACTGGCTTGAATCAAAAATATGTTAGCCAATTTCAACAACGTCGTACAGGGTTTACCAGCTTTAATCAAAATTACATTAGCAAATTTCAACAACGTCGTACAGGCTTTACTGGCTTGAATCAAAAATATGTTAGCCAATTTCAACAACGTCGTACAGGGTTTACCAGCTTTAATCAAAATTACATTAGCAAATTTCAACAACGTCGTACAGGGTTTAAAAGCTTTAACCAAAATTATGTTAGCAAATTTCAACAATTGTACAGGGTTTACCAGCTTTAATCATAATTACATTAGCAAAATTTCAACAACATCATACAGGGTTTACCAGCTTTAATCAAAATTTCATTAGCAAATTTCAACAACGTCGTACAGGGTTTACCAGCTTTAATCAAAATTACATTAGCAAATTTCAACAACGTCATACAGGGTTTACCAGCTTTAATCAAAATTACGTTAGCAAATTTCAACAACATCGTACAGGCTTTACTAGCTTGAATCAAAAATATGTTAGCCAATTTCAACAACCTCGTACAGGCTTTACCAGCTTGAATCAAAATTACGTTAGCAAATTTGAACAACGTCGTACAGGGTTTACCAGCTTTAATCATAATTACATTAGCAAATTTCAACAACATCATACAGGGTTTACCAGCTTTAATCAAATTTTTTTTAGCAAATTTCAACAATTGTACAGGGTTTACCAGCTTTAATCAAATTTTTTTTAGCAAATTTCAACAATTGTACAGGGTTTACCAGCTTTAATCAAATTTTTTTTAGCAAATTTCAACAATTGTACAGGGTTTACCAGCTTTAATCAAGATTTCATTAGCAAATTTCAACAACGTCATACAGGGTTTACCAGCTTTAGTCAAAATTTCATTAGCAAATTTCAACAATTGTACATGGTTTACCAGCTTTAATCAAAATTACGTTAGCAAATTTCAACAACGTCGTACAGGCTTTACTAGCTTGAATCAAAAATATGTTAGCAAATTTCAACAACCTCGTACAGGCTTTACCAGCTTGAATCAAAATTACGTTAGCAAATTTGAACAACGTCGTACAGGGTTTACCAGCTTTAATCATAATTACATTAGCAAATTTCAACAACATCATACAGGGTTTACCAGCTTTAATCAAATTTTTTTTAGCAAATTTCAACAATTGTACAGGGTTTACCAGCTTTAATCATAATTACATTAGCAAAATTTCAACAACATCATACAGGGTTTACCAGCTTTAATCAAAATTACATTAGCAAATTTCAACAACGTCGTACAGGGTTAATTACCAGCTTTAATCAAAATTATGTTAGCAAATTTCAACAATTGTACAGGGTTTACCAGCTTTAATCATAATTACATTAGCAAAATTTCAACCATCATACAGGGTTTACCAGCTTTAATCAAAATTACGTTAGCAAATTTCAACAACATCGTACAGTCTTTACTAGCTTGAATAAAAAATATGTTAGCCAATTTCAACAACGTCGTACAGGGTTTACCAGCTTTAATCAAAATTTCATCAGCAAATTTCAACAACGTCATACAGGGTTTACCAGCTTTAATCAAAATTACATTAGCAAATTTCAACAACGTTGTACAGGGTTTACCAGCTTTAATCAAAATTACGTTAGCAAATTTCAACAACATCGTACAGGCTTTACTAGCTTGAATAAAAAATATGTTAGCCAATTTCAACAACGTCGTACAGGGTTTACCAGCTTTAATCAAAATTTCATTAGCAAATTTCAACAACGTCATACAGGTTTTACCAGCTTTAATCAAAATTACGTTAGCAAATTTCAACAACGTCGTACAGGCTTTACCAGCTTTAATCAAAATTATGTTAGCAAATTTCAACAATGACGTACAGGTTTACCAGCTTGAATCAAAATTACGTTAGCAAATTTCAACACCTCACCGGCTTCATCAGTTGGTGCTGAAACTTAGTAAAGGTAATTTGTATTGAAGCCGTTTAACCCAACACAACTTTAATCTTGTCATGGCCATCTTTATTCATTGTCAATGTTTGTTGTGAAAATATCAGTCCCTGTCAATGTTTATTTTAAAAATATCATTCATAAGTTATTATCAAATATCAAAATGCTGAAGTTTGATATATAGATTAAATTTCTTTGAGATTAGTAATATATTTTTAGTGGTAATTAATAAATTATAAGTATTTAGCTGTTTTTGGTTGGCACCATTAATGTCATTTACTCTTTCAAGTTGGCATTTATATTGTCCATGAATGCTAACTCAAAGCAGTTAAATCATTTATGGAGGTTGCTCTGGGTCAGCAACAGGGTGGTGTTACTTGACAATTAACGTTTTGCCGTGTTTTGCAGAGAAAAATATTTGAATCAAACTAGATTATACAGCTTACTTTTCAAACTTACTATTTTTCAGTGTCAAGTTGGAAAGAGTGACTTCGTCTAGCATTGTACCTCAACAGGCAGATGAAAAAGAAGATCAAAATGTGGAAATGCAAAACATGTCTGATGAAGTTCAGAAAGATGAAGAAGAGAAAGTTTTTCATTGGCAGGAGAAAATTTTCTGTTTGGTAATTATTGATTTTATTTACTATTGGGTAGAGTATTGATTGACATAATTAAAGTGCTGAACTAGATTTTACTGGGTGTGAATCCCAGTATCAGTGAGCCTGTGTTTTAAAAATAAAATGAATTTATTTATTTTAAAAGAATGGTGAATAAGTTATGTTAATCTACATTAATGATCGCTCTCTTGGCCAGGAGTGTTTTAATGTGGTAGGAAACCAGAGCACCTGGAGAAAACCCACGTGGTCGGGCAGACATACCTTTTCACATCTGATTGGGGAAACGAACCCCGGCTGTCTTGGTGAAAGGCGAGTGCACTATCCATTGTACCACCCAATCACCATCCTCGATATCCAGGGGTTACACTCAAATTCACTCTCTGCACCCCTGGAATATGTCAAAGCAAAATTGAAGGCTCAGTGTGCGCCACCTTGTGGATGAGACGAGAAGACTAGTTTGGTCCTTTGATGTACATCAAAAGAATCTGTCTGTCGCGTAACGGCAAAATGAACTGGCTTTGAAGTTAGGTGTCGCTCCTCTGTAATCTTTAAAAGACAGGTATCAGCCTAGCGATTGGTCAGGGTTTTTCCCTAACACCAATCAAATAGCTAGCCACGTGCCTTCAATTTTGCTATGACATATTCCAGTTGCGCAAAGAGCGAAAGTGAACGTAACCCCTGGAGTATCGAGGATGCCCAACCACGCGAACAGCTGTGTCTTAATTCTCTGCAGACATTAAGGTAGTGTCAGCATACAGTGTTGCTGGTTTACAAGATAATCCCCCCTATATTAGAGACACACAAATTGCAGCCCAAAGTCTGGAGGGTGAACATTTCCATGACAGTTAATTTAATAAAAAAAAACATTTTTGCAATCTGGTTAAATGTGTGGTTAACGTATTGAAACAGTCAAGATGAAAGTTAGATTGTAAAATATGAATTTTCAAAACCTTTAAATCTCATGCCATTATTTTGTTGTGGGTTCATTATCGTAATTAGATTAACAAAATTATTTATAACCTGTTTTAACAAGTGGTAACAGTTGTTTTGGAGAATTCAATAATAGTATTGTGTTCTAAAAGGTTGCTTTAAACTCAGTTAATAAATTGATTTTGGAAACTGTCAATCTTGACACATTATTTCAGCATTTTAAGCAGCTTCAGTGAGTCTGCCTAGTAGTACTTTCGTTGATTTTATATTTTTTAGAAGAAAATTCCATTAGCTTGCAAATTGTCAACAATAAAATAAAAAATATTTTGTTTACTTTCAGAGGGAAGTTGATCTGTACAGTAATGAAGCCAACTGTGAAGGGGTGATGGAAAAGAAGTACCACAGAGATGTCACTGAAATTCTGTAAATATCTTGACCTTTTACCCCAGGGGGTTTCCAGGTCATTTTGGGAATAGTTGAGAAAAAATTGAAGCATTAAGGTGTTTTTTTCTGTGTATGTTTTTATAAATAAAGTGGATATTATGAAGTTATAATCATGGTTATTAGGTATTGAAGTAATTATAAGAATCAAAACCTCAAAAAAATTGATTTTTTCTTTATCGGACCGACTGATGCTTAATATCTATTGCACCTAATTCTGACATTAATTTATTTCATTTTATTTGATTTTTCAGTTTTATATAAGATTTTATTCATTATGATCTTGAATTCTATAAACGCTTTGAAACACTGTAAAAAACCTTTGACCTCTACATATTCCTCCCCATGTAAATATTACTATTTACCCTTATGTTGATGTGTATTTAACCTCTGAGCCCTGAAATATCACATTGATGTTCTTGAACCAGTTTGCACCATTTCACATCACTGATACCACGGTAGACGGATTTAAATGAAATGCATTATTTTATCGACTATAGTTACGTCAAGTTTTAAACTTACATTTATTACATCATTGTCTGAACATTTTCTGTGTCATTTTCGTAACAATGATATCAGACGACTGTGTAATGAAAAATCTATAGCAACGTATCAAGAGTTATCTCCCTTGTATTGACTTTTTTAAATGCACCTGTTTGAATTGATTTGTACATTTAAACATGTAAAGAATCTTCTGTGTTTATTTTCACAGGGATAAAGGAAAGCCTAACAACCGTCTGTTTTCATATGTAGACCATGACAAGTTTAGTCAACATGATGAGGTATGATTACTGAAATTCTGACTTACTCAGATATACCTGTCTCATCTGACCCCCTATGAGACACGAGATATTTTTTCAAATAAACCTGTTTAATCTGGCACCCTGTGGATACATCATGTTAACCTGTTTGATTTGAATCCCAGTGTGACCCAACAAACTGGACAGATTTGATTGTCTAATCTGACACCATCTTGGACTAAATATGTTGGTCAGATTAACCTTTATAATCTGACCCCCTGTGGGACACAATATTGATCAAATTGACCTGGCTAATTGGACACCCTGTGTGATACATACTGGTTTTTGTCATATTAACCTGTCTAATCTGACACATTGTGGTTAACAATGTATTGGTCATATCTAGACATGATGTCAGAATACACAAGTCTTATTTGGTATTTTTTTTTAAATAGGATACAAAATTGTGTTGGGTGTTAAAATACTCAGGGGTCAGATTAGACAGGTTTCACAGTGCAGTATAACCTAGTATTTTGAAAAGTTTTAACTTTTTAAACAAATCCCAGCTCAGACCTTTGATTTACTTTTCTCTGTGTGTCCACAGATGTCTGCAAATCCTTGCTATAGGAAAACATATTAAGACTTGTCCACACAAAAATTATAATTCCTTGAAAATCTTAATTAATGATAAACAACAGATGATTTCCAAAGGGAAAAAAAGAAGATAAAAATAAAGAACAAATGTAACTTCAGTCCCAATATTTCGGCCTCCTGGCTTTCTTCAAGGGCGAAAGTCAATGTTTGTTTCAAGTAACGTCCATCTTGCTTATTCAGAGGTACAGGGATAAGCAAGATTGACGTGATTTGAAACAACCGTTGACTTTCACCCTTGAAGGCCAGTAGGCTGAGATATTGGGACCTAGAGTGACATTTGTTCTAATTAATTCATATGAGGTCGGGTGGTTTGTTATATGAATACCCATTATTATTACATCGACATACACCCGGAATTACAAATTTTTTTCAGACGATTAAGTACTTAACTACTTCAGCCAATGAAAAGCCATCACTTCTGTCCGAGAAAATGGCCAATCTGCGGCGACGAAAAGTAGGCGGGGGCAAGAAAGAAGTAAACAGGTAACGCTGACATATATTGAGATTTTCGTAACTTAACCCAAGCTTTATTCAAACTGTAGTTTTATAAGAGAAATAGAGGATTTTTCTTGATACTACAGTTCGTATTTATTGTCTACCAAACTTCTCATGTCATGTATACGTAGTTCAGACAATATTAGTCAGTTCATACTGTGAAAAGTGGAAATTTTCATGGTGTGGAATGTTTTTCCATATTTTGCAAATATTAATTCATAGATAATAAATTAAAATTTATTATATAAAAACAAATTTCAAAAACCACGGCCAGCACAAAAATTTCCTCACTGCAATCAGTATATATAGAGTCACAATGCAATGTTATTCCCATATAAAAAAAAAAACATTTTTAAAGTATTCAACATATATTTACTTGTCATGCCTCATAATAACTTTCAATGAGTTTTCCCTCAAAACACAAACGAATCTTGTCACTGAAAATTTACTTATGAGGCATTTAGAAAGTTAAAGTACAAGGAAATTAATGTTTTTTAAATTATTTTTAGTACTTAATGTATACTGTTTACTGTGAAAAACTTTCACCTAGTCAAATATTTGCTCTTTGCCAATGAATTCCTTGTTCGCTCAGTGTAAAGGGGCCAAGTGATTTAGGCGTCTTAATTGACATTGTGCTACCACTAGCCCTCCACCACTGGGTCGCGGGTTCAAGGCTCACGTTGGGCAGTCGCCAGTTACTGGCCGTAGGTTGCTGGTTTTTCTCCGGGAACTCCGACTTTTCTCCACCACCGAAACCTGGCACATCCTTAAATGACTGTAGCTGTTAATAGGACGTATAACACAAATAAACCAAACCAAACTAAACACTCTGTGTAAACTTTCACCATTCATGTGAAGTTACTATGTATTGTATGTTGTATACTGATTATAATATAGCTGTCATAATAAATTCACTCTCATTGGGAAGAGCGAAAAAGGCAAAAATTAAACAGCAGCAAAAAATTCCTGGTATAAAGTTGTTAGAATTCGCAAAAGATTATATTTTATCTTTATTTGTAGTAACCAAAGACAATGCAGAAAATCAACCGCCCAATGAATATCAATACCATGAACTATAATCTCCAAGAATATTAAATGTTTTATAGACACCAAAGAAAAACTCTGTTTACCCTTTGTACTGCCGAAAAAATGAAATTTAAACATGATTAATTTTATATGATCCTTTGTATAAAGACCACCTGTCTATAATGGACTGTAATACCAGTTCACATTAACACATACCTAGCTTTATTTGAACCTCTGTGTTAAGACCACCTGTCTATAATGGACAGTAATACCAGTTCACATTAACACATACTTAGCTTTAATTGAACCTCTGTTTAAAGACCACCTGTCTTTAATGGACAGTAATACTAGTTCACATGTACACTTACTTAGCTTTAATTGAACCTCTGTATAAAGACCACCTCTCAACACATGTCAATAATAACATTTTTTTAGTTCCTCAATCAACTGTTTTATGAGTTTGAATGTGGTTTTGCATTGTAAAAAATATTTGTGGTTGGCAATGTTAAATATTTAATTTTAAATATTTGTGAATTAAAATTTATCAATAAAAATTATGTAAATGGTTTCCATGGTAACTAGACAAGAGCTTTGACCTTTGTACCTTTTCAGAAGAAACAACGCATTCAGGTAATGTTCCTTACTCGTGTATATCCCGTCAGCACCGATGGATTGTTCTCTGCCACATCTACATGTATCTCGAAAATTCTGTCTATGTTTGTTGGTTTGAATGGTCCTATGTTCTTTCCTTCTCTTGCACATTTTTTTGCACTGGTATTTTCTCTAGTTTGCAAACGTTTATTTGTTTATTTGTTTGAACAGTTCTACGTTCTCTCTTTCCATTTCACCGTGGGTTTTCTTTGCACCAGTATTTTCCCTACTTCTATAAGATTTCTCTGCTTAGTTGTTTGAACAGTTCTGTTCTCTCTTTCCGTTTCACCACTTTTTAGCTCACCTGGCCAAAAAGTCCAAGTGAGCTTATGCCGTGGTGCGGCGTCCGTCATCCACACGTCATCCGTCCGTTTTCAAGGTCACAGGGGTGGAATATGTTAAAATCTTTAAACAACTTCTTCTGAATAACCAGAAGGCCAAGGATGATGCTATTTGGCCAGTAGCATGCTTAAATGAAGGGCTATTAAGTTTGTTTAAATAAATTACCTTGACCTTTATTCAAGGTCACTGGGGTTGAATACGTTAAAATCTATAAACAACTTCTTCTGAATAATCAAAAGGCCAAGGCTGATGATACTTTGCCAGTAAGATGCTTGGATGAAAGGCTACCAATTTTGTTTAAATGAATGACCTTAACCTATATTAAAGGTCACAGTGGTCAAAAATGTTTAAAACCTATAAGTGACTTCTTCTGAATAACGAAAAGGCCCAGGATGATGATATGTGGCAAGTAACATATTGGGATAAAGGGCTACAAAGTCTTCAAAATGAATAACCTTGACTTATATTTCAAGGTCATAGGGGTCAAATATGTTTTAAACCTTTAAATATATTCTTCTGAATAACAAAAATGCCAAAAATGTTGATATTTGGCCAGTTACATGCTTGGACGAGGGGCTATTAAGGTTTTTTCATTTGAATCACCTTGACCAACAGTACAGGTCATATTTGCTCATATGTGTATATTCTTTTGCATGACCTACTCTCAATATACAAAAGGTCTAGGGTGGCTATATTTGGCAGGTTGTATGCTAAGATTCAGGGCTATAAAGATTGTTCAATGTAATTACCTCGTTCACCTTTAAGTCACAGGGGTCAAATGTGTTTAAATCTTTTAACAGGTTCTTTTAAATGATTTATAGTCATAAGTACTGATATTTTGCATGTAGCTTTATTTTAGTCCACTTTTAAGGTAACAAGTTTGAGATTAATACCAGGTGAGCGATGCAGGCCCATTGGGCCTCTTGTTTACCAGTATTTTTCTACATTTCCTAAATATTTCCTTGTTAAATTGTTTGAACAGTTCTACGTTTTTTCTTTCCATTCCACCGGGTGTTTTTTTTGCACCAGTTTTTTCTCTATTTCTATAAAATATTTCTCTGTTTAATTGTATGAATAGTTCTAAGTTCTTACTTTCCATTCCACCGGGTGTTTTTTTGCACCAGTTTTTTCTCTATTTCTATAAAATATTTCTCTGTTTAATTGTATGAATAGTTCTTACTTTCCATTTCACCTTTTTTTTGCACCAGTAGTTCTTTACTTCTATAAGATTTCCTTTTTTAATTGTTTGAATAGTTCTATGTTCATCTTTCTGTGTCAACACTTTTTTGCACCAAACATTTCTTTGTTTAATTATATGAATTGTTTCTCTCGCTCCGTTTCACTGTTTTTTTGCATGAGTATTTTCTCTACTTCGTTTAATTGTTTAAATAGTTTGGGTTTTTTTCTCTTTCCGTTTCACCACTTTTTGCACCTGAACTTTTTCTTTACCGTATTTCCTCTATAAAGTTTGGTGTTTCATTATATATATATACATTATTATGTGTGTTGAATTATGATCTTTTCAAAGCTTACATGAGAAAATATTTAAAATTAGTTATAATGCTTATATTCTCCATCTGACTATCTTCTATGTGTCCTTCATCTGATGAATAATTTACATTTAAAGGAACATATGCTACCTTACCATAACATTATCTCCATTTGAAAAGAGTTCCCATTAAGAAATTTTGTAAATTATACTTAGTGGGTGTTCATCCGAATCAATGCTTGTAAATGCACTAACTTTAAGTGTTCTCGGGAGTAACGATCTTTCTTGAATCCAATTCTAGCCCCCCCACCCCACCAACCACCACTTCTTGCTGGCTGAGTCTCTAGCTTATTCCAAATCTGAAAATCACAGACTGTGGTGATCCCTGATGACAAAAACACACACTTCATTTTGATACTTGATTGTAAATATCAGTAGTTAAAGTATTTTGAACTGTTGACGATTGTTATTGAATTTAGAAACTTGTGTTTATTGGATTATGATCTATTTATGTTTTATTGTATTGTCAATTTGTTTCACTTCTATAAAAATCATCAAATCATTTTGTGATTTAACTCAGAATGATTATATCAGGTTTATGGTGTGATTAGAATTAGCTTCTTTCTTAGACACCTGTATGGGAAACTGTGGAATAATTTATTTTCATTTTGTGATGGTGCCCGGGGGGAGGGGGGATTTATTATTCGTAATTGTATTGGAGTAAAAAAAATGGTGAAGTTTCTCTATTTACAAAATCAGATCAGATGTACCGTATTGACATTGAAACAATGTGGCAAAGCTACTGTACAGTGTCAATATAATACTGTAATTCCATAATTCTTCGAAAAAGCTTTGACAGCAAATAAAGGGGAGGTAACTGCATCATATGGCTGACTTTTTTATTATTATTATTTACAGAGATGTTGGTTTTGTACCCAAAATAAACACCGTTGACTACGATCCGTCAGATGAGTTACGGAACAGGAACCACATCATGGCCGCCCCTATGCAGGTTCATTACATCATGGCCGACCTCAGTCGTAGGGAGGAGTAAGTAGAAGAGAACGGAATTTAAATCTATGATGGTGCAGCGATTAATAAAAATTATTTAAAAAATTAAAGGTATTTTGAACCTATAATACAAACTTAGTTGATATAAAGTACAGAAATTATTTTTAAATGTAAGGAACTAGGAAGCAGTGTAAATAGGGAAAGTTGAATATTTTATGAAATTTAAGAAGGATTGCTTTTGTATTGTTTCACATCTTTATCTGTAAAAGGTGGTGAATGGTTTTATTTTATAACCATCAAATTTTATCAAATTATGGAGAAGAGAATGAGACAAAAGTTTTTTTTAAAAGCAATGCTGTTATATTTATTTTCTGAATTAAAATTATAGATGATTTTCATTTGATGAGTAGTACACATTTTTAAAAACTGGCAATATTTCATATTTTATACAGAATAACAGGAAATGTTAACCTTTGTTTCATCTTGCCTTTTTCTCTTGAACTAAAGGATAAATATTTGCAATATCAGTAAATGCACATTGTCAAATTTAACAACAAGCGTATTTGTTTTTACAGATTAGAGGGCTAGAAAATTTGATGAATGGAAATATCTGAGCTTAGCATATTTGCTGTGTTTTGTTTTACCTTGAGATAATTCTTTATGACGTTGAACTTTTTACTGATGCTATGATCTTGACCGGCTTTGTTTTAGGGGCAATGGTACTAAAGAAGAAGAGGCAGTGTTGTGTACAGTACAAATAGACGCTAACGGGGTGATATCCTTGCAACCTGACTTCAACAAAGGAAAGAAACCGTATGTGGTGGAGAATAACATCAAGGGAGGTAAGTCTAATTTTATCACGAGAGAATTAAACTATTAAACGCTTTTTTAACATTTTTGGTTATTTAGGGATAATGCTCTCCTAAAGTTTGGATATGTTTGATTATACCTCTGACCAGACTTATAAAATCTACCATGTAACTGAGCGAGATTGGGATATCCCAGTCAAGGGCTAAGATTCTGTAACATAATCCCAACCGAGGTGTGACCAGAGGTTGGGATGTTACAGAATCTTAGCCCGAGACTGAGATACCACTAATCCTGCTCAGTTACAGATTATTGATTATAAGCTCACCTGCCCGAAGGGTCGAGATGACAAATTTAGCGAGTGTATAAAATGAGAATACGTTTCTATGACTGCCTAAATATTCAGGTGAGCGATACAGGCCCTCAGGGCCTCTTGTTTTTCTCACATCTTTTAGTTAAAAAAAACATACAATTTTGCTAAAGACTACAAGTTTCCCACCTTGGACCCAGAATAAAAATGGCCTTTACGCTATTAAAGTTACATTTGATGCTTCCGCATAAAGATGTGGTCCATTCTCACAAAGAAAACCACATACATTTTGTATTTTACAGTGTAGATCATATTTTATCTACGACATCAGGAATCTAACAACATCAAAATAATACATATAATGACAAAACATTTCGAGCAGTTAACGTGCAGATGAATATATGTTGTGTAGAAATTCCGCAAAATGTTGCAAAAAGGTACCAGACAGATCGGACGAGATAGAAAAATCTAGCATGGGGTATGACGTTGGCTATCTCTGTCTAAGATGCAAGAAAAGGGAACCTTCTTCTTAGCTCGGTCGGAAAACTAGAAAACCTGAGGTCCCAGGATCAATCCTTAGCAAAGGCATCGAAAAATATTATTTCCTTCGTTACATCTCTGTGGAGAAATAAATACTGGATTCCTATATAACTGTACTGTGTGCTGTTAGCTGGTTATATCAAATGATCTCACTTGTTAATTGAGCAATGATAAAAGGCTTATGTCAACTACTATATCATTCTACTGTCTGCTTTTGAAAATTGTGATGACTTTTGATGATAGCAATGAACTTGTTAAGAAACAGCATGAGAATTCTTCTATAGGAATATCCATTGATTATTTTCCACCTGATTTGGAGAATATCCCCGAAGGTTTCTGTTCACAGGAAACATCTGCTGAGATGTATTGCCTCTTTTGTCACCTCAGTTATGTGATATATTACTTTCGTTTGTCCTTTTTAGATGTTTTTGAATACACAATAGAACACAGCTCAAAGACCATGAACAGGTAATGTCTATTTCTTACTGTCATATTAGTGTAGGATATAGCTATCCATGTCAAACAACGATGGAAAGTTTAACATCCCAAAGCACTTCACAAATGTCATATTTTTTTCTTGAGTAAAAAAACTGTTTTCCACAATAGTTTTGACCTTCACTGTAACCATGACCTACTACATGGCCTTGACATTCCCATAAATAACCTTGACCTTGACCTTTGCCATGGTGATGAACCTCAGTGTGACCTTTTGTTCATTACAGACAGGAACAAGACAAGGAACAGAAGATGTACCGCGAGGTATATAGCCGACACGCAGACTTCCTACAAGCTTGTGTCGGCGAGGACTTTGAGCTTGTGAGTAATGATCTTTGACATTTTTACAAAAATGCTTCAAATCCAAAACAAATATTTTCTATTTTCTATTAATCAGAAATTGATAAAAAAATAATTTGAAAAAAAATAATTCAAACCAGTTTTTTGACTTTCGATGTTTTTAAAATGTTGACAAAAAATCTTTAAAATCTAAAATCCAAAACATCCAGAAATTTTCTACTAAAACAATTTTGTGAAGAATGCAGAACTAGGTTATAGGTAGCTCTGACCCACTATGGCCTCTTGTCCTGCTCTTCACAGCAATTTGTTGTCAGATTTGATGGCTTCCAGCACTGTCTGCCTGTGGTATTTGCACTGATTTTATATTCTGTTTCAGCCTCCAATGGGCGTTCTAAGGTTACTGGTCTATGGAGAAATGGGTAAGGATGCATTTAATATTTAATAAAACAGCATTTAGAATATCATTTATAAGTTACATTGTAATGCTTTGCTCCAGCTCTATTTGGGTTTTTTATGGGAAAAGAAATAGTTTTGTGGTGAAAAGAAAAAAAAATCATATATAACTTACATATATTTCAAATTAAGATAATTTATGTTATGTGAAATAGATATCATGGAAAAAAATCATGTCAGTTACATCAAACACTTTTTTATGAAGAAAATACATTATGTATTGGTGTTTAACCCTTTTACCACTGTAGACCATAATGGATTCATCCAGATCAATGTATGGTACAGTCTACTAAAGTTACATAGGGGTGAAAGGTCTAAGTTTTTTCAAAGTCTGCCATCTTAGTTTTTCATAAGATTAATCTTGCGTTATTGTAGGAAAAATGCTCAATCCTGTCGTTGTTGAATAGCTGTAAAATAATTTTAAATTAAAAAAATAAAAAACAAAATCAAACATTACCTAATTATTTGAAATTTCTTTTTCCGGCATTACTACAGCTTTGATAAATCATTTCTAAAAAGAAAAACAAACCTTGCAGTATTTTCATGAAGAAAAAAAAAGATATGAAATAAAACAAAAAATAATTAACAACTGGTGTTATGAGTGTATTAATTCAGCGGAGCTAGATCGGGGTTCGAATGCTGGACCTCAATTTGTTATACTGTCACATTACCAACTCTGCTTCCTGGTCAACAAAGGTGCTGTGGCCCAATTAACGTACTACAGTTATATCTGGAACAAAATTAAGGGGAGGTAACTGTATATAAAAAAAAACACTGTTGAATTCTCTAGTGTTTTGTCTGCATTTCGACAGGGATCCCTTTTAAGAAATAAAATCATCTTTAAGAAGCTTAGGAAACTTCAGGACACTTAAGAAGTTGTGTTATCATTTTTGTTTTGTCGTTACAGAATGTGCCCGAGACTTCGAGTATGATGACCTGTATCTACACTTCTTTGTTGATCTACCAAAACGTAAGATATCCATAAAAAATCTGGTCAGCTTACATTAAATTGTTATTATATTTTATGTAGAGCTACACTGATTGAATGGCTGGATTCAGTTCCCAATTGCAAAGTTTTTTCCCATTCAATCAGGGCTTGACGTCATATGGAGCCCATTCCATATTGAGGCCCGTCCCATTGAAGTTTGAGCGGATATAGTGATCTGCTTGTACATCTCTCTAGTGACTTATTTATGAAAATATCTCAAACATGTAGTGCATGTAGTTTGATTTGTGTCATTGGATCACTTTTCCAGCACGTCAACTGTTACAGCTTGGGATTAAATTCCGTCTTGTGAAGTCGGCCGTACTGTTCTCTGTGTATGAGATATTTAACCTACCGCAAAGTGATCAACCTCTGCTTTAACAGGTTATTGTATGAACCAAAATTCTCAAAAACAATTGAATTTCCAACTATGAAATCAATATTTAATGGCCAAATAAAATCGGCAAAATTTTGATGTCTGTAATTAATAATCCACAATTTTTATTCACAGATTGGACGGCTGACCGATCACAACAGTTGTCCTGGGTAACGCAGACGTGTAAGACGAAGGTCGAGCGACGGGTAAGTGGTCAGTGACCTTCAATGTCATTGAAGGTCACTCTAATGAAGCATTTTTGTTTGATTATTTGGGATGAGTCCAGGCCAAGTATTTGAAAATTCTCTTAGAGTTTCGATTTTCATCTTAGAACAGTATTTCCAAAAACGTTGAGTTGCGGCAAGAAAGGTGGATTTATAGCTCAAAAATCTACTTAGCAAAAATAGCTTCTATTCAAAACTCAATGTTTAAAGTATATTTTCTCATAATTTTCTGTGCTGATCATTTGATATTTTGTTGTCTTAAATGCAAAAATAACATTTTTTTAAGAAATACTGTATTATAGTAACAGGTTTTTAGAAAACTACTATAGACATGAATTTTAGTCTCATTTTTTATTCATTTCCAGGACAACGTCGCGTACTTCAGTTTCCCATTCAACTTTGAACTGTTCTATAAAGACACATCAATCAGAGAGCAAGATAAAGGTAACAAAAAATTCATTGGGGAAAAAAACCAGAATTATATTCTTAAATATCTGAAGAGGTATCAAATATATATCATTGAGATAGTAAAGATGAAATATTTTGTCACATAAGGTCCATATTTTTAGACAACCAAGAGCTGTTTAACTTAAACAAATTATTACCTGTGGTTATAGGGCCTTTGCAACCAGCCAATATCTTTTTCAACTACAAGGGGAGAATACAGCCGATTCTACCATTTTGGCACTCACAGCTTGTATTCAACATTCATAAAACTTACATTCAAACAAAACATGATAAATATGGCACTGCTTTGCATCTTTGAACAAGATACTTTACTCCGCTTGTTCCAGTCTACTCAGCTGTAAATGAGTACGTGGTTGTGCAGTGCTGGAATCGCCGAAATAACAGCTCCGGCTGTATGCTCCCCGGGAGTTGAGAAAGATATTGGCTGGTTGCAAAGGCCCCAATAACCACGGATAATAATTTGTGAACTGCTTTGAGACGACCTACGAACTAGGTTGTGATAAAGCGGTATATATAAGAACCTGAAATTATAATAATATTTTTTTGTTTTCCAGAGCCGCTCCCCCACTTCCCAATCATCATGGTAGAGGTCTTGTCTCTGGACATGTGGAACAGATTCCGTACGGAAGGGTACACCTACATAAACATTCCCACACACCCAGGTAAATTTCTCAGTCTCCATTAACATTCACCCCTGAAGACACATTTGAACTCTTCCAATATGCAAAGCTTGGAATAGTTCATTATGAAATTTCAGGGGTGAGTGAGTTAATCCAGGAAAAAAATCTCCATTGCAAGTCGCCCAGAATACTATCATTATAGCTGTGGGACTTAAACATTGACTTTCAAACTCTGAAATGATTGACATTGTAATATAAAGTAGTATATTATGATGGTAATCATATTGGTTATGATGGTAATCATATTGGCATGTGCATTTGGATTTTACCAACCAAATTAGCAGTTCTTTCGTAAAGTGTTCATAGCCAATATTTTTGTATCCCCCACTTTTCAAAGAAAATTGGGGGATATTAATCTGGGTCTGTCCATCTTCTGTCACCTTTCTGATTTCAACAAAACTTGGTGTGCACATACATTTTATAATGTTTAGGACTAAGTTAGCTTGTCAATGTCATCTGTGCATATTTACGCATAATTAATTACTCTCTATACATTTTGATTGGTTTATAGGTTTCCATGCAATAAGTGCAATAATAATGGTTCTATTTCAACAAAATGTGGTGTGCACATATATATTAGCATGTTTAAGACTAAATTCGCTGGTCCATGTCATCTGTGCATCCTAAACTTCTCTCCTGTAATGGATTTCTATATATCAAATAAATGAGGACAAATAACTGCACCTTGTCTTGTTCCCAGACTCGCGAAAAACTCAGGATATCAATCAGTTAAATCTATATATGGTTACTCTCAACGATAACACTTCATCTAAAACATGTCCTTCAAGCAGGGGATATTCCACAAATTTGCTTGTTTTAATTTTTAGGTCACCTGAGCTTTTAGCTCAAGTGACCTATTCCTATTCGTCTTTGTCTGTTGTCGTCCGTCGTCTGTCGTGCTTCACGTTAATCCAGCCATCACTAATCTGGTTGTCCGTCTTTCCAGTCAATGTTTTAGGGGACAGAAATCCCCTTTTCTATTCAAAATAATCTTACATTGAAACTGTCTGTACATGGCCATAAGGGGAATCCGTGTCCGTCAGAAATGTTTTAGTTCATGGACGTATCATTTTGTCAATATGACAGGTACCTACAAAGAGAACGCTCGTTGTTGGCGACCCATCGGGAGGTCAGCAGCAGCAGAACTACGCAGGTTTTTCATCGGAGGCTCGCCCGAGCTCGAGGACATCACTTACACAGCCGTCCCATCAACATTCCAGGTAAGTAAGACTGGTAGCGCCATCTATATTCCAGGTAACATGTACTGGTAGCGCCATCTACATTCTGGGTAACATGTACTGGTAGCGCCATCTACATTCTGGGTAACTTAGACTGGTAGCGCCATCTATATTCAAGGTAACTTTGACTGGTAGCGCCATCTATATTCAAGGTAACTTAGACTACAGCACCATGGTAATATTATTGAGATAAAAACCATATTCTGCAATATACAGTGAACCTGGATAAAAGGGGAATTATAAATTGGTGACATAAAACTTTTGTTTTGCTCAAATATATTGCTTTTTTTCAATTTGTGATCTGATATTTCATAATACGTTTTCTGGGCAGTGACCTTTATATTTTGTTGTTTTTTTGTAGGGGTCACACTTGAGTAAATATGGGTTCCGGACAGAATCCACGGGAACAGTCAAAGCCAAACTAAACGTAATCCTACAGTCACAGTACGTACCCAAATTTAATATATTGAAACCTGAGTAATCAGAGTAATTGTCTTATCTGATACCTGGGTATTCTGACATCTTGTCTTATCCGATACCTGGGTATCCTGACATCTTGTCTTATCTGATACCTGGGTAGTCTGTCTTATCTGACCCCTGAGTAGTATGCCATTATGTCTTATCTTACCCTTGAGTAATCTGCCATTCTGTCTTATCTGACCCCTGAGGTTTCTGACATCCTGTCATATCTGACACATGAGAATTATGACATCCTGTCGTATCTGACACTTGAGTATTATGACCTGTTTAATATGACCCATATCTTCATGCATCTTGTCTAACCAGATGAAAATGCTAGAAAACATTTGATGTAATACTACCTTACCATTATATTTTGGTCATATTTTCACGATATTTATACACTGTGATAATCTCAGAACACAAACAAACAAGCTTCCATGTTTCAAAATTTGCAGGACAATCTAATCAAATTGAAATATCAGAACTTTCACTCACGAAGGTTTAACATTGAACATCATTGTGATCCTGTGCTATAGACTAATGTGATTCTTCTGTAACAGAAAAAGGAATACTGGGCTTCCGAACCCTCGATCTCCAGGTTCCTAGTCAGACGCTCTTCCACTGAGCTAAGGGGAAATCCCCCTATAGCTCGTAGCTATAAGGCGACTGTAATTCTATGCACAATTAAAATCGGCCACACTTCAATGACACAACACATGATAAGAAAATTAACTTAAAATATACAAAAGTTGAATGTACAGTAATAAAAATATATACTGTAGTTTGCTTGGTGATAATATCAATAACAACATATCTTTGTTTGTCAGTTAAATTTTCGGGGGCCGTGGTGGCCAAGTGGGCATCTGACATTCTGCTACCACCAGCCCTCCACCACTGGGTTGTGGGTTCGAGGCCTACGTTGGGCAGTCGCCAGATACTGGCTGTAGGTCGGTGGCTTTTCTACGGGGACTCCGGCTTTCCTCGACCATCAAAACCTGGCACGACCTTAAATGACCATAGCTGTTAATAGGACGTAATGTGGTACAAAGTCATTGGGGAAAATCATCCTTTCACTTGAACTTTGAACTTGTGCATTAAAATTATGGTGGTTTTTTTTGGTTAATAGAATGGTTTACCCTTTCATCCCTATGTCACTTTAATCAACTCTACCCTGCATTGATCTGGATGAGTCCATTATGGTCTACAGTGGTGAAAGGGTTAAAGGAGATATACCCATTGAATTTGATAAAGTGAATTTTCAGATAGTAAAGTTCATTGGAATTTAGAAAAGACAGTAACTTTTTAATTTATGATATTGTTCCATCTTTATTTCAGAGGTTTCATGGAGAAGAAAGCCAACAAAAAGACATTGGGAAACCTACTAGACAACTTAGGGTAAGTTACTGTGAAATGTTACCGATTGTGTAGGCAGACGGGGTTGTAATTGTGTCAGATAAGGCTTTTTTTTATCCTATTATAATAATTCTAATGAGGAATCTGATGATCATAATTTGTCCTTTTTTTCTTATATTTTTTTTTTTGTCAAGATGATGAGCATAGTTTTTCTTTCCTAACGGGTATCGCTGAATCATGACCGGAAGCGTTTTTATATCCCGGGTCCCTCGTGTGGTCCAAGAAAAACCCTGGAATCATCAACTCAAAACTCAGGAATCACCCATTCCATCTGACAATCAGAAGAAACAGGCTTTCAAAACTTACATTGTGTTCAATTTTAGCTACAGTATTTTAAAGAATGACAACCCCTGGTTACAATGGATTAATGTGGAAATATATATAAAACTTGGGAGTCTAAATTTTTCTTTGCTAGATTGTGCTCTATGACCTTGACCTATTGACCTTATTCTTCACAGGTTTACCTCCATTTGAACAGTTTAATCTCCTCTCCTCATAGAAAGTTAACTGGTCAATGATCCAATAACTTTCTATGAGGAGACTCCAAATTGTATCTTTCCACATTAACCCTTGAAATTTAACAAACAGCTACCGATGAAGTGAGATTGATCCCTATTGGGTTTTGGGGTCAAAAGGTCAATGGTCAAAGTCACGATGAAGTCATTGTGCTAAGATGTCTTCTGGAATCAAAATGGAATGTCTCTTCAAAAATATTGTACTTTCACGGCACGACTTTTTCCCATTGGTTATAACAAAGTAAACTTAATGTATTTTTCAATGATTAGGAAACAAGTTATTTCAACTGATATTAACCAATCATGTTGACCTGGAAGTTAGCTCGCAGAGGGTCTTAATGTGGGAGGAAACCTGAGTACCCGGAGAAAACCCACGTGGTCGGGCAGGTGACCCCATACCTATTCACGTCCTATTGGTGAAAGGCGTGTGTGTTCTCCACTGTGCCACCCGACCTCCTATTGGTTAATGGGAAACCCTAAAGATAATAGGGTTGGGAGGTGAAAGGTCAAGGTCAATAAATCTATTTTTGTAAAAATGATTGAAGAAGAGAAGTTTTGTTCCTCTCCCGTTCATTTCAAATGAATCACAAAGCTGTGAGTACAGGGGTAGGGTAGAAGTAAGCCAGAAGTGTTTACATTTTTAGCTCGCCTTTTCGAAGATAAAATAGGATAACATTTTAAACAGGCGAGCATTTTGTGGCTTTGACAATTTACACTATTAAAGACATAACGATACCAGTTGCTGTTTGAACCGAAAGATCTGTTTGAAATGAAGGATCAAGTTTGAATCAGCTTTAACTTTGTACATCAGCCATTTATAGAGTTGTGAACTGTCATGCTTTTAAGAGTTTGAAGAATTTTTGCCTCCTTCCTTTTCAGAATAAATGCGGTCCAAGCCAATATTGCCAGTGTTCTTGGTAAGTATTTCATATCTGGGGTTTTTTTGGGGGGGGGGGTTCTTATCTTTCCTGTCTTCTTTCTTTATTTGTTTTCTATTCTTCCGGTAGCGTCGCCCAAGGCACCCATCCTCATAATATGTCCCTGGCTGATGCAAGGGTGGTAAAACCCACAAAAGCATATAACTGTATCTGGAACACTGACTTTAACTTTTTGCAATCAGATAATCATGCTACTTCATTTTTCCTTATCTTCACATATTGAGAAAGGTAAGATGACCATAAACAGATCTATTGTTTTCTTTGGCCTTACTTATAAAATTCAATATTTTGGTTCTTTTTATATTTTCAGAGGCCTTTAAGAAAGCCCGGATAAGGATGATGCAGGCACGAGAGAGCGCTACCAGAGACCTGTTCCAGGAAGCTACAAAAAGTCGAGAATTAGCAGCATAGATCAAAAGTCTGACTGAAGCAGGTGTTCATTATAAAAGGTCAAGACTACAGTGTCAAGTGTCAACAGCTTTATTAATAACGTCACAATGAGGTTAAATTTTCATTTTGTGATCTTTCACATTTTTTGAAACTGAAATTTTGCTTTTTCGGTGATTAAGAATATTCACCTTTGAGTAATTAAAACAAAAAGACTGAAAAAAAATGCAGAAATAATTTGAAATTGAGAAAAGTTTAATATTATGATAAAAAAAAATCTTTTAATTTGATTTTTTTTAAAAAGCTGATGGCAATTGTTTCACCTGGATCCTGACAATTTAAAGACATTGTTTCTGAAACAATTTAGAAAAATCCCTAGCGACACTGTTTTGATTTGGCATTATAAGAAATGGAACATTAAGGAGCCAACAAACACTGAACAGTATCCCTTTTATAAAATATTAGGGAGTTTCATGAACGACCAGTTTTACTGAATCCATTTAGAAATTTAAAAATTTGTGTCATCAATTTGGACTTTAATTGGAACTTGGTGGTATGGTAAATGTTGGAAAGTTTTGAAAGCCTTAAAGTGTTGTAAAATTCTAAAGTAGGCATTGAATAGATGTGACAAAAGTATTTCAAGAAACGGTCAACATTCATTTTTCATGTCAACTACCAGTGTCTATGGATTGTAACATTTGTTTCCAGCTGAGCATTTTATACAGTTTCATAGAAGATTAACTGTAAATTTTCCTGCTTATATTGTTATTTGAGTGTATTCTTGGCTTTTGAACTGTTGGGAGAATATGGCAGCTATGAAGGTGATCCCAAAATGAATGATTGAATCAAATTGTAACACTTTGAAAACATCGATTCGAGTTTGAAGCAAATATTTTGATTTAAAAAAAATTCTAAATTGTTAAAGTTATGTGGGCGAATCTGTCGTCGTACCACTAACCATATTATCATCACTTGTTTTTATTACTGTGGTAACAAATCGACTGTCAAATACAGATCGCCCATCATGTCATGTGATTATAATAAAATTCTGTTACCACTAGCCCTCCACCACTGGGTTGTGGGTTCGAGGCTACGTGGGGCAGTCACCAGGTACTGACCGTAGGTCGGTGGTTTTTCTATGGGAACTCCAGCTTTCCTCCACCATCAAAACTTGGCCCGTCCTTAAATGACCATTGCTGTTAATAGGACGTAATGTGGTACAAAGTCATTGGGGAAAATGATACTTTCACTTGAACTTTGAACTTGTGCCTTTTAATTATGTTTTTTTGGTTAATAGAATGGTTAAAATGGCCATTTAAACACATTTTCTGTCTATACATTTATTGCAAGGAATCAAGATTGTAAACCAGCAGCATTGGTCATGTGCCATGAAACTCGTCAACAGAATAATGAGTTTTAGTGATACAGAACTAAGTAATAACAGTGATGTACTGGAGAAAACGTGACTTCTGAGAATTTAAGACAAAAAACATGTCTTATAAGTCTAGTTTAGTACACCATAACATGATATTGAACGTGTAATTACTCCGTCCTTTTGTATATATATATATTTGTAGATATTTTGTAATGTTTTGTAGATACAAATGCGCAAGTTTTGTATATATATAACTAATATTATAAAACTCAAAATAAAACAAAAATACCAAAACAGACTCTGTGGTTGTAGTTTTGTACCGACTTATACAGGACTATACATAGTAACAAAGTTGAACCCATGCTTTGGAAATTTAAAATGCATTTTTTTTTTTAGATTTGCTGAGTTGAATGGAGTAAATTATGGTTTAACAATTTAGTTTCTGGGTGGATTTGTAGGTAATACTTTCCAGTTGGTATAAACAATACAACCAAAACATTGTAGTTTGTCTACATTTTATTAAGAAATGGTGTGAATGGTATAATTTGAATTGATGATACAAATTAAAATTGTGTAAAATTTCTTGCTGTTGTAAGGTATTTACATTACCAGTAGGTACTCACAACATCAAATAAAAAGTAAATAAAATATTTCATTGAAGCACTTACAATGCTCAACTGCTTAACACTAATTATATTGTCACAATAATAATGATTCTTTTCTCACAAAAGTCTTACATACTTAAAGACATGCTACCTTACTAACATTATTACCTTCTCAATTAAAGAGTTCCAATCTTCAGAATGATAACACTCATTATATTGCCATAATTATCATGATTCTCTTCTCACAAAGTTCTTACATACTTAAAGACATATGCTACCTTACTAAACATGATTACCTTCTCAACTAAAGAGTTCCAATTTTCAGAATAGTTACATTCAACTAGGTTAATGCAATGATATTCTAGGCCCTGGATCTCTTGGAAATCTCTGTGACATAGTTTATATTTACATATAATGCATGCATACATTTGTAAAGTTACCTATTTTTTTTTAAATATTTAAATTTGGACTTAATTTTTTCATTGTCCGAAGCCAGGCAAGTCTAAATCATCATTAATTGATAATAATGGGAAACAACTCTATACCAACACTTGCAGGTAACACGATATATGCTGCTTTACACTTTTAAACCTGTGAATTTTGTCAGTTATTTCCCTTTGAGGGTATTCTCTGCCATATATTTTGTTAAGAGTTATCGCCTATAAAGATATATGCCCTACCTAACACATTACACCTTTTTTGTTAGATCTGTGTCCCTTTATTAGGATACTGATACATGACCCTTTTATGACAAGTTATCTCCCTTAAACTTAATTTAGCATCATTTTAATAAATTGTTTTTTCCATCAAATTGTCATTAATTTATGAAGTTCAAATTACCATTTATAAAATGTCTTTTTTACCGGTTTCTTTGTAAGGTAGCATATTTACATCCAAATGAAATTGGAACAAATGACGGGCAGAATCATTCAGATGGTGGGACTTTATATATATAGCCTTTTGACTCCTTTAAAGGCCAAAATAGGGCATGAATTGATTTTTTTTTTTAAAAGAAACAAAAAATATTCTCCAGTTCTTGATAAGAAAAAGAAAAAAAAAATCATTCATGGAATGTAGATTTCAATTCACTGGTAACACAACTTGGTTACCTGTATTCAACAAAATAATTGAAAAGACTCAAAAAAAGACAATTACCTTCTGAGCGCGCCATACAACGACTTTATATTGAGTACAACAATGCTGACAACAAGAGGTCAAATAATGAATTCAGCTCTAATACAAACAACACCTTGTAATCAACAATCTTATATGAGGTTTTGGATTTTGTGAATTTAAAATATCACCACCACATGGAAGACTATTATTATTTAAGGCACCAAATAGTGGAAGTACATGTATTTCACTTAGGCTGTTCCAGAATTAACAGTATCGGGGCACTTTTTAAAGGCCCCACCATCCACCAATAACTGAAATATTTGTTTTTTATAATATATCCCTTTAACAGTACAAAGTATTTGATGTCGGCTTTGCTTCCAAATACAAACCAACATATTTTTTTTCATTTTTTTACCTTCAATTTGTTGGGAATATTTGATGCTATTATAATCTTCAACGTCAGTTGTTGAAGTTTCAAGTTCAATAGAAAAATGATTGTTTATAGTGCCCCGAGGCACTTTTGTGATGAAAGCATAAAAATATGTTCAACATAAAACACAACGAGTTTCATACAAGATCATAAACATAACAAATTAGTGAATGAATCTACTTCAAGCTCAATAATAACTACCACAAAACATTCAGTATATTTTCTTACATACCAAATTATCAAATCAATACAAAGTTACATGCAAGACAAAATTACTGTCAATATAAGCAATGGGCAATGTAGCACACTGGCCTGATTACTGTATAGAGAAAATGTTTGCCAAGCCAAGATAATATCTTTATATGCCAAATTCTAATTTTGACACCATACATGGTATTTGTTATATATCATTCTTTGCTGTCATAAATCCGTCCGCATTACAGAAGGCGAAAAAGGTGACAGTTGAAAGCGACAATTAACCCTTTCACCCCTATGTAACTTTGAGAAACTCTACCATGCATTGATCTGGATAAGTCCATTATGGTCTACAGAGGTGAAAGGGTTAAACTTCGACAAAACATTCCTGGTGTACAGTATTATTTGACAGTCACGGGCCCTAAGATTTGTTAAATTTGTGAAGTTGTGACTTTGACTAGGTCACAACTTCAGATTGACATACATGTATCTTCATGCTCTAAAGAAACTTTGTAAACATTCAACACCCATCAGATTCAGCACCCAACAGATTCAACACACAACAGATTCAGCACACAACAGATTCAACACCCAACAGATTCAACACCCAACAGATTCAGCACACAACAGATTCAGCACACAACTATCTATAGAGGTGTACATGACAACACAAAAGTGTGTGACCTCACAAATGGAATACATGTTTAAAGTTTTTGGCGGTCAGGTCACTTTTCACTACAAATGCCAAAGATTGATTCCCTGATCGGACAAGAAAACGTATTGTCAACCATCCTACCACACAGGTTTTCTACGGGTGCTCCAGTTTCCTTCCACATTAACACCATCCACTGCATACCACCATCGTTGGCCAACTCTAGTAATGAATATATGATGATAAAACTTCTTTCATAACTTAAGTTTACATGTTTTATTGCACTCATGTTTACGCACGAGCTCAGCCAATACCAGACACCCTTGACATGAACCCTTTTCACCCCTATGTAACTTTAGTAGACTCTACCATGCATTGATCTGGATGAGTCCATTTTGGTCTACAGTGCTGAAAGGGTTAAAGAAATGAGGACAGTCATTCATAGTATATGGAGTAAAACCTTGAGATAAAACCCTGTATTTTATTTGCCTAACAGTTAAATAATAAAATTTTGCCTGGAAGACGATTTACTGGTCCAAATAAAAGTCATGCAAAAGCGATTTTATCAACAGTGTTAAACACATTATTTGATGAAGGATCGAATGTAATTTCTATAAAGGTCCTCCAAAGTTCCTGGTTATATGTGTGTTTAAATGAACAGTCCTTCTTAAACAGCTTATGTTGGTGAAAGCATGATTATTTTAGATTACAGAGTCACATTATCCTGCAACACCCAGAACTGAATAGCTACCATGTATCCTCAACAAAAACGAATATAACTGATCATGATTGTCTTGTTTGTAAATTATTTTTGACAAAAGTGTGAAACATCCTGCACTCCCAATGGAGGAGTCAGTATCAAAAGTAAAAGCAGACAAAGCAATAAAATGTTCCAAAATTGTATCAGGTATCATTTACTTATGACACATGAAGTCAAATTTTTTATTTTTTTATTTCATTGTTTTCAATTTTTCTAAAACATATTTCATGTTTTGACGATTGTTTTGAATAAGATTTTAATTTATACAATAATGAAAAAATCATTGTTCCAATTTAACATGTTTATTGGGCACTAAGCCCATGCCTGGTAAAATCCTCTGACACCATATCTATTCATTTCACTTCAGGGGAAAATGTCGACGAATACCTTTTCACTGTCCTGTACTAAGCCCACCCTACTTCGAGTTAGAGAGTATTGTTAACACACAAACTTAAGCAGTATTCTAAACTAAGTGCTTTTCAATATTGCTCTAATTTATCACTTAAAATGTTTCTGTTTGTGGTGTTTGATTGTATATATTGTAAACGCCAATTCTTTTTTATATATTTCATAGCTGACTGACAAAGAAATGTGTAATTCTAATTTTGTCAGAATAAAATCTATGTATCTATCCATGTATCAATGAGTTAACCTGTTAAATTTGAAAATACACTCAATATGTGTTGCTAAAATAAACACTCTTAAGAGTATTTGTTGTTGTCCTGTGCTTACTGTAAGGTAAGTATGATGTAATGTGTCATTAAAGAAATGAAAATTGATAAAATAATCTCCAAGTGTGAAAATTTGTTTTTGGACTATGATAGAGCCGATCTCTAGTTTCACGGCGTAAAACCTCCGGGACTTAGGGCATCCCCAGGACTAGAGAAGTTGCTATGGCGACCCGCGGGACTTGGTGATCGGACGTTACGGAATTTGTGCTGCATGCTGTTTACAAAGGCTCGGTACAGTGGCTCCGAGGTGGACAAGTTTGCTGGGTTTTCAATCGAGAAACGAGGGTTACGCGAGGGTGTACCTCCCGGGGATCTGCAATGAAAAGTTATTTGACATTGGTCAATTCTACTCTAGAAGTCATATTAGAAGATGCTTTAAATCACATACAAGTTTTATCTAAAAAAGATTTTTTTTTATTTTCCTTTTCCTTTTTTCTTCTATCATCTGAACGGTGATCAAACTTTCAATAAATATCAAAATCTGAAATCTCAATTGTGTTGTCATTGTCATTATATTATGCAAAAAAGAAAATAAAAAAGTGTCAAATCAAAAAAAAAAAAATCTGAACATGAATAGTTTAAGTTTTCAGAATCCCCCCCCCCTCCAAAAAAAACCACCAACACAAAACTATTAACACAACAAGATCGCTGTCATGTGCCTGACCATATAGACCAATAATGTCCAAACACGCCACTGCAACCATTTTACCTTTAGTACATGGTATATTGATTGTTAGGCATCAGATATGTTTCTGACAATCACCGTTTACTACTATATCAAGCATGAATAAAATCTTTTATATTTTAGATATTAGTTGTGACAAAATCTCCAGAATGGAAAGTGTAGATGGATGGAAGGTTGGACAGACAGACAGAAAGACAGACACAAGAATTACTACAAGACACCCATATCTCTGATACAGGGGCCAAAAAAATCAATCTTTGAACTTATAAACTAATACATGTACTGTATCCAATACATGCAATTAAATTAAATTACACTACATTTTATTTTTCATTAAAGTTAAAAGATGACAAGCAAATGGTTTGTTTTTGGTTTGTTTTTGAGTTTGCTAACATGCAGCAGTTCTTTTACCTTGAACGGTTTGTGGTTCGGAGACGTCGGAGCGGATTGGAGCTGAGGAGTTCCTGTTGGAGACTGCTAAATGAACCGATCGTCGTCATGGAGGACACCGAAAAGTCTGACCTGAAAAATTACACGTAAAAATGCATGTGTAGGAAGGCATAAGATATCTATACTATTATTTCAAAAACATGTTCAAATTCTGACGCAACTTCCCTACAATACAGGGAATCAAATCTGCACCTGAGCATAAACCTAGGTTCAACTGCTGTCAATCACACTAGACCTTGGAGGCCTGACATTGAGTGGATAATTACATATATAGTCAGGCATCTATCACCCCAGTTTTCTGGTCCATGAAACGTACCCATTCCCAAAGGAAAATAGGCCCCAGTTTTCAAAATGTATCCAGATAAAGTGAAATAAAACAATTCACAATGTTGACATTTGAAAATTCCCCAATTTTTCCAAAATAAATTCAAATAATTTTTCCAATTTGTAACACAAGGGCTGTTTCCCGAATTACCATGATAAACATGTAATAGTCTATTTACAAATGAATATACTTTAAATACATAAGCTTTCTTGTATCTTTTCTGACACAAAAAAGTTTCATTTTAGTACGAATTCACATGGAATAGTAACTAACTGGATACCAACCCTGTTCGTTCATGTTTTCTCTTCACTTTCATTAGACTTTTAGGCGTGTCCATCTGAGAAAGTAAAGTAAGTAAATATTAATATTACACCTTTAGGCATGTCCATCTGAGAAAGTAAAGTAAGTAAATATGAATATTACACGTTTAGGCGTGTCCGTCTGAGAAAGTAAAGTAAGTAAATATTAACATTACACTTTTAGGCGTGTCCATCTGAGGAAGTAAAGTAAGTAAATATTAATATTACACTTTTAGGCGTGTCCATCTGAGAAAGTAAAGTCAGTAAATATTAATATTACACCTTTAGGCGCGTGCATCTGAGAAAGTAAAGTAAGTAAATATTAATATTACACCTGTAGGCGTGTCCATCTGAGAAAAAAAGTAAGTAAATATTAATGTTACACCTTTAGGCGTGTCCATCTGAGAAAGTACAGTAAGTAAATATTAATATTACACCTTTAGGCGTGTTCATCTGAGAAAGTAAAGTAAGTAAATATGAATATTACACGTTTAGGCGTGTCCGTCTGAGAAAGTAAAGTAAGTAAATATTAATGTTACACTTTTAGGCGTGTCCATCTGAGAAAGTAAAGTCAGTAAATATTAATATTACACCTTTAGGCGCGTGCATCTGAGAAAGTAAAGTAAGTAAATATGAATATTACACGTTTAGGCGTGTCCGTCTGAGAAAGTAAAGTAAGTAAATATTAATGTTACACCTTTAGGCATGTCCATCTGAGAAAGTAAAGTAAGAAAATATTAATGTTACACTTTTAGGCGTGTCCATCTGAGGAAGTAAAGTAAGTAAATATTAATATTACACCTTTAGGCATGTCCATCTGAGAAAGTAAAGTAAGAAAATATTAATGTTACACTTTTAGGCGTGTCCATCTGAGAAAGTAAAGTAAATATTAATGTTACACTTTTAGGCGTGTCCATCTGAGGAAGTAAAGTAAGTAAATATTAATATTACACCTTTAGGCGCGTGCATCTGAGAAAGTAAAGTAAGTAAATATGAATATTACACGTTTAGGCGTGTCCGTCTGAGAAAGTAAAGTAAGTAAATATTAACATTACACTTTTAGGCGTGTCCATCTGAGGAAGTAAAGTAAGTAAATATTAATATTACACTTTTAGGCGTGTCCATCTGAGGAAGTAAAGTAAGTAAATATTAATATTACACTTTTAGGCATGTCCATCTGAGAAAGTAAAGTAGGTAAATATTAATATTACACCTTTGGGCGTGTCCATCTGAGAAAGTAAAGTAAATATTAATGTTACACTTTTAGGCGTGTCCATCTGAGAAAGTAAAGTAAGAAAATATTAATGTTACACTTTTAGGCGTGTCCATCTGAGAAAGTAAAGTCAGTAAATATTAATATTACACCTTTAGGCGTGTCCATCTGAGAAAGTACAGTAAGTAAATATTAATATTACACCTTTAGGCATGTCCATCTGAGAAAGTAAAGTAAGAAAATATTAATGTTACACTTTTAGGCGTGTCCATCTGAGAAAGTAAAGTAAGAAAATATTAATGTTACACTTTTAGGCGTGTCCATCTGAGAAAGTAACGTAAGTAAATATTAATATTACACCTTTAGGCGTGTCCATCTGAGAAAGTAAAGTAAGTAAATATTAATGTTACACCTGTAGGCGTGTCCATCTGAGAAAGTAAAGTAAGTAAATATTAACATAACATTTAAGCGTGTCCATCAGACTAGCTCTTTTGGACATATTGGTTTGTAGCATAGAAATGTATAAAGGAGCCGATACATATTATTTAAGAATTAAAATAAATCTTTTGAACATATTTATGATGTTTGAAACGCATATCTCCCACTCAAAGACATTTTTACATCATTCAGATTTATTGGTGATTTCGTTCTGTTTAAGATGCATTTTTAACGAATTGATACTTTTATGAAATGGTTGAAATATTTTAGCATTTCCGTAAAGTTTGTATTTACTTATGTGACATGATTGGTCCCTTCTCTAACCATATTACGGAAAGTCACAAGTATCGTATCAATAATTTGATCACAGATCAATTCATATTCAGTATCATAGATCAAGATTACAATTCATTCAGTATCACAGATCAAGATTACAATTCATTTGGTATCACAGATCAAGATTACTATTCATTCAGTGTCACAGATCAAGATTACTATTCATTCGGTATCACAGATCAAGATTACAATTCATTTGGTATCACAGATCAAGATTACAATTCATTCGGTATCACAGATCAAGATTACACATCATTCAGTATCACAGATCAACATTAAAATTCATTTAGAATTTCCTATCTCACCGTGAAATTCAGATCCTTCAATGGCGTGCCTCTCTTCACCAAATCACGACCCCCGGGTGTTGCTACAGAGATGACTGGGGGAGGAGGAGGTGGGGGAGGGGGGATATGATTCTCTGCTACGGGGGTGCGGATGTTTTCTTTGTTAATGGATGTAGACATCTTTTGTCTCTTGGCAGCCAGGCGACTGGAACATCTTCGACCTCTCGACTCTAAAAATTTAAATTCAAAGTTATTTCAACATCAAAAGGGATAAACAACTGACAATTTGAAACAAGCACTATCTTAACGTAATGGTATGACTGCATTAGTTATAAACTTCAACAAGAGTTCCATTCAGTGCTTCGAGTTAATTCATCCTTACATATGAAACAACTGAAAGGAGTTTATCTTGCTTAAATTTTCAAAGTTACTTCCCTTGTCAAGGTATTCAGGCCAAAAAAATGTGTGTTTCTTGTTTCTGCTTGAGCAAAAATAGTGCGCTAGGTAGGCAACATTTTATTTTTAATATTTTGACTACCCATATAGATCAAGATTTCTGACTTTTATAGTGCTAATCACTAAATGCCAATAAAAACTTTGGGTAGGCACACAAATCTAAGGTTGGTAAGGAAACCAGAAACACATACATTTTGTATTTGTTTTGGCCTAATGTCTCAATTATTACATAGGACTTGTAACCCAAAGGTTAAACAGGTTGAATCAGGATACATACTGGGGAAAAGTTATTTACTTGTGTTCATGCCCCCCCCCCCCCAAAAAAAAACAACAAGTTAGTCATTACCAGAAACACTGATATTTTCTGATTGGACCTACTATAGACAAATTCGAACTCATTTATGATTCCATATTGTATTTCGAACCAATAAAAAAATTACATATTTACATTCAGGAATTAGTCTTGCACTTTGGTCACTTCTGGCTATCTGACCTTGACCAACACTTACTAAGGGAGTAATCCAGCACTTTGGTCATAGTTACCTAGCATGTCTAATAATTATATCTAACTTGACATCTACTGGCTATCGGACCTGACCAACACTTACTAAGGGAGTAATCCAGCACTTTGGTCATCTCCAACTTGAGTCCCTCCAGTTTGGCCTGACATTCCTCTTCAGGAATCGCCACTCCTCCATTTTTGTCACCATTGATTAAGCACATCCATTTCATCTGTCAAATACAAAATAACACTATTAAATCATAATTAAATAAAACATTTCACTTGAGAAATTATTAAAATAAAATTCAATGAATCGTTTAAATTTTATCTTAGAAAATACATAAATTTGCATCATGTTGCATTTTCATGTAAAAAATAAGGAATTAATTTGCACAACCTCACCTTGAAGTAAGAGCTTTACTAGAATGAGCAACTTCCAGTCCTTTTTGGAGCCAGTTTCAAATTTTGGCCCCCCCCCCCAATAGAACAAGTTTCCCATTTGATAGAAATATATCCCAACTGCCAAACATTTAAATTTCTTACTGTTACTGCATCAGAATTGAATTGCTACAGGATTAAATATTGTTCTACAAGCTCCCAATGATAGTCTATGTGATATGTGATATAGAGTACTTAAAGCTTCTGAAATTGTTATTAACCATATATCTTGTTGAAGAAAATTTTACTTGTTTGTTTTAAGTGCTTGATAAGAAGAAACTAGGAAAAATCTGTAACGAATAAGGAAGAAAAATAATCTTACACCAATTTTTTTTCGAAGCTGCGAAACTAATCATGGAATCAGACACTTCAAAGACTAATAGAACCTCTCACCCTCTTGGGGGAGGTAGGGGAATCTCAACCCGAGGGGAGAGAGATTCTTAAGTTGCCAAACACAAGGCTTTGCCGAGTGTTTCGTAACTTAAGAATCTTTCCCAAGGGTTGAAATGCCTAATCTCATCTCAAGGGGGTGAATGATTCTTTTTCTCTTACACTGTTCACCAATATGTATCATATACAAAATGTAATGTTAATGTCACAGGCTAAATTCAGGGTTGACGTGATGTTGATGGAGTGTTGAAGAGTTTGTCTATGGGTCTATTGTAAAGTTTGAACACTGTACGTGGTTATTGTCTATGGGTCTATTGTAAAGTTTGAACACTACATGGTTTTTGTCTATGGGTCTATTGTAAAGTTTGAACACTGTACAAGGTTATTGTCTATGGGTCTATTGTAAAGTTTGAGCACTACATGGTTTTTGTCTATGGGTCTATTGTAGAGTTTGAACTCTGTACGTAGTTATTGTCTATGGGTCTATTGTAAAGTTTGAACTCTGTACAAGGTTATTGTCTATGGGTCTATTGTAAAGTTTGAACACTGTACGTAGTTATTGTCTATGGGTCTATTGTTAAGTTTGAACACTGTACGTAGTTATTGTCTATGGGTCTATTGTAAAGTTTGAACACTGTACATAGTTATTGTCTATGGGTCTATTGTAAAGTTTGAACTCTGTACAAGGTTATTGTCTATGGGTCTATTGTAAAGTTTGAACACTGTACGTAGTTATTGTCTATGGGTCTATTGTAAAGTTTGAACACTACATGGTTTTTGTCTATGGGTCTATTGTAGAGTTTGAACACTGTACGTAGTTATTGTCTATGGGTCTATTGTAAAGTCTGAACACTGTACAAGGTTATTGTCTATGGGTCTATTGTAAAGTTTGAACTCTGTACGTGGTTATTGTCTATGGGTCTATTGTAAAGTTTGAACACTGTACGTAGTTATTGTCTATGGGTCTATTGTTAAGTTTGAACACTACATAGTTATTGTCTATGGGTCTATTGTAAAGTTTGAACACTGTACAAGGTTATTGTCTATGGGTCTATTGTAAAGTTTGAACACTATTACAGTTTGGGCAGTGATACTGTAATCCTTCAGTACCTTAAGGAATGAAAACATCCCACAGTTTTCCAGTTCTTCTTTCTTCCTCTTGGTCAGGATGGACTGAATTTTCTGTGGGTTCTTGTCAAGGTATGACAGGAGATCCTATTAAAAGAAAACCATTATAATATTATATAATAATTGTTATTATAACAATAATATTGGTTTTAATGTATATTATTTTTGCTTTTACATTTCTGATTAATAAACATGGTTAAGAATCCCTATGCCAAGTATGAAATAGTATCCATATAAGGGCATTTTAATTATAGGTCTAGACTGCAGTGCTTTTTTTTCAAACTTGTGTTCATGATAATTTTTCTCATTCACATTTCTGTCTCCACAGAAAACGAGTCAAACATATATAACTTTTCAAAAACACTTTTGTTATGATTCTAAATCAACTTTCATATTTAATCTTCCGACAATTTTGTCTTTGACAAATCAAATACATGCATTTTAAATCATAACGTTTATTATCATATGTTTTAAGTGATTATTTCAGTAATCGATTACTATTACTATTAGAATATGTTTGGTTTTGGTTTGTTTGTGTTTTATGTCCTATTAACAGCTTTGGAGATGTTGGAGGAAAGCCAGAGTTCTCAGAGTGAAACCTATGACCGATAGCCAGTACCTGGCGACTGCCCCATGTAGACCTGGAACCTGTGACCCAGTGGTAGAATACAATTTCAGTCGTATTTTTTCATAATTCATAGAATTTGTCCTCTTAACCCTTTCACCCCTATGTAACTTTAGTAGACTCTACCTTGCATTGATTTTGATAAGTCCATTATGGTGAAAGGGTTAACCACTTTAATATATGTCTACTATAATTAGGAATATGGTTCCTTTTTTCAGTATAGCCATTCAGTTTCGCCCTTTAAACTTTGTCATATGTAAGTTTTTGTAAGGAATCTGTACTACACTACTGTACCTGTGTATTTTGATTGGCTAAAGTCTTGGGTTGGTATGAACATTTTATAAAATCTGGCAAACAAACCAAGTTAAAGTTGGATACTTAATCCTTGTTAGCACTTACCAGTACAGCTTGTTCTGTTGTGTTGGCCGCCTGCTCCTCATATTGGTCAAGGCTCAACTGACCACAATATGCTTTGGTCATTTGGCAGGGCTCATCATACTCATCGAAACTCTCAAGACGATAGTCTGATTTGGCCTCGGTCATCTAAAAAGGAAATAAGCAAAAATGTGAAAATGAATATTTCTGAAACTCTTTAAAACTTAAAATATATGTACATGTTACATACTGTACCAGAGCTGTCTACAAAAAAAATCCAACTTCCATCACGATAACATGTTCTTAACAAAATTTGATATATATAGAATTTATATCAAGTGGTTATCATTATTCAGTGCTTTCAAAATAGCACAGAAAGCATCGAAATATATCAAAACTGCTCAAATTTACACCACAAAAAATTGGTCCCTTAAATATATATATATATACCAGTGTAATTAACAGAGTTTGGAATTACCTTCAACTCCTTTCTTCTGAATTTTCTGATTTTTATAACTTTGCTGAACTTGGTAAAAAATTGTCCCTTATGAAATGGGTTTTTTGTTTGTTTTGGTAGCATAGTTTTAACTTCAAACTTAAGAAAATTACTGGAAAATGCAAACAGAGAAGAGAATCTTTGTTTTTAGATTGATAGACAAAATCGTAAAAGAATACACCATATGTTAATACAATGTTGTTTGTCCAACTTCCTCCAACTACGCTCACAATGTGTAGTGATGTATTTTTTGTATACACAAGATTTTATACTTTGGTCATCTGGTAATTATATAATTGATACCGCATTTAAAGATATAATTGTCCTATATCCAATATAAAGATAATTAGGATAGCCTGTGGTAAGTGTCGAAATATAATATGTGCCTGTTAATTAAAACACCTATAATCATTTTATACACTTAATTGGGGTAACACTTCCCTTTGGTGATTTACCATCTGAAATTCTCATTAAATATAATTAGCTAGTTAACCTTGATTCACATAAATTTACATAATATAAATTGCCCAAAGCTGAAGGTATAATATGAAATTGACACCCTGGCTAAACTAGCTCTAGCCTACAGCTCGCTAGGTATTGTATAATTGTATGTTTTGGAACCACTTTTACAACAAAAGATACATTTATTTATTTATAATTATACCTTCTTTAAATTACAATTAAATGCATTGACCACTATAGTCAACTTCAATTATTCTAATCTTCAATTTAGAAAGAAATGAATTTACTGTTAGTGTCAATGAGAGAATATGAGTCAATTAAGAATGTGCATGTTCATGTATATTGTGACTCCCTTAGTCCTCTAATGTACGGTCCAAAAATAATAAAGTGTGTCTGGAAAATATGTTTACATACATATTTTGATATCTGTATCTGCTTAATTTTTTAATCACAACAAATTGTACTGCATAGAATATAGTATTAACTACTAAAATAAACTTAACAGAAAGAAATTCACAGAAAAGCATACAAAGACACTTATATAATATATGTTTTGGCACAGCCTGTGCTACTATCAATTTTTGGTAAGTAATGGTGAAATGTTGCATATATATTTTCAAAAAATTCCACTTTATCCAGATCTATGTATTCTATCACTAAAAAGAAATACATTTAATGGAAAAACTACTTTTCTTGATGTTAAAATTGTTTTCAGGTAAAATCTGATTTGTAACGGAACTGGACTAGGTAGATCGTTTGCTAGTACTAATATTAATACCGGCCTACTCTGCCCTGGGCGTCGCAATATATATGTAAAAGATGTGGATTAATTAGGTTGCCTTACAAGCGTCAGCTGTAGGGAATTTCCCTTTAGCTTAGCGGTAGAGCATTGGGCTAGAGAGCCAAGGGTCGTGGGTTCTAGCCCCAGCACTATCTTTATCACTTTTCCTCGTCCTATTACAAACTGCAGGTGCCGTTGACCCTCCCCGTTCAAGGTAGGAGAATGCTTGGTGGGAGTCAAAGAACCTGGGTTGTGATTTGAAAAAAGGGGGGAATAGTGTAAAAGATGTGGATTAATTAGGTTGCCTTACAAGCGTCAGCTGTAGGGAATTTCCCTTTAGCTCAGCAGTAGAGCATCGGGCTGGAGAGCAAAGGGTCGCAGGTTCTAGCCCCGGCACTATCTTTATCACTTTTCCTCGTCCTATTACATATATATAAAAATCTCTTCGTCAGAAAGCTACGCTATGGCAACTAATCGTTGGTGAGCAGGTAGCTCATTTGGTCAGAGACAGGTAGTATATATCAGGGACAGTATTTACGTCCCTGTATATATATACGTCTTTGATTTTGTAGAGCGTCAATCTAGAGTGCGGAGGGTCCTGGGTTAGAATCCCAGTCTTTCTCCTGTTACAGGTATTTATTCGTTATGCGCCTCATCATTTCCAACATATTTAACAGACGTTCACTCAATGTTTACCTTCACGACAGGCATCTGCTTTTGGTATGTAATAATGTAAAAACCCTATCCTTCTTGTTAACAGATGCCTGTGCTTTCACTACAGTACAGTACCCGGTGACCCCTCGAAATAGTAAGATGATGTCAAAAAAGCTTGAAGACATGCAACGGTAGGGGCACTGAATCAGGTGTAGAGCTCTACTTTTTAAGCCCCCCTCCCTCCCCCAAGTATCTCTGCCACCGTCACAATCAGAACAAAGTGATTTCCAATGAAAATCGCTCAACCAGCGCCAACCAAAAACGGTAACCGTATTAGAATGTTTGTTGGAAAAAAAGAGCGTTTGAACTCTGGTGTTATTCATGACATTTCAGAACAAACTGCGATATTGATTAAAGAATAGACACATCTGAAATAGTCGATCGGCGAAGCCAACGCAACGGCATCGTTAAGAATCGCGCTTTTTTACAAAAATATTCAATATTTGTTGTTGTCGAGTTGATTTGTTGTTATGTCTCAAGCTTCCTACCTTGCGCTTTTGTGGATTCAAACTTTCCGCGTACGCGAAATCTCACGAGAACATTTTCGGAATGCTTCGAGATTTTATATTCGGACTTGTCATCCGGGCATTTTATATCAGCTGATGGGCGCTCGTCGCCGATTGAAATTTAGCTGGCGATCTACCGGTCGCTCTCCAATCATTTTAGACGTTCCACAACGTCATTAGGGGGACAAGCAACCCCCTAACAGTTTTTTTGAATTATTTTATTCAATCTTTTTTAACTGTTATAATTGCATACACTTCTGTTGAGGTATATTTTTTCTCTAGTTTGGTTGCTAATCATGGAGTTGTAAAGATGGCGTCCGTTGAATTTCGAGTCTCACCTTCGCCAAAAGGGGCGACCTTTAGGTCCGAAACGTTATTATATTTGTGGGGGGTAAATGTCACAGGAGAGTTCAGAGAACATGGACAGGAAACCTGGTAATCGCACTTCATCTGTACCACCAAAAGGAACCGGAAATGAAAACAAGAAATCTGGTGAGATTTGACATTGCACAAGGAGGAAGCAATCACCCCCTCCCCAACAACAACATAGTCCCGTCAAATAGATTTGACAATTATTTGTTTGACACTGCCAAGTGTTAACATTGACGCTATTATGAGACTTGTGCGAGCAGACGATGTTGAAACTAAAAGTTTAAATATTGTTTATTTTTGGAGCCTAGTGGACGACATGGCTAGAACATGCAAGTAAAATACAGGAAATGTAGATCAGATACCATTAACTTATGTTAACTTTTGTATAATCTGTATTGTTAACAACAGAATGACTTGTTTGATCAGATGCTACCCTACAATAGTCAAGATTTTGTCTTGTGCTGCAGCAGGATGTCTGACCTAATATAAACTTCTGACCTATCTGGCTATCAAGTTTGGAGAAAGGTCATCCATCTCTCGTTTTTATGTTCAAGCAAAGACATAAATCTTCATTTTAATGCACAGATGAAATCTGGTGCAACTTTTAATTAGGTTTATGACATATTTGCAGTTTAAGTCATAAAATTTGAGAAATATTGCATAATGTACAAAATTTTATTTCAAATACTGCTTAGTTACATTTTGTTTAAATTAAATCTTAAAACAGAAATAAAAACTTGTTACATGTATTATATATTTGTTGGCCATTCAAATGGCTAACACGGTTTTAATTAAATTTTTATTTGGACAGGTGGGGTTGGGGATAATTTTATCACAAATCATTTTTTTTATTTTTTTAACGTTTCCCACACTGAAACACCGATACACAAAAGAGAAAATGTAACATAATGATTGACAAGCTATGCAGTTTGTTATTTTTACATAACAGTTTGTGACTTTTGAAAGTTTATGTTAGATATATATATATAAATGCCAATTCTGGACAATATATGGATTTTGAAGAGAAGACTTACTGATTTATCTGTTTAAATGAAAAATATCTGAAATAGAAAAATTAACTTTGGTTTGAACTAACAGAAGAATGTTGTCTGTTGCAGATAATGCGTCTCAAAAACAGTATCCAAGAACACAAAAGAAGCGTGAAGGGTATAGTAACAGATCCCAGAATGAGCAAGGGGTGCGAAGGCCGACCCCACAGAAAAGTCGGGGGATGGAGGATAAACGCCCTAGATCCCGCGGGACCTACAGGGAAAGAGAAGACGTGAGTTGACATGTAAATTCAAAGAAGGGTAAAAAATATGCAGAATTTAAAATACTAGAGTGTAGGTCGATTTTGAAGTATAACGCCGCATATATTTTCATAGTTAATATTGAAAATGTTTCCCAGCCTTTAATACATAAAATCTACTACTCCAGCTCAGGGCCTGTATTCATGAAACTGTGCTCATGCTCAAGCATCGATTTTGTGCTCAACCAACTTTCTTGTAACAGCACTTAAATCTTGTCAAACGATCAAAAAGTCTGTAAACATATAGTATTTGGCTCTTCAAATTTTTCCAAATTTTTCACAAAATAAGATTTTATTATTAATTTATAAACAATACAAGAAGTTAGACTTGAGCACAAAATCCATACTTGGGCATGAGAACGCTTTCATGTGTGCAGGCTCTGGCCGTCGACCTCCTCGACACCTGGGTAGTTTCCAACTGGTGAAATGGAATAAAATGTAGCATTCATTTCCTTATTCTTGTCCTGTTACACAGGATGCCCTCAGTTCATTGTCTTCTTAAAGTAAGTATAACTTGCTATTTCAGATGAATGATGAGTACCAAGACTATGACAATGTCTTGAATTCCCGTCGCAAGGTGAATCTGAACCACCTGCTGAACTTCAGCTACAGTGAACCAGAACGTTACCACAATGACGGCTATATGGGTCGGCCGAACAGGTCGAGGGTCAAGAGTCTCCGATACAACAAAGAGCAGTTCCTTCAGGCCAAGTAGGTACTTTTGTGTTTGGTGAAGAAAAGTGCTGTTTTATATCTACAAAGGATTACCTTGTACACATGCTTACAAGCTTTTACTCAAAACCATATTTGTATTTCAAGTTCGTAAGCCTTTTGGCAGAAAAAAGGTATATTATTCACTTGAAAATGTCGGTAGATGAAAATGTTTTTTTTACTTTCAACATTTCTGAGAAATTGTTAGAAATCTGTTGATAACCCTTCAGATGTATGTTTTATCACAATAAAATTTACTGTTTAGATCGGCACACATTAAACATAATCAACGTCAACTTTCATATCGCACACACACAAAACTAAAATCATAAAAAAAAATGAAAAGTTATATTATCTTTCGATACAGTTGCCAGTTTGTTGTCGATCAGAAGGGAGACTATACAATACACAATCACAACCCTGATACCCTGGTGGACTGGGATTCTGTCGAACTCATTGTAAGTACTTGTTAGGTGGGCAATTTCTTTCTTTTTAGTAGTCTGTTCAAGAATAAAGAAAGTAAAGATAAGACAAGTGCGACAAAGTTTATAAACATACATTTGCAATTATGGATGTTTACTTAGAGATTCTAATGTTTCTCCTGAATATCACTGAGTAGAACTGTATGTTGTTTGTTACAGAGAGTTCAAAGCTCGGAGACTTCATCCTGTCCGATATGTCTACAAGCACCTGTTGCTGGTAAGACAAAGCATCAATGGAAGATTTGTGGGGAATAGGTTTTCGTAACGTTTACTGGGAGAAATATATCCTGTAAGGAGTTGGACAAAATGTATTTTTCTTAAAAATTAGTTGAATTGATCTTATCACTAAAATTAGTGAAAGGGATCCATGAAACAAATTGATAAGAATATTTCAACATTTAAGAAGATGATGGAATCGGTCAATTTAAAAGGGGGTGGGAAGAAGTTTTCCATAGGGGTTCGAAAAATCATCGAACAATCATCGAACAAAGGACTAGTAAATTAAAAAGTTAATAACAAATTCCTAAAAGAAAACACCTTTTTTCAAGTTCACCAATTTTAGAAATATGTTATGGTTGCTGAGGTATCTATACAAGTTGAAATGTTAACGAGTTATTTATATATTTACAGCCAAGATGACCAGGTGTGGACATATCTACTGCTGGGCATGCATCTTGCATTACCTCGCCCTTGGGGAAAAGACTTGGCGGAAATGTCCAATCTGTTACGAGTCCATTCATGACAAGGATCTCCGCAGGTATGGTAGGCCACCAAATCACAGCTTTATCTCATAGGCTTCCATGGCTTTAACACATCACAGCTTTCTCTCATAGGCTTCCATGGCTTCTGGAAAAAGAATAGATTTACCACAGAAAATAATCTTAATTCCAAGTTAGTGCCAATATTTTCCAGTTGAATATTATCCCGATCGGAAAATCAAATTTCAAATTTCAAAATCACAATTTAATGTGTCCTTCTTATAAAGATTCATTCTCAATTTCATAAAATGGTAATTCATTGACAAACGTTCTTACAAGTTCAACATAAATTTGGAATTATAAGTTAATTTGCAGCAAAGAATGAAGATGCATTTTCCGTACTGAGTAAACTTTGATTTGTTAGCAAGAAGGCAAGAGCTACATCAGTTGCAAAATATCCTAATGAGCAACTAAAGCCAGTTGGCATATAATCTGGGTGAAAAACCTATTGTGAAATAGTGACTCATTGTTTTGTGTTTAATAATTGCAATACTGTCTATTTCCAGTGTTGAGAGCAAGGAGGTTCACCAGTATAAAGTAGGAGAGACGATCACGTTACAACTGATGAAGCGCCAGAAAGGAAATGTTTATGCCCTACCCAAATCCTGCGAGGCTAACAAGCTTGGCAAATTCTTCTCTGTACAGGGTAAGTAAATTACTAGGTTTTCATTCTCTCGCATCTTCAGTAACACAATACATGCCGAGAAGAAAGGTCATTGTCTGATAATGAATAAAAATACTTATAGAAAACAAGTGGTTAATTAATGATAGCTTTATAAAGTTTTTAAAAAATCTTATGAATAGAAACCAAATTGAAACAGTGTAATACATCATAGTGCGTAAAATACAGAAATTAAAGATGGTTTTATATCATCAATGCATCACTTGACATTCCATTTCATTAGGAATATCTTTGACTTGCTTAAATAGATAACTGCAAATAAATTATATATCATTATATTTGCAATAAACACAGAATAGAATTATTAGAAAACATTTGATTATTGATGACTGAATTTCTAGACGACCATTGCAAGAAACAATATTTTATTTGTCAGATGTAGACCTGAAGACACGCTACATGAAGATCCTTCTGGCTTCCAGGGAGGAGATTAGAAAGCGTGTACTGTTGGTTGAGAGAACGGCTCTCGAGACCCAGAAAGTGGATGCTGAGGTAAGCTGGATTACATCTTCAGTATTACAGGGTCCCGGTACCACTACCACAAACTGTAAAGAAGTTATGAATACGATTTTTTCCGGCGTGGTTATAGCTTTGATTATATCTGAAAAGAAAACAATGCCTTACATGATTTTTAAGCAAATTAATGATAATGGAATAAACAAAATATAATCAATGTTTTGAGTGTAAAAAAACTCAGCATTGCTGGACCAAGATACAAGCCCAGGACTTCAGATTGGTATACTATTGTTCTAACCCATTGCACTACTTGGTCAACAAAAGTGTCTAGGCCCAACTTTGCTACAGTTATATCTAAACGGAAGTTAAGGGGAGGTAACAGTGTATAGGAAAAAACACAGTTTAATAGGACAAGGATCTTAAAGAGTCATATTATAAAGGACATTAAAATCTCTGCAAAACTAACCTTCTGTCCTTATATAAAACAAATCAGAAGGTATCATATGTCAGGACTCTCTGGGGAAACTTGAAGGATGGAACTACTTTTTGTTGACATTCAGGGTTGATTCCGACCACACAAATTGCCCTACTTGCCCTTGAGTATTTCATTCCTCAGTTATTCCAACATTGAAACACAACTCACTTATGTAGCTGATATTTTATTGTTTTGTTTTAAATACTTCAGTATTTTTGACAAATGATTCTCAAGTCTACAAAAGGACCTCGTTTTACAAATTCCTGAAATTATATCATGACATATATATTTTAGTGGGTAATTTGAACGTTTTGATTTTCAGGAGTCTGAGATTCCTTTTATTGAGGGTGCACTGACGATGCTGAAGGTGAGGGATTTGTCAAAACTGTAACTAGACAGTTGTGTTTTGCAAATACTGCAACACTGTTTGGGCTAACTCTATCTGATAAGCATGCAGCACAACCTCTTTTTTTTCGGCTGAAAATATAGCAAAAATAAAGACTGAAAGTTGCCAAACAAATATTTATAAAAAAAATATCTGTCTTGAATTCTACAAAATTTCAGTTTTGCACAGAAATTAATAGTTGAATGGTGATAACAATTATGAAATAGTGATGATGATGATGATGATGTAAAAAGAAAACTCGTCTGATGTTTTTCAATTTCTCGGTGCACATGTCTAGTGTATATATATAGGTATGTAATTGTAACATTTTATGTAATTTATTTCTGGAAACAAAAATCATGGCCTATTGATAGAGTTGAAATTTGTTAATCTGTTTAGGCACGAGAAGATGTAAATGAGGGACAGGTACGTGGGAAAGCGATGGTTCCAGGGGCTGCGAAAACTACTCAAGTCCCAGCAAAACCTCTTCATGCTAGAAAGGTAGGTCTATAATTACTTCTTACTTGTGTATAGTGTTACCATTATTGAAAGCATTCCTAGCTTTTATGTTCAATAGTAAGCTAAAGTATATCTCCCACTTGTGAAAATCAAATGTATTGTGTAGGAGTTTAGAGGTAGAGGCTGCATCAAATATTCTTTACATATCAAAAACACTTTATTGGCCTTAAGAACAAGATGCCTTCTGTGGAATTGAATTATCTTTAAGTGGAATAATTGTCTCTACAATAGCTTTATAGTTTATAAGCTCGGTTAAAGAATAGCTGTGTGATAGTGTAATCTGGGGAGAACTAAGTGCCCAAGCCTTCAGGAAGGGAAATGATCCTAGTAAATTTAGTACATCATGTTGAAGCATTAGAATTAATAAACAATGCAACATGTACAAACACTGCTTATTCAATGTTAAAGAATTGTCATTGACCAGTTATAACACTGCATTTTCTTTCTACTGGTTTCTATATATAATGCAAGGTATAGTTCAACAGGAAAAGTCTCCACAGAAGAAAGTGTCGTGCATGCAGATATAAAAAAAAAAAAACTTTGATTCCAAAATGATGATGTGCGTTATATTTAGATTTGACAAAATTTCAATTGTAGAAATTTTCCACTTCAATATTTGTATGAATTCACATGCACACACAAACAGAAAAGAAATGGATAAATTAATGCAAAAACGTGTCTCCTCTGCGGTAATTAGAATGTGTTTTTGGAGTATCTGTCATTTATATCACTGTCTATCTACAGGCTGCAAAAGTATACAAATCTGCATTCTCTGATGAGGAAGATACAACTACAGAGAAAGACATAATGGGGAGACGCACATCAGACGATAGTTCGGAGTCCCCAGAAGGTTCAACACACTCGGAAAAGGGGGGCAAAGGGTCACCTGTGAACATTCCCTCCTTGAGTTTGTCCAATAGCCCCACCCCAGACCTGCCCTCAGTGTCTGGGTCCCCAGAAAATCCTTGTACGTCCTTGCCCCCGGGGGTACTGGCTGACTCTATGCCAACAGAGGAGGCCGCTGAACATCTGGAGATGCCGTCTCACCCAGAAGTGGCATCTCCTAGCAGTAGGAACAGTGGTGGAGCTGACAACGCTTTCTACTTTTACCAGGGTAACAATTTGGTATTAGTATTAACCCTTTCACCCCTATGTAACTTTAGTAGAGTCTACAATGCATTTATCTGGACGAGTCCATTTTGGTCTACAGTGGTGAAAGGGTTAAGCTGATCTAAAGAAATAGTTCAAAGACTAAAATACCAGATAAAATGTACAATTGTAGACAGCAGTAATTGTCTGAAAACAACAGGAAGCTATACATGAATCTCTAATAGAAACGGAAACTGTCTGGAAATTTTTATATATATTTCACAGGGAAGATATTTTTTTATTTCATTTACATAAAAGGTAGCTTAACAACTACTATAAATCAGAAATGATTTTATACAACAATGATATAAATTGGCCAGGTGTGAATTATGCTAGTGATTGAAACACTATTTGACTCATAATTTTGACTTAACATGCATGAACATCGGTTTATTTGTCATGTTAAATTATTTCAGCGGAGGATGGACAGCATATTTACATGCATGCCCTGAATGCCCGCTGTTTGGTGAAGGAGTACGGCGCCCTGCAGCACTGCCCGGATACCATCACTGCTACTATCGTGGAGATGGAGAACATCTTTATAACAGAGGTACACTGTTTGGCTTTGTTGACGCCACATGGCATCAGTGGTACTGAAAATGTTATGTAGAGCAAAGTAAAACTTTGTTTACAGGTTCCCTAAAACAAAAATTAGAATTTTAGGACTTGCATAATTCTTTAAAAAAAAAAAAAATGAGAATTGGTCCCAAGTCTTAAAAACCTTTAAAAAAATATAATTGCCCTTGACATATCATTCAAAATGAGGAGTAGAATGTTTACAAAGAATATGAGAGTCTGCAAAAAACTTACTGAAAAGATAGCGGACGTAGATGTAAATAGAAAAGTTATTTTACTGTTAATTTTCCCCAGATTTTTGTCATTTATTTTATCCTCATGTTGATAGCATTTGTTTCATAGTACCACCATTAGACTGTCTAATGAATTAAGCTATTGGTGTACTTTTTCTTGACCTTTAGAATACATCCATGATATAAACACTTGAAGCAAAAAGATAATGGCCACCATAGATTGCAGTTGTATTTCTTAGACCGATGATGTTGGTTGATGTTGGTGACATATTGAAAGAAACTGAATTATTTAAGTCATTATTATATGAAGATCCTGGCAGTTTTGCTATAACGTGTGATTTCTTTTGCCTGACAGGATCTGCGTAAGAGACTGCGGTACCTGGGACATCTGCCGCTCACCTGCGAGTTCCAGGTGGTGGAACTGGCCATCAAACCCCCAGTCCTGTCAAAGGACACACTCAAGTTTTTTTCAGGTGAGTTATGAAGTGAAAACATGTTTCTTGCTTTCAATATTCTATGAGTAGAGTGTTAACTGTTATATTTCCTTAACAGATCTGTACTTGTTTACAACTATTTCAATAGTATAAGTAGTGAGTATCCTGCTGCTGCTCGCTTTGTTTCGTAAACTTTTGGCAATTTGTGAAAATGTTTGCAAGCCCAAAGGACTAGGGGCGTTTATGGTCATTTCCGGCCTCGTCGGGGATTTATAATTAGTTGTTAGATTCGAAATCTGAAATAAATGAAGTACGTAAGTATGAAATTTCAAATTCATTCGACAACTGGTTTAGGAGATATGGGATATGAGATATTACAAAGAGAGACAAAAAAACATTTTCATGCGGGAATATCGACTGTTGTGCAATTTTTGGTTGGAAATTGACCATTTTGAGGAAATAAACTAAACACTCTTCAATTTTTGAAAGCCTTCGCTTGACATGCTAAAACATTGTCATACCGGTGTTCATTTTAGGATAGGATGTTTTGTTTGTCACATGCGGAGGCTTTCATTTCTGCATGCTTACTTTCCCAAAAACACCATATTTTTGCTATTTCTGCATAGCAACGCAATTGTGATGCTGTGGTAGGGTATCGATGCACCAGGAAAGGTAGCCCCAATTCACCAATAGGATGTTTATAACAGAAATTGGTCAGTAAACTTCAAGTGTGAAATTTTTACTTTTTATGAAGCCAGAAATGGCCCATAACGCTCCAAATTCTTTTTATTCTATTCCTAACGAATTAATTGTTTAACAGATGACATTGAGAAGCGCCGCCGCAGGCGACAGAGGAAACACAGAGATGATCGACGCCGGTCAAAGAAGATCCAGGACGACGAAAAGATAAAGATGGGCATAAGTAAGAACACATTTTCTCTGACTGTGTTTCTGATTCTGATTCTCAAGGTTAACCAGATAGAAAAGCCATGTTCAAAATTAATATCAACTTATCAAGTTGTGTCTATCAGAGGTCTGGTCTGTCCTTATCAATATCTTAAGATGCAAAGTCCTGTTGTCTGTAAGTTTTGGTGAAGTGTGGACCACGATTTTGAAATATTGGTGCCTTTACCTTTAAAAAAAATAGCTGTGAAAACATTAATCAGGGGGTTATCTTCATCATCTTTGACTTTCTTGTTATAAAAAGTAAAAGTTTGATAGAAATCACCTGTCGACTTGAAACACAATATAATTGATAAGAATGTTGAAATTATAAAAAAAAAATGAAATTGTGGTGATACAGGGGATTGCAGTGATTTTTTTTTAAGGTTAATTCCCCCAGACAATTTCTGGTGTTTTTTCCCAAAATCAATGCAAAAATCACTTTATTTCCCAAAGTCATGATTTTTTGTGGGTTATATTTTCCCAATTCAACAGGCACAGGCCCTGTGGAAAGAAAGTAGAAGAACTTGGATCAACAAGAAACAAATAAGAAAGTTTCAGAATTTTACCATTCAAGTACATGGTAGTTAGTTCTGTTGTTTACAGCTCCAGGGGTGACCATTGTGCACAGTCAGTTTGTAGCTGGCGTGATGTCGGAGAATCGCCCGTCTTCTCCAGCGGCTTGTAGTGACGACAGTAACGCCTCTTCCATGGCTCACTCTCCACTTGACAGTCCAGCCAGTGGGTCGTACCTGAACCCTCTAAGTTCCAAGTTCCTCTCCCACACAGAGGAAGTGGAGACCGAGGGTGACCAGACAACCAATGTGTCGTTTGCCCAGGTATGTAGAAAGTTCTCACCATTCTCCTCTATGGAGGCTGAGATGATCTTACAAACTACCCCTCCTGTACTTTAGTTGTAATAAGTTTTGGACGAAGGTTTTGAAACACCCACACTTTTGCCTTTATATGTTGTAATTTCCTTCTGATTATAAAACTTAATGAAAGAGAAGTCTAATAAATAGAGCTATTAAACATCAACAATCAGCAAGCTTAGATCATTATAGGTTCAGGACACATTTTGATATTTAATTTACGCATTTTATTAACACACCTTTAATTGTTACACAGGAAACAGCACTGTGAGATGGAGAAACATGCTACTTTATCTGTCATAAAGTTCATAGATATTAGCTATGGTTGCACATCTTTGTTCATTTATCAATTACAGATGTTAAAGGCCGGTAAGCGCCAGGCACCTGTGTGGCCGAAGACTGCAAGAAGTGAGGGGCCAGCACCCATTGCGGTTAGAGGGCGGACCATTAGTCGTGGGAGTGAGGACAGTGACCCAGAGGACAAAGTACCTGTTCCCGAGTACCATAACTCATTTGGAGACGCCTTCCAGACTGCCCTAGACAATCTGCACCAACTACCATCCAAAGGTATGTTACTCCACACGGAGTATTAACAAATGATTATATGTCATATGTAAGTTTGGCTGCCTTGATTGAATTCTGATGTAGTGATTAGCATTTTTATACAAAAATTCGAAATTTACACCAGCATTGCAAATGCAACAATAGGTAGACATTACTGTAGATAGTATACATATTAAGGAATACAACTTCGAAAAGATCAGATTAAATTCTTGGTTTTGGTCATGATGTTGCCAATAACCGCCAGTTTTGATAGATATATAGAGATTTAATATCCTAATTTAAACTTTTTAAAGTCTTAAAATTGATGGGCATTACGTAGGATATAAACATGTTATAACACTAAGTGTCATTGTGTTGTAGGTGAAGTGGAAGCTACTCCACCCCAGCCGACCTCTGGGGGTAAGAAGAAAAAGAAACAGCAGAAACTGCTTCTCTTCTCCACATCTATGGCTCGCGGAGGCAAGTAGGAGTAGTCTATGGTCCAAGTCAGATAGTAGGACTTGTTATGGACCATGGAGACGAGTTTGTTTGTTCTTTAGAATCCTAGAGGGCAACTGTGACAGTTATAGACTTAACGCCACATCAACAAGTGAAAAGAGATACAGCCCGACAGGAAGGAGAATTTCAGAAATGTTACACTGACTGGTTTCTTGGACAAAGTAAATTATCCATATTGACTAGTACTCTAGGTCATCAGTGATGATACTTAGTCGGGTGTGGTGATCAGATATGTTTAAATGATCTGTGGCTTCTGCTGGTGTGGTGTAATTGTAAAGGTGATGGTGTTATGGATTGTAGGTTATTCCTCAGTGTATTCCCCTAGCTTGCTATGTTGTACAGTACAGAACTCACAGTTCGTAGAGGTTTGTGTTGCTAGATCCATGGGCTAAGCGATGACAGTTATTGCGATTTTTGCAAAATTTATCCTTTTATCACTGTGAACCACAATGGACTCATCCAGATGAATGGATGGTAGAATCTACTAAAGTTACCAAGGGGTGAAAGGGTTAAAGGCTGTCTATTTTTGCCATGACCATGGATCAATATTAAAAGTACTTATTAATACATCATCTCATTAAGCCTCACCAAGTATTTTAACAAGCATCAACACCTATTCATATATAAATATACCATGCTTGTCATCTATAATTCCATTTTCAATGGACTTTTGAAACCAACCAGTTCAAATGAAATGAAAACAAACCAGAAGCTATTAAACTTAATGTATCTTTTATTTCCAATTTGAACTTTGTTCAAAATAAAACCGACAGTTATAAGTTATCATCAATAAATAAACACAGTTTATTGTATGGATTCAATACGGGAAATCATCAATAAATATGAACCTTTATGGATTCGTTTTTATGAAAATTCTTTAAAAATTGCAGAAACAGCTGGTACATGTCATTTAAACATTTTAATGATTTTGAAGAATGAAAATCTCATGCCTATAATGAAATAATAATATTGAAAATAAATAAGTTAACACAGAAGTTCATTTAAATGGAGAACAAAAGGAGGGCATTGAATTTTATCTGCTATAAAATAATTGACAATGTGCAATGTCTCGTGACATCTTAAGACCATCTTAAGACTGTAAAATATTGAACAACAGGGGCATTGAATTTAATATGTAATAAATTATGTGACGAGGTGCATTGTGTCGCGACATTTTAAGACAGAAATATTTTTGCCAGTAAGAGTTATGCTGGATGGTGATGTTCGATCTGCATGTATGACTGCCATTGAGTCGTTTCCAATCAATTACAACATTGTGTGAAGCTTCCTGTATGTGTTGCAAATCCCTTTTAAAAACAAGATTGTACTTGTATTTTGTTATGTTTTTTTTTTATTTTTCAAATGTTTTGAGAGTTGTTTTACTCCCAATGCCAGTATGAGCAGTGCAGTAGACATTGATAATAATAGATTGCAACAAGACGTTCAAGTTTGTTGACAGTCGCAGAATCTTTGAGTCTACTTTTTGTTGTATTATTAAATGAATTTATTATATACACATGTAATGCTAGTAACACATCTGTTCATTGACAATGACATTTGCAATCATCTGTTCTGTTATATATAGTTCACGTATTTAAACAGAGATCCATGGTGACTCTGATTCTTTAAAACTTGATTATCGGTACTTCTTGCAGTGAAATTGAACAAATGTAGGTTGCCAATGTATGTCAAATGACTGTTCAAATAACCATTCTATTGGTGGTAAAATAGTTTTGAACTTTTGTTCAATTCTAAACAAGTAACAGGAGTTTGTCTGTTGCTTAATAGTCACGTTTCTACCTGCAAAATGTATAGGTTTTATTTGGAGTGACTACATATTCAATATTTCTTACATATGTTTAGGTGTGTGTTCATAGTTATATAAAGATGTGTATCATTGTCATAGAAGGCTGCTGATATGTGCACTTTGGTATCTTGGTGCACTAACTATAATAATAATAATAAATGTGATTCTTCTTCATCTTACTGAGGATAACACACTGCCTTTACATACGAAGATACTAATTATAATACCGGGTAAGTATAGATGTGATTCTCCATCATCTTACTGAGGATAACACTGCCTTTACATACAGAGGTATATTGGGAAAGCATGCCTTTGTGATGTAGTGATAAATGATGTTGAGTGACATTGTCTTGTTTGTATGGCATGACTGTTTAAATTTGAGCTGCAATGTCAATATGTAAACCCAAGTAAACTTTATTTCGGGTCATCAGACTTTGGACCAAATGAGAAGTTATATAAAAGCGGTTTAAGTCCTTGTCCTGTAATGCAGTGGGCGTTTATATTGCCTATGAACTGCATCTGGAAACAGTGTAATGCTTAAATGGTGCTTAACTTTATCTTGACATTATTATAATCAAGTGTTAAAAATAATAACCCCCAAATTAGTTGCCCTTCTGATAGAATCACAGATCAATTACTGAGCAGTGTCTACCTTAATCCCAATAGCACCTGTCGCCTGGTGTTCCACCTCCACCCCACTCAAATTTCAAATTAAAAACCTATTGTACAAGATGTTAACCCTTTGTGATTATTATTTTCCGATCAGTCAACTAATTGTAGTTTGTTACAAGGCAGAGTCCCTTCTTATCACACAAATAGTTCAAATATTGATTATCTGTGTTCGAAGTTTGTTTTCCATTAAAGACAAATTTAACCAGGTTTGTATTCTTTACAATAGCTCGAGAACATGCACTGTATTAAAATTTGACAGAACAAATCTACAGTCTGTCTGGCTTTGGTAACACAAGGACTTAATAGAAGTTACATTCATATGATCCTCTGCCATTGTTTGAAAGATTCAAATAGAGTAATTTGTTAATGGTATACATGTACATTTGTGACTAGCTGAAATCAAGTAGCAGGAGTTTGTCTGTTGCTTGTATTTTATGTATTATGAAATCGTTATATAAATTATGTCCTTGTGGACCAGCTGTAGTTTTCTACTCACGGTATATGCCCTTCATGTGTGTTTCCTGGCTGAGTTTATTAATAAATAAAAAATATCAAACCTCTATTTTTGTTGTGATTATATTTTGGACCTTAAATCCGAAGATTATATATTTGCGTTTCTTGTTACCTTAACTTCAATGTGATTTTATGCCAACACTACAGGTTTCGTTCATACATTACGTGCAGTGAAAGTCATTTCTATACAAAAGAGAGAAAAATGCTAATTACCAAGCTTCAAATATGCAACAGGAAAATTAAAAATTAATTGCTTGATCTTTGTTATAACATGGAAGGCCAGAGAAAAAGTTTCAGTTTGTCAATAAAGCCATAAAAACTGACGCCTATCGACAGTCAGTATATGAAATCACAGGCCCATGCCTCCCAAAGTCGACCCAATTTCAGGTTTTTTCGGGTCGTTTGTCTTTTTTCTTTAAATGAATTTTAAGGTCAACTAAATCTAGACAATCGATTGGATAAAAATTATTACAACTTATCATGGCCTTCTCCCTTCTAACATTTACCATTACATGATTTTAATAACACATGAATAAATATATATAATTTCACACAGACACAAATACACAACATAAAAACATCATTCAAACTATATATTGCTGGATTTGATGAATTGATTCACATGTCTAAAATACATTCTGCGGGTTTCACGTTTTTTACTTTCATGAAATTTGATTTCAATATAGCAAAAATAAAATGCTTGAAACATTGTTAGAATCAATGTTAATTCATTCGTCTCTTAATGTCAATAACAATAACGGAGAATAAAGTGAATTGAAAACATTACTACAATATCAAACAAGGAATTAACCTATCAGTAATGAAAGAAATTGATGTTGAATATCACAAGTTCCTCTAGATCTGTATTTAATGATGATATTTGTTTCATCAGGTAACAACACAGTGTCAATCTGGTAAATGTTGGTAGGTATCCCCTCAAGCACTAGCAATCTGTTAACACTATAATGATCCCAAGCACGTGTAGGTCGTGATACAGGTCATAGACTAAAACCATACTTGTGTATTTACATGACTTTTTATGAAACGGGAGCGAAACGTTAAAAATTGTATATGTCCCGAAACGACTTGTTTCAGTCCCGAAAAGACTAGCATTCAATTTCTGCACGTCAAAAGTGATGTTTACTAGACGATCAGAAAGGTTCACCTTATAGAGACCGTCCCACTGAGAGGGCCAGATTTATAGACTAATAAGATGGTGGTGATGTCACATGGGACTCTTTATCGTTTCTCTAAGTATTGTATTGACGATCAGAAAGGTATACCTTATAGAGACCAACCCACTGTGAGGGCCAGATTTATAGACTAATAAGATGGAGGTGATGTCACACGGGACTCTTTATCGTTTCTCTAAGTATTGTATTGACGATCAGAAAGGTATTCCTTATAGAGACCAACCCACTGTGAGGGCCAGATTTATAAACTAATAAGATGGTGGTGATGTCACACGGGGCTCTTTATCGTTTCTCTAGGTATTGTATTGACGATCAGAAAGGTACACCTTATAGAGACCAGCCCACTGTGAGGGCCAGATTTATAGACTAATAAGATGGAGGTGATGTCACACGGGACTCTTTATCGTTTCTCTAGGTATTGTATTTACGATCAGAAAGTGACGATCAGAAAGGTATACCTTATAGAGACCAACCCACTGTGAGGGCCAGATTTATAAACTAATAAGATGGTGGTGATGTCACACGGGGCTCTTTATCGTTTCTCTAGGTATTGTATTGACGATCAGAAAGGTATACCTTATCGAGACCAACACACTGTGAGGGCCAGATTTATAGACTAATAAGATGGAGGTGATGTCACACGGGACTCTTTATCGTTTCTCTAGGTATTGTATTTACGATCAGAAAGTGACGATCAGAAAGGTATACCTTATAGAGACCAACCCACTGTGAGGGCCAGATTTATAAACTAATAAGATGGTGGTGATGTCACACGGGGCTCTTTATCGTTTCTCTAGGTATTGTATTGACGATCAGAAAGGTTCACCTTATAGAGACCAACCCACTGTGAGGGCCAGATTTATAAACTAATAAGATGGTGGTGATGTCACACGGGGCTCTTTATCGTTTCTCTAGGTATTGTATTGATGATCGGAAAGGAACACCTGATAGAGACCAACCCACTGTGAGAGCCAGATTTATAGACTAATAAGATGGTGGTGATGCCACACGGGACTCTTTATCGTTAATCTAGGTATTGTATTGACGATCAGAAAGGTACACCTTATAGAGACCATCCCACTGTGAGGGCCAGATTTATAGACTAATAAGATGGAGGTGATGTCACACGGGACTCTTTATCGTTTCTCTGGGTATTGTATTGACGATCAGAAAGGTACACCTTAGAGAGACCAACCCACTGTGAGGGCCAGATTTATAGACTAATAAGATGGAGGTGATGTCACACGGGACTCTTTATCGTTTCTCTGGGGATTGTATTGACGATCAGAAAGGTACACCTTATAGAGACCAACCCACTGTGAGGGCCAGATTTATAAACTAATAAGATGGTGGTGATGTCACACGGGGCTCTTTATCGTTTCTCTAGGTATTGTATTGATGATCGGAAAGGAACACCTGATAGAGACCAACCCACTGTGAGAGCCAGATTTATAGACTAATAAGGTGGTGGTGATGTCACACGGGACTCTTTATCGTTAATCTAGGTATTGTATTGACGATCAGAAAGGTACACCTTATAGAGACCAACCCACTGAGAGAACCTGGTTTATTCTGGCCCCTTCATCGTTTCTCTAGGTGTTGGAGGTTTTTGTAGATAGCAAAGGGTACCAAAATCATGAAATTGGTTTAGTTGATTGAGTTTTGCTTGGAATATAGAAGATCAATCAAAAAAGTTTTAATGTCAAAGTATAAAAAAAACGTTAAATCTTTCAAAACTCGTCCAACTTAAGTCTTATTTTGAATAAGTCCACCATCGATCAAAAACTGAGTGAGATTTCCGGACAAGACACAGGTACTAGCCTCGTGTGTCAATACACCCATAATAATTTGATTATATTATTATAGGTCTATTGACAGACGAGGTTAGTACCTGACAAGATTTATAATTCTTATTTGACTGTTTGGTAAATTGATTCCTCGTTCGATTGTGATGTATCAGTTGACAGTCTCTTGCGACCGGCTGTTCCTTGATGAAACCGTTTCCTGTTAAGGTTTGGACTCATTCCCTTGAAATAATTTTGGTAATCTGTCATTGCTGTAAAACAATTTGAAATTTATTCGTTAATGTAATTTAAAACAAACATCCGCTTGATACAAAAAAAACTTTTTCTGCGTGGCATTACTTTTATTACATGCTTGTAATTGTTTTGTATATTACTCACGATCTTGAGATTAAAACATTGCAAAAATACCCCAGGCCTTACGAAGGAGTTGCGCCTTCTACACTAGCCCTATACCAATAGGTCCCGTGTTTGAGGCCTACATGGGGAAGTCGCCAGATACTGACAGCAGGTCGGTGGTTTTTCTCTGGAGTACTCGAGCTTTTCCCAACCACCAAAACCTGGCCCGTCATGAAATTTCCATAGCTGTTGATATGATATAAAACACACAAAACACACAAATCTATCGACTTTCGTTAACGATTCTTTTCTGACCTTGGTTCAATATGTTAACTAATTTTGGGACCAGAGTTTGAGTAAGACCTGTATATAGCGGCCACACTCGTCAGAATGTAGTTGACGGACTTACCAGGGCGCCTGTGTCCTACTCTGGCTCGCTCCACAAAAGTTCTTATTTCCGTACTAATAATGCATTTCTCCAGGTGCTTCCGTATGTATTCACTGCACTGAAAATTGAAATAAATAGACCAGTTATTTCTTCATCTCGAAATTACGTTCGTTGTATACCTGTATGGGAGGTCAATATTACTCCCATATTGTTTACTTAAGTGTGGCTATTTCGCAGATATTACTAGAGAAAACAAACGCTGTACACATTAGTGGATTAAAACAGATAAAACGATTTTAGGTTTTTTTCCTTGGTTAATTTTACATGGCGTTATAGAAAAATTAAAATTAAAAAATACGTCAAATATTTTTGGGACGAATTGCACAAATGTGAAGACTATAAGTAAAATTGAATCCCGCACTTCAAACATACATCTATAAAGCATTGATGCAAGTATACATATTATCTCAGAAAATAAAATTGTCATCATTTCATATTTTATCTACCAGATCTAGTAAATATCTCTACAACGGCGTCATACCATGTCGTGATCCACACACATCTGGGAGTCGACGTTTGTCCCCTTCCACATGACGTCACGTATGACCTCAATTCTCTCTACGTCCAGATCCTGGTACACCTAGAACATGAACATACTATGATGTGATTTGTATATCAGCTCTGATACTCAAATAATTAACAATGCTTTTAAACAGTTTATCGATACGTGTATATAAAGATAGAAATATAGTTTTCATTATTAATACGAAAATGAATGTGAAGTTTTTGCCTTTAGTGTGCAAATCGACAATATCATGCAGTTTGGACATCGGTGTCAAGAAAAAAAGCTGCTTAAAACGTTCGTGAATCTGAGGACTTGATGATTTTGTAGCCGGAGGAATTCTATAAGTATTAATATTGTGGATTGATATATTTGTATATATTACATTTACACACGTTGAGCGAATTTAAGCACAAAATGGAACTTGTCTTATGACAAACACTAAAGTAGATACATGACTTTTAATTGCATCGATTCATCCACCCCGATGACTTTCAGATGCACCCAATGATATTCTTTAAGCATTATAATCATAATAATAAACAGTATTATTTTGGTTGATATGGAAGCGCAGCTACCATAAATTATTTATCGTAAAAACATGAATAGATAATATCTTGCCTCAGTGGGGACGGAAGCTGGTTAATACACTAAGCTCGGTATGATAATACTATGATTAGAAGACTCACAATAAACCCCATCCTCGAAACTCCAGGGGTAACGATCACTTACGCTCTCTGCACCCCTGGAATATGTCATAACAAAGTTGAAGTCGCACAACTAGCTAGTTGATTGGTCTCAGACAAAAAAATCTCATCAATCGCTAAGGCCGATACATGTCATTTGGAGATTACAGAGGAGCGACGCACCAATCAATTTAACCGTTACTCGACCTACATATTCTTTTGATGTACTTCAAAGGATCAAACTAGTCTTACGTCTCATCCACAAGGTGATGCACACTGAGCAATCGATTTTGCTGTGACATATTCACTGGGTGCAGAGAGCGAAAGTGCGCGATACCCCTGGAGTATCGAGGATGATTCCAAGGGTGCAGAGAGCGCAAGTGAGCGTAACCCATCGAGGATGAATAAACATTGGATTAATTAAAAATAAGAAAACAAACCTCCAAATGTCAAATGATTTATTTTCATCTTCGTGAAACATCGACTTACCTGACAAGCGTTCTCCATGTCTTCCTCCCAAGTCTTCTGAGCGCTTTGAAGAGCATCTACTGTAATTCGGTATTGGCAATCTGGTGATTTAAAATCAATAACTTTAATTTCATATTTCACTTTCATCAATAGTGAAAATAGTTTGATTTGGCATAAATCACTTTAAATCAACGTTTTCCAACATATTTTGACGAAGGAATGTATGCAGTGTTCCTGTCGTTAATTATTGGCAAGAGAAACGAACATTGACTATTTTCCCTTTCCTTAGCAAAACATATGGTTGCATTGGCTTCCCTGTATTTGTTTCATGTAAACCAAATACATTCCTATTTTGAATACTAGACACAAAAAAACAGTACAATCATTTTTGGAAATTTTTAAAGCAGTGATATATATAAAATTACGTCTTCTTGTTTACCATGCGTCCTGTATGCTTTCCAAAATATCAATTTTCTGTTTTATTCGCAAAGGAGCAACGGAAATATTTGGTGAAACAAACTTCGGTATTTTTTTGAATTAAGGAGAATCCTCACCGTGAAATTTGACGTTTTGTAGCCAAATTGCAAAATTCTAAATTTACAAAATCGAAGTTATAAACAGTAATTTTGAACTCAATGGACTAACTTTAAAGCTGCTCAAACTGACGTGTAACAATGTTGACAACGTCGTAGTACTGTTGGCGTATGTCAATAATCATTTTTTTTAAACAAGATCTTACCTGCTTTTTCCATTTCATCTTTCGCTTTTGCTTCCTTCGTTTTTTGCTTAAATTGAAAAAGAAAACGCACTGATAACTTTCACTTTTAAGATAACAATTAACTAAACACATAATACTGAATGTATCTGATCGAAATAACAAAAGAAGGTATACGAAAGAATGTAACACACACACATACAGGCATCCTCGATGTCCAGGAGTTACGCTCACTTTCGCTCTCTACACCCCTCGAATATGTCATGACAAAATCGAAGGCTCAGTGTGCAGCACCTTGTGGACGAGACGAGAAGACTTATTTGACCCTTTGATGTGTACATCACAAGAATATCGCGGTCGCATAACGGTAAAACTTACTGGCTTTGAAGTCGGGCGTCGCTCCTCTGTAATCTTCATAGAACAACCGTCAGCCTAGTGATTGGTCAGGAGTTTTTTTAACCGACACCAATCAAATAGCTAGCCGTGTGCCTTCTGTTTTGCTATGACATATTCCAGCGGTGCAGAGAGCGAAAGTGAGCGTAACCCCTGGATATCGAGGATGCAACAGAAGGTATATGAAAGAATGTAACACACACAGTGTGCAGCACCTTGTGGACGAGACGAGAAGACTTATTTGACCCTTTGATGTGTACATCACAAGAATATCGCGGTCGCATAACGGTAAAACTTACTGGCTTTGNATAAAACGAGATATAGTACCAAAACAAGATATAGTAGACCAAAACGAGATATACTAGTCCAAAACGAGATATAGTAGTCCAAAACGGGATATAGTAGACCAAAACGAGATATAGTAGAATAAAACGAGATATAGTACCAAAACAAGATATAGTAGACCAAACGAGATATAGTAGACCAAAACGAGATATAGTAGTCCAAAACGAGATATAGTAGACCAAAACGAGATATAGTGGTTCAAAACGAACTACGCTGCATCATATAGCTGTATCGTCCTTCTAGGACACATCGGTGATGCTAGGAGCCTAAATTTGGAAATCCAAATTATCTAAATTACTGTCAAACCAAAGACGCAGGTGCGTAAAAACACTTACTTTATGATTTTGAAAAACATTAAAGGAGTACTGGTTATATCCTTCAGTGCGTCTATGTATTCAACATAATGCCATATTTCTATTTGGAGGCTTTGCTTGTCTGCGTCTTAATGTCGAAACAAACAGGAGTGACGTAAGAATGTATCATGTATTGACAGTGACATGACTCTATGCGTCTCTACGTGTGATTAATAACGTCACTTGATGCATACCTTTTGGGCGGTTTTCTGGTCGACAGGGTCACTATATTTATTGTCGTTTTGAATGGTACCGTAATCCATACACTTTTGTTCGTATGTCTTCTTGAGCTGTAAACATAAACATTTTAACTTCGATATATTTGCAGTAATTATGAAAAAAGCGTTCAAATGACAAAGACAACAAAAACAGCACGGATCATGATCTCTAAAATGCAAGAAATCAATACCGCAAATCTCATTGGGAAGTAATAATCTAATCCAGATATGTTTCATCGAGATGTCACAACGTAATAGTTAATACATTTTTAATAACACATTTAACATATGGTTAAACTGTGATGGCATTCTGTACATCATTTCACCGGTCCATTACTGCAAGACCGCACACCTGTGTATTTCTAACGAATCAGAAAGCACTCATTTATTGCGCGGACGAATATATTCACGAGTGCGCGGAAAAACACAAGTGTGTGGTCTTGCTTTTATCACATACCTTTCCGTATTTGGTAGAGATCGATACAAAGATTTTATGAACTTTGATACTTTTTGCAAATAACGGGAACTTTTCAGTTCGCCATGACAAGGGAATTCCCATTAAAAGAAGATCCGGCTAGCAGGTAAATATACAGAACGTTGTTTTTCATGGTCTGAAAATTGCTTGTATTACTATAACAAGATTCAACACGTATGTGATAAAGAATATATCACACGGTGACAGTGAAGGAGATGGAACTGAATTGATTATATCTACATTGTTTACACGTGTATATCTACATGGTTAACATTGGATAGGGAAATAAGCAAAACGTGTCAGAAATGTTGAGCCGCATCCCCCCCTAAACATTGGTGGCCAAATTAACACAAACTTATAGTATGACACATACCACTGCATGTGTAGATAGACATGAAGAAAGGACTTTGTGATTCAACCATTTTCAGGGAGGTAGGCCATTGAAACTCTAATTGCTTCTCAAGAAACCTTGTACGCACAACTCCTCATAAACCATTCTGTGGGAGATTTTTGTACCTTGCCACAGGGAAAGAACATCATATGTAGATGTGATTGAAGGAATGGGTTTGGTGATTGGGGTATCACACCCCCGGAGCACAAAGCTTGAGTACCTAGATAAATAAGACGTGGGATATCTTTGTAAGCTCGCTCAGCTTCTCTAGTTGTAATTCTTGCATGTTCAGAGATCTATACAACCTATTTTTGATAATCAATAATTTAAAGCCAAGTAAAAGTAAAACATTGTCCATTACGGGTAGTAATATATGTGGATGCTCTCATGTTCTCTAATCAAATATTCAAAATGATCGCACATCAAGTTCTGGTCAAATTGTTTCGTTTAACAACACTCTTATAGAAATGAAATGAAAAGAGGTCAGCTTCATCTTATCAATATATTTATCGATCCAATGGATTTTAATAAATAAATCGTGCGATAATCTTATCAACCGACAAAATAATATAATCAATACATTATTGTAGATATCAATCAAAACTTAAAATATTCCAATAATCCTTTCAGTATCTGGAACTTACGTTGTTGTGTTTATTAAAATAACCTTTTGCCATGTTGTGCGATTTCGTCGTTCTGTCTTCTATCTGGAAATTGACAAAGAAAAACTAATATTACACAACAGTAATAGACTAAATATTACACAACAGTAATAGACTTAATATTCAGTATATGCCAGAGACGTAGAATACACTTTATGACAATATTTGTTACGTGGTTTCTTGTGTAGTCTGCCATCCTCGATATCCAGGGATTACGCTCGTGGATGAGACGAGGAGACTAGTTTGATTCTTTGATGAACATCAAAAGAATCCGACGGTCTCCTAACGGTAAAACTTACTGGCATGGAAGTCGGGCGTCGCTCCTCTGTAATCTTCAAAGGATCAGCCTAGTGATTGGTCAGGGTTTTTTTAACCTTGCACCAATCAAACAGCTAGCCGCGTGCCTTCAATTTTGCTATGGAAGATTCCAGGGGTGCAGAGAGCGAAAGTGAGCGTAACCCCTGGATATCGAGGATGGTAATCTGCAAGGCAAGACATCTATGCAGCGAACTGAACCAGGTGACTACCAGTGACCAGATAGCAGCTTAGCTTAGCATCTATGCTCCAGGGTGACGCTAACTTTCGCTCTCTGCACCCCTTGAATATTCCATAGCAATATTGAAGGCACGCGGCTAGCTGTTTGATTGGTGCAAGGTAAAAAAACATCCCTGACCAATCACTAGGCCGATACTTGTCCTTTGAATGGAAGGCCAGTGTGCACGACCTCGAAGATGAGATGAGAAGACTTGTTTTACCCTTTGATGACTAATGTTCATCAAATAATCTGTTGGTTGCGTAAAGGTCAAATTGAATGGGTTTGAAGTCGGGTGTCGCTCCTCTATAATCTTCAGAGGACAGATATCAGCCTACCTGGGACCCATCAAATAGCCAGTTGCGTGCCTTCAATTTTGCTATGACATAGTCCAGGGGTGCAGACAGCGAAAGTGAGTGTTACCCCTGGACTATCGTGGATGCCTAGCTTAGCTATCCGCGTAAAATTTCAGTTTTGCATAAATGCGGAACCTTAGGGACTCCAAACTTTGCAGCCCTTTGAATGATGCATATGATATATCCCAGTTGCAATAAGTTGCACTTTTCCCTTCCACTAACATTTTTACCTGTTTGCCACGTATTTTCAAGTTGTCGTTCAGTCTTTCCAGATCTGACATCAGGGCTGAGAAGTAATTTGAAGCCGTGTCATGGTGATGCGATAAACTTTCCGTTTGCGTTCTGATGGCGTTCCATGATTCTTCTAACACCCTGAAGGAGTCAAAGATCAAAGGTCAACGTAACACGTAACTCTCTCCCCCCCCCCCATTTTTGACATGAGTACTCGAAAGTTAGTCTTTATATATTTTCTTATGGTAACACCATTCTGAATTACTTCCCTTTGAGATACATCCTTTTTCATCTAAAAATAAATAGGATTCGACCGATTCTTGTTGGATCATATTTTAACTTTTATTAGGGTAAACTTGTCTACCTGACAGCCTTTCTGATCTAATTAATAATTATAAAATTATAATAATAATTTGAGATTCTTCTATACCACTTTATCACAACCTAGGTCGTCTCAAAGCGGTTCACAAATTAACATCCGACGTTTTAGGGCCTTTGCAACATGCCAATATATTTTTCAGCTCCATATCCCGGGAGCATACAGTCGGTGCTGCCGTTTAGGCGATTACAGCTGCTAGCATTCAACAATTCTAGCACTGCCCAACCACGTACTCATTTACAGCTGAGTAGACTGGAACAAATGTAGTTAAGTTTCACGAGTCCGGCGTCCGGCGTCCTACCACTATACTATCGTGCTTCAATATTTAAAGCAACTACAGACTGTTATCCGCCTAATATAGTTTTTAGTCGCTAGACGGCGCTAGCAAACTTGTACTTGGGAGACAAACCTAGCGGGAAATAGACAGCTATGTTAGATAATTCAGTATAGAAAAAACAAAAGTGAAAAATAATTACAAAATGTAATAATTCCTAGCTAGTGCTAATAGTACTGCTTCCGGTATTAGTTATCTTTGACGGCCATTTACTAGGAGGTTAATTATCTGTATGTGTATTGTCATCGTGCATGAGTCGATGACAAACAGCAATAGGTTGGCGTGAAAAATCTTCATTTTCGACGCATGCGCATTGAAATCCCCTTACCTTTTGAAGACCTTGAATTGGGTCCCTATTTTAACAGTTCCAGACTTACCCATTCTCTTCTCTTTGTTCCATATTCTTCGTCAACTTCTGGAGCTCTTTCGCGTACTGCCCCTCGATCTTACTTCTGCAATAATTTAAGAAGCATGTAGTCGTCTAGAAATAAAGACATTTAGCAAAAAGGAATTTTACCTTATTTCATGAATTCATTATTTCCGAAACGCGAATGGACTATTCTTTTAACCGGGAAGATGAATGGGCGTTAAACCAGGTAGGATTTAATGTCATTGTGAAGATAATTACAACCACTTCGACCTTTATTACATCAATACTCTGATGATCAAAGGTTTTCTATATGCTCACACGGAAGTCTAAAAATAAAGTAGATTTAAATTAACATAGGGATACAGAACAGGGATGTATTAAAAAACAAATTGGGGGGTTGCCGAAGAGGTGTATTTTAGGACAAAAGAAACGGTGCGTTAAACTTATCGCATAATTTTATCGTTTCGTTATAACATAACAAACTTACGTCACACTTCAATAAATTCGAATAGAACAAAAGCCTTGTCCCGTGTAATAAACAGAATTACACCGTGTGGCTACAGTCGTCATAGTCTTCGCTAGCCTACCAGACATGTGGGACATGATTTCAAAGGCTTTCTTACAGACACCAGTAATCGGATGAACGCCAACATGTTAAGCTTAATGAAGACAAGAAATAACGAAGTGTCAGCAAATAAGGCTCTCCCTTTGAAGTTGTTGCTTTAACTACTAATGCAGCCCCAGCAGTAGGAATATTTCGAGAATGTACTGCACATGTGTAGTATGTAGATATCACTGAAATATCCTGCTTCTACCAGATCAGAAACGTTGTATGCATTCGGCAGTCATCACTCTAAATGCATGTGAGAAATAGACTAGCTACTTTTTGTGTGGGCTAAGGTAAAGCCTTTCTTTGTAGTTTCTGATAGACTAACAAGTCGTCTGCGAAAGGTCTTGTTACCCCAAATTCGAAGGAGAGAGCATGCGAATAGCGCTATATATAGCATTGGTTACTCGTACGATATACAGGCCGCAGTACAAAATTTTGGTGTACACATGCAGGACACTAGATGGAACAGCTACTTAATATGAACAGGAACATAGCACCCTTAAGTAGACGTCACGATCACTATGGTCCGAGAAAGAATCCTTGCTATGCGTTCCAAAATCTCGTTAAGTGCCCCTTTGGAAACCAGTGTTTCGAAAAGGTAGCGCCCTTTTTGTGAAATAGTTCAAAATCTGCTATTTTTTAAAAGTTGGAAACCCTAGCCAAATTCCAGAAGGATATTCAAATTTGCATTTAAACCTCCTGACTCTGTACATGAAGATCAACGAACTGCACACCACTATAGTGTAGATTGCTATATGCCTTATATATTTATATATCCAGCTGTATATACTTCAGAACGATTATTAAACGATGACAATTATAGCGAGTACTAGCGCATTAGGGGGGGGATGTCATCCTCGATATCCAGGGGTTACCCCCACTTTCGCTCTCTACACCCCTGGGATATGTCATAGCAAAATTCGAACCTTTGATGTACATCAAAAAAATATCGCGGTCACGTAACGGAAATATTGACAGGCTTTGAAGTCGGGCGCCTCTCCTTTGTAATCTTCAAATGACAGGTATCAGCCTAACGATTGGTCTTTTTTTTTCACCTGAGACCAATCAAACTGCTATCTTCGTGCCTTCAATTTTGCTATGGCATATGTCAGGGGTGTAGAGAGCGAAAGTGAGCGTAACCCCTGGATATCGAGGATGTGGGATGTGTATCACTGAGTCCAATACAACGAATAGCACCACTCACACTACGTCCACTCCTCAATAATCCGGGGATGACGCTCATCTACACTATCTGCAGCATGTAGTTAGTTGTACGATAATGAAAATCTGCATACAACGAGTTGTGCATCCTGGATACTCCAGGGGTGACGCTCACTTTCGTTCACCGACCCCTGGGATATGTCATAGCAAATTAGAAGGCTCAGTGTTCACTTCCTCGTGGATGAGACGAGAAGACTTGTTTGATGCTTTGATGTTCTTCAAAAGAATCTGTCGGTCACGTAACGGTAATGTTGATTGGCTTTGAAGTCGGTTGTTACTCTTCTCAAATCGTTAAAGCACACATATTAGCCTTAGAGGTTGGTCAGGTTTTTTTAACCCGAGACCAATCAATTAGCTGGCCGTGTGCCTTCAATTTTTTCTATGACATATTCCAGGGACGCAGAGAGCGAAATTGAGCGTAATCCCTTGAGTATTAAATCAATCTAATTAAAATTACATCTTCACATCGCTCCCGTTTTCTGATATGTCGCGTTGAAGATGAGCGCTTACGCATTTCTGTAAGTGATGATGTAATGATTTCGGAACACATTTGCTATGATAAAAGACTGAGATGAAAATGGCGGCGCCCATGACACTACGCCGTGTCTATCTACAAGACGACGTTTGTACAATTTGTGGTTTTTGCTTTGAAATAAGAGAGACTTCCTCTTCTGGTGATGTTGTCGTTAAAATGATTGGCTTGTTATAAATACGATAATGTATTCATGTTGACCTCTGACGTGACCCTCTATGGGATGTTGTTAGATCTTCAACGCGACATATCAGTAAACGCGAGCGATGTGAAGATATAATTTTAATTAGATTGGTATCAAATATGACTACATCCAAGCTTTCGCCCTTTTATTAAGTATTTAATTGTCCTCGCTCTTATGGTACATCCATATTTGAACACTGTAAGTTCGCAACTGTATTCAGATATGGATGTGACATAAGGATAATGACCATTCAAACCCTCATGAAGGGCTAAGCCCGAAAGCTTGGACATAAAATTACTGTTTCCAGGGCTTTATCCAGTCTTTTTTACTACCGGTATTTGGTAAATTCCCCTTAGAAATCATGCTTAAATTTTACCCTTTTTCAATCACAATTTTCCCCCTTTTCTCGTCCCCCTCTCATACTAAGCTGGTCTGCAGCGGGGGTATTTCCCCCTTAAATGGAAAAAAGGGTAGCATATTTTTTTCCCTGGATAAAGCCCTGGTTTCTATGTATATTGTTGCGTTTGAGCAATATTGCAATTAGACCGGATGTTATAGAAATGATGTAAATTAACATTGTTATTATTTTTAATATAGATCTCTGTAAACAGTAACTTGATGGTAAACAGATGAGATAGTTATCTTACCTTTGGCGGTAATATTCCTCCATGTCCTTGCAGAGTTTCCTCCCATCTTTAAGTCTTCGGACTAAAGTATCAAATCCACTGGTGCCGATCAGATCACAGTCCTGTAGCGATATGTATGAATTGTTCTGTATTAATACACGTAATTTGTCAATTACATGTGCAAAAAAGGCAAAACCTAAGAACACAGGAGCTTGTACGATCCATTCCCAATGATAACATTTTCAGCAAGGCTGATTTCAGCAACACACAGCCACTCGTGCGAGACGTATATTGTCCGAAATCTCCACACTTCATTACAATAAGCGTCACATGAAACTACTCTCGTCCCTGTGATTACCATGGGCAAAAGTTCGCCCCAAACTTTTACTGTCGCCCATAAGTTACCCGTTAGTTTCGAATATCCTGAAATCAATTGGACAATTCTCCAATATGAATGATACTGCCATATCTATTAAAAGGACATTTACATGTTCGTGTGAGGAGGAATTTGAAACAGTTCATTGGATAATTCATATTTTATTTGTTTTGGACGCTGAACGCGATAGCGGTAGCCGTACGTTTGCTATCTATAATGCCGTTTATCAGCATAACCGATGACAAAAGGACTTTCACAAAAGTTGTAACACTATCAGCAAAGGCCTAGCCTTATGTTTAAACGAAATATTAACAAATGCACAGCTACGTAGAAGACAAATTGGCATATGTAAATGTACTTGTATCTTAATTTGAATAGCTGCATCCTCGATACTCCAGGGGATACGCTTAATTTCGCTCTCTGTGCCACTGGAATATCTCATAGTAAAATTGAAGGCACGAAGATATCTGTTTGATTGGTCTCAGGTAAAATGAAAACCCGACCAATCGCTAGACTGAAACCTGTCCAATGAAGATTACAGAGGAGAGACACCCAGCTTCAAATCCGGTCAATTTTACCGTTACGTGACCGCGAGATTCTCTTGATGTACAATGAATCGAACTAGTGTCCTTGTCTCATCAACAAGGTGGCGCACACTGAGCCTTCAATTTGGCTACGACATATTCCAAAAATGCAGAGAGCGAATGTGAGGGTAACCCCTGGAGTATCGAGGATGTATAACTGTAAGAGGTTGAATTTGATTGTAGACAGATTCGATTTAATTGAAGATAATTGAAAAAAGACGAGTGAAACATATCGAATAGAAAACGTCAACAGTTCAATTTTCCCAGAAAATATGGACATCTTTGAACTAAATGTACACAACTTGCTCAATGCTGTGCTGGGTGCCTTCGGCATGGCATTTGAGTGAGATAACACTACAAAATCGGCATCAAATCCGCGTTATCACAGGAGGCAAGTACACCAACAAACCCTGCATCCAGCAACATACACACATGCACGCATGCACACCACACATGGAGTCACGTTCTTAGATGACCTTAGCTGTTAATAGGACAGTAAACAAAATAAAAACAAACCAAACATAACTGGCTACACGTACATACATTTCCGTTGTACAACACTTAGATAAACTTACCAACCAAAAATACTGTTATAAATTAAATATCAGAACCATTACACGTGAATGTTTTCCATTCGGAAACAGTCCGGGTCTTCCCGTCTGAAAAGAGTGATCATATACTGTATATTGATTATACGTCTTTAATATTAAACGACACAGATTGTGTAACACAGGGAACGGAAACTCACTCTTATAGTACTTTAAGGTGACAGCACCCGGAAGCTTGAAATTACTCTTCGTACACCACTCAACAATGATAATCGAATCAGCTACTGTCACGATACACAAATGCCAATCAGGGTTGGCGTATTGAGAATGTGAGAAGTCCTTGAAATCATTGTATATTGTTGAAATAAGTAATATTCTATTTTAAATGTGCAATCATCAGCGATTATGATTAAGGGGGGGGGGGGGGATAGATCGCCTTTCGGGGAAAATGACACCCCAATGATCATATACCTTTTATACATTTTAACCGAAAGTCGATCTAAACCCTTAAAACATGTAAAATTAATCTGAACACCTTAGTTTAGGTCCAAATATAGCTGTAACAAAGTCTGAGGTCCCTGTGGTCGCTTACTAAACAGCGTTAAAAGACATGCGCATCACGCCTTGGCTTTGGAATTAGAATCCATGGCGCGTGTCGGACAATATGGAGCTTGTCGGACAGACATGGCGCGTGTCGAACAGACATGGCGCGTGTCGGACAAACATGGCGCGTGTCGGACAGAAAAGGCGCGTGTCGAACAGACGTGGCGCGTGTCGGACAGACATGGCGTGTGTCGGACAGAAATGGCTCGTGTCGAACGGATGTGGCGCGTGTCGGACATACATGGCGCGTGTCGGACAGATATGGCGCACGACGGCCAGAAAAGGCGCGTGTCGGACAGACGTGGCGCGTGTCGGACAGATATGGCGCATGTCGGACAGAAATGGCTCGTGTCGAACAGAAGTGGCGCGTGTCGGACAGACATGACGCATGTCGGACAGAAATGGCGCGTGTCGAACAGATATCGCACGTGTCTGACAGATTCTGCTATTTACATATTTGTTTTATCGGTAGACTACCGAGTGTGTGGTGTCCCGTATGCCTTCACTATAACAGCGATGCTAGACTGTTCAAGTTTATGTGCAACTTTTACATAAACTGTCCGTGTTAGGATATTTCAATTTGACTAATTTCATTTTCCCTGTCATGTACAGGAAGATTGTAACATCGTTTTCCTGAAATTGTATAATGGTAGGGAAACAATAGACATTTTCTGGCAATTCTATGAACATGGGTTAGGAAACCTGGCCTGATAGGAACCTTTCCCTTTCAACCCTCAACCCATATTAGTCCTGGGGCCATGCTATGGAAATGTTCATATTATAATATCTGATTAACACTTAACACTTTTCTACAGAAACCTTGTGAACTTGTTTTATGCTGATATCATATAAAGTATTCAACGAAAGCGAAGTTTGGTTTGGTTTATTTGTGTTTTACGTCCTATAAACAGCTATGGTCATTTAAGGACGTGCCAGGTTTTGGTGGTGGAGGAAAGCCGGAGTTCCCGAAGAAAAACCACCGACCTACGGCCAGTACCTGACAACTGCCCCACGCAGGTCTCGAATCCGCGACCCAGAGATGGAGGGCTAGTGGTAGCAGTCAGACGCCTTAACCACTTGGCCACCGCGGCCCTGGAGGAACAAGCACATTAGTAGCCTCTTACGTCATACCCATTACCTGTAGGTGCGAAGAGACAATGTGACGTTGGACTAATTGGGTTAGTGAACAAATTTTGGAATAATTTAGCTCTCTATTGAATTTCTATAAATCAGTTCCATCCACTAATGTTTAAACCACATTTTCTTTATATATATATATATATATTAATACGGACCGTGTGGTTTGAGGCTATACCTCCCTGGTTAGTGGTTATCAATATATACTATATACATATATAATATACAATCACACGGGGCATATTAATTAAACTTATATAATATGAAGGAATATATACCAAGTCCAGTATATATTACAGATATTTTATTTATCATTAACACTAAATAAGCAAGTTTCCGAAGTCTTGGTCAGAGGTTCGACATCTATATTCCTAAATATTAGAATCAAACCCTCGCCGACCAGCGCTGTGTTCAAACTATCTACGTCCTAGTGCAAATCGTCGTTGTAAATCGTCAAAATAACATTTCAAAATGTGTAAAAAGAGAACAAACTGAAAAAAATAGTTTTAATTGTTTCAAGATTTACTTAATTGATGTTGTCTGATTTCCATGTATGTAAACACTTACCCAGAAAGACTCGGAGAATCGGTAGGTATCCATGGTGTGTGTTGTTGACGCTGTACTTCACACAGCGCTGACGGCCACTGACTGGGAGGTGGTACACGCGAGTCATCAGATCTAGTGTAGATCAATGCTGAGTACAAGGAAACTACACGAGTAAATTACTTCCTCATAGAAATGAAATGCTTCCCCAGATATGAAAGCAACAACGAGTGAATAAAAGATTTCTTACCTCATCTTCAATTACGGCTTTTGTTCCCCCGTTATCAGTTAATCAAGGTATGAATTAAGGTTTTAGTAGTGTTATTTGGGATGTCAGATTGTTTTTGTCGTTCACAGAATCAGGGGTCGTTGGCACGAGAAGAGAGGGCAACATCAGTTAAGAGTAGAAGTCAGGAGATATTGAGCATTACATGGAAACCCCAAAAAATGTTGATGTTTTTTTGTTTTATTTCATAAGAAATATTGTCAAATGATAATTTACAACATTTTTTTTTAAAATTGCACCAACATCATGGATATATATCGGCAATATCACTGTTGCCATAGAAACGGCTAATTTATCATAAAAAGTCTGTGATATTCCATAACTTTAAAGCTTTAAAAAAAAGAGAATATATATTGATTTGAGAGATGATACCCTGTAATTTTAAAAGAATAGAAGCTATCACATAATAATTGTTTACTATATGTCATATCAATATCTCTAATGCTATGGCAACGTAAAAAAGTGATGTTTTGGTATTTACTTCAGATGTTGAAAAACAGCAATTTTGAAAGACCTGCTAATTTAATCTACAACCAGATACATCCTACATAGTAACATGATTATGTACGTATAGAAAAAAAATGACTGGCAAAATGAAAATTCGAAAAAATAATGAAAATTAACAAAAACGTTAATTTGGATATGATTGAAATACAGAAAAAGGAATTCTTACCGATAGGCTGTTGATTTTTTATGCAGTTATCCTTGTACTTAAATGGACATTTTACAATTGTGTTGAGTTCATAGTTTGAATATTTTTTAAATGAATAATATGATTTCCATAGCAACCAACTGGTTCCTTGGCAACCAATTGGTCCCTTGCCGGGGTGTAAAAACCAGTATTAGCGTATGTGCAAGTGCAAAAAAATGGGCCCACAGTGCGTTAAAATAGTATATAAACATGTTCTTGCACACGTGTTTATCCGTTTCCCCAAACAGTTGCGATGACAAGGTGCTTACTGAAGAGTATCAAAATTTCTAAGTTAAAAGGAGCATAATCTGGGAAAGGTCAACGGACTGGAAAATGTGCACATCATGATCTGTCATTGTATACAATTTTGTGTAAATCGGACAAAGGACTCGGGAGTTGGTCTGGACAGAAAAACAGGCCGATTCCTACATGTATATACTCCCCAAACTGTTTGCAGGGGACATTACTGCCACATGATGTACTAGCTTCATTGTTGTTTTCGTGTTTCCTCATTTATACTTTTTGTTGGTTGAGTGGATGGACGTTTCTTTTTTTCTTCAGATTTTTTGTGTGCTTTTTATGTCATTGTTGACTTATTCATGATTTGTTAAAGTAATTTTCAATTCTAAATAAAATTGCCTATTGCCAAACTTGTATGAAAGTTTTCTGCTTTTAAAATTTTGCATCTTGCCAAGTATTTTTCATAATATCATAGCAATCCAAGAATCAACAATCAAGATAAAAGACAGAATTTCATGCATTTATTCAATCATAGAAATGGAAAACGACACTTGAATGACAAAAATCAAACAAATGTATTCCATATTTTTGATTTCATGTAAAATACTTATTGAACTGTATACAATCATCAATAATTTATTATATCATTATACTTGAGGGGGCGTACAGAGTAACTTGGAAAAGGGGCGGGAGAAAGAAGACAGATACCCCCTCATTTAAAAGAAATAGTTCAAAAGATTGATCTAATCTTGTTTTTTTTTTATATAATTTTAAAATCTAATGTAAAACTAAATATTTTACTGCTTTAATATGCTGATACTCAACTCAATATATGTAAAATGAGAGAAACTACCAAGACATTGGAAAAAATATCGGAGATTGTTTTTTAAAAATAAAAAAATTGAAACAAATTCCACTTTTCTATATTTAGAATAAGACTCAACAAGCAAATTCGTGGAATTTATATCCCCGCTTTCAGGATATATTGTAGGTAAACATTATCGAGGTTAGGATTAAACATGCGAGTATCGTGCTGTTGAGGAATAAGTATAGCTTGAAACTCAAAGAAAATAAAGCCTTATCTAATATTTCCTGTAGTTATTAAGCGGAAATTGCAGATAATGACTCTGCCAAATGGAGTCCGATTAAAGTGGTTGTCAAACTTGGCCGAGCCCTTAATGCGTTGAACCCAGTTACTAAGTTTGAAGACAATCGGATACTATTTGCGAGAGTTAATGAACAGAAACGGAAGATAATGATGTTTTTCGATATTCAAGGGGCCATAACTCCACCAAATGAGGTCCGCTGAAAGTGGTCATCAAACACGGCCGAGCCCTTAAGGCATTTAACCCTGTGACCAAGTTTGAAGAAAATCGGTTAACATTTGTTGTAGTTATTGCACGGAAACGAAGCGTGACAGACAGACGGACAAACCCAAATTAATATCCCCCGTTTCGTTGAAAGCGGCCGGGGATAATAAATTGTTTTTATAATTTATAAAACTAGATTTCTTGATAATTGACGATGAGAATATTGAATTATGAACATGATGAACCATGCACATATATATAAGACCCACAGTTATCGTAAATTTTCAAAAGATTAGTCAGTTATAATTATCCAGTTTCTATTTATTTTTACCTAAGAGGATGACAGGCTTTCGTGTGATGACATATTTCAGTGTCTCAAATGCAAATTAAAATTGCAAATTTTATCAGTGTTTCGAAGGTATAAAATAAAGTAAAACACTTATTTTACAGACCCTCCATAACATAAAATAGTCTGGTCCTTTTATTAGGCCACTCACATCAAAGATACACTCTCTTTTCAGACCATCTGAAACACTCCTCCCTCCAAGAAGATCATCCTTCTTATAAGCCCACTTATGTATATGACCTATGACTGTTTATCACAAAATTTTATAGTCAACAAATTAGCATTATTCATGAGTTTCAATTTCACTATGAACACACTCTAGCCAGCTAAACAGAGTTAATCCCACATTAATTTCCTCGTGTAAATTTACCATGGAATGAGTAACCAAGGTTGACCGCAGTTGAAAAATGTCCCTTATCTAAGCTCAATTGACTTATTATAATGCATTAATTGAACCTACTCGCATGAAATATTCACACACAAGAAAAATCCTACAACTTTCAAGTGCATGTAAAACTAACCAAAACACTGGAGAAAGCCATGCATTCATTGTGTCTGACTTAGGCAGCAATAGTATTAAGTTCAAGAAAGTTTGTTTCAGTTATCTCAGCCTGCAGGTCTTCCTCTGTATATAAACAATCGTAAGACTTCCTCTTTCTTGTGACAAGACGGCTAAAGTAACTTGCGATCTGCTGGGCTGAGAGAAACTCATCTTTGGAAACTTGCTTGGCAGGGCAATATGGCAGGATCGTAGATGCGAAGTAATATTATCCTTACATGTTGTAAACAGCAGGCATTTTGTAGGTGGTGAAATATTGCAATTTGGTCCACAGTTTATGTGTTGACTGATTGATGAAAATGAACAGACATTCATGATTTCAGCCAGTAAAAAGAAATAAATATCATCAATATGATCAAAGGAAAGAAGTTAAAAACATAGAAGAGAATGGCAGATGCCCCCGCTCCAACTAATGATTGGGCTTAGCAATAATTTAACTTAAAATACCTTATGGCATAAAGAGTACAATTTTTTATAACCCTTCTTCAGATATACTGGTACTTTGAGTAACCATTACAAGTGTCAAAACCACACTGCAGCCTTTTTCTAATCAACTGATTAAAAAGGAAAGGAATACTTATGTTGTTTTGAAACCTTTTTCAACTGATTAAAAAGGAAAGGAATACTTATGTTGTTTTGAAACCTTTTTCAACTGATTAAAAAGGAAAGGAATACTTATGTTGTTTTGAAACCTTACATTTTGCTATTTCCCGCATAAGCAAGGGACATAACTCTGGAAAAAAAGGTGAATGTGTCAAATTTGATTTCTCTGTCTGTGCTTAGTGGTTCCTAACATTGTGTTAAAATTTCAAATGATTTTGTTTATGTCTTCTGAAGTTAGTGAGCGGAAAATTCGCATTATCAAGGGGCTTAACCCAAGAACAAGTAAGAGAAATTTGTCAAATTCGAACTTGACCTGTGCCGAGTGGTTTCCAGCATGGTGTTAAAATTTCAAAAAAAATATTGGTGAAAAACATACTTTAAAGTGAGTGAGTGGAAACCTCAAATTTAGCTATTCCGCATTATCAAGGGGCATAACTCAGGAACAACAAACGTCAAATTCGAGTTTGACCTGTGCTTAGTGGTTCCTAGCATAGTGATAAAATTTCAAATGATTTTGTTTAAGCCTACTCAAATTAGTGAGAGCAAACCTCACATTTTGCTGTTTTCTGCATTTTCAAGGGGCATACATATGTAAATTCAGGAACAACAAATGTGACATATGTCAAATTTACACTCCACCTGTGTTTAGTAGTCCCTATAATAACACCTTTAAATTTGAAAAGATAACATCGTTAAATTTGAAAAGATAACATCGTTATACTGCCTTTATCTGTCCGTCTAAGGTTTGGCATTATAAAGGGGTTTGTGATATCAAAGGAGACATATAAAGGAATTAATAAGGAAAAAGAAAACTTCGGGCCTGGGATGTTAGAATTTGTTGGCGATAAGCGAGGTGGCAATGAAACGAGGGGCATTATATCGAGATTTTACTGTAGTTTGTCAATATCACGTGTTGTTTTTGTTTTGGATTTATTTATTTATTTATTCATTTATCTAGTTATTCATTTATTTATTTATTCATTTATTTATTCATTTATTTATTTATTTATTTATTTTAAATTGTGTCCAAATCTATAGCAATATATGTCTTTTTGTATTGCGCTAGCCTACACCACAACCACAATAAGGCTGAAATAGATTGTCGCCAGAAAGTAAGACAATATTAAAGGCTTAACGACATTTACTTTAAGTTAGTGTTAAACAAATCTACACAAACGTGACGCAGCACATGGACACAGATTGTAAATGTCATCTGTAATATATGCAAGTCATAAAATAGAAGAAAATAAACTAATTATAAAAAAAAGAAAGTCCGGTATCGGGTTCCGGATCGGCTACTTTTTTTTCTATTGGTTAAACTCACGTGCCCGTGATTCAGCAGAAATAATTATGATTCATGTAAAAAAGATATAATTAAACCAATTCTTTTGATATGTAGACTTTTGTTTGAAAATTATAAAGTTACAAAAAACGTGAACATTATAGACTGAAGTGTGAACAAACGCTGTTTTATGGCGGACCGAACACAGTCAATCAATCCGTTTTTCTTTACTGTGATAAACCAGGGGTTGACTTGTCATGTCATGTGCGGTTTCTGATATTGTGAAGTATTGTACTTAATTCACCCAGTTTGAGGAAGTATAGTTACAAATGAATATGCAAATCACATGACGCGCGGGTGGAGGTGGTGTGGGTGCTATATCTACCTTATATACATTTTCTCATATTGATACTTACCGAGTTGTATTTAGTTTAAGTTTGAATAAAACGAATTCAATTAATTTCCTTATTTATTCAGCCCATAGGCCGACCACTATACAATTATAGTTCAACATAAGTACAATTTTACATCATTGACATTGGGGGCAATGTCTCTACAGTGATGAAGGTTACGTAACTCAACGTTCGTTCGCATACTTGATATAGTTATAAAGTATACACAAACTTTTAAATTATATGCTAAATAATTAAACTAATGTTTAAGAACTGCAATTTTAAGATAACAATAGATTTTCTTTGGTATTACTTCCATAATTTCTTTGTACATTGGTCATAGGACAATATCGGTCATATACCGGCGAGAATATGGCGAAATCCTTCATCTGTGCTTCATTAATGCTGTAGTCTTTTTCTAGATGTACCCCTTTTACCCTTTTTAGGTCCCGCCCTTTCCTCCCCAGGGCGGAGAAGAACATCGCCGGAAGATGCCCCTTGCGAAATAAGTCAAACATGTTTAACCGTTCTGGAAAAGTAGTCTTTTAATGCCGACGACTGAACTTCCGTCAAGGTATATCATTTCACGAGCAATGCGTGAAATTAAACTGAAATTATTAAGTATATTAAGTCATCCTGTTTGTAACTTCCAGTTGTAACGCATACATTATGTGCAAATAATTCACTATGCCAACGACAAATACCAATTCGATGTGTCATAACAGGCGTTTACCAGTGAGAAAATAATCTATTGATGCATTGAATACTTTCCTATCTTTCTGTTAACAAACTTACAGCTGTTCTCCTTGTTTCACGTGATTTTGCAGAATTACCACCAACAGATACTAAAATGTACTGAGTAATCAATCGAAACCCACCTCGATCTTTGACAGCTTAACAGCCTCGCTTATTTATCATAGTGCGATAACCGAGGTTTTGGATTCTAAACAGGGGCGTAGCTAGTCCTTGTTCGGAGTGGATTAATCTAAGATCGGGTCCAGGGCAGGGCCTTGATAGGGGAACAAGAGGGTCAACAAGCAGTGATTTTGTTTTGTTTTGTATTTCTGTTTGAAAATGAGGTTGACTCACCTGCATACCAGCGTATAGGCAGCTCAGCGCCTGCTTAAGTGTTTAATTCCTATACATATATATATGTAAATAAAAAACAGAGTTTCCTAGTGCTTTCTCCTCTTTAGAGGTTCGTCAGGGAAATCCTGATATATATTCATACCGTTATACGCTCAATCGTCATACATAGCTATAAATTTAAGGCCCAGAACGTCATTAAAAAGGGCATTTAAAGTTCAGTTTGGATTTCAGACGTGAGCAGACGCCATTGATTGAACTTCATTAATGTAATTACGTATGGGAGAAGAAAAGTTATATCTAGTTTTTTAATCTTCACTATACAATTTTTTAATGTTAAAAGATTATCAACTTTTAAAATAGATACTGTTTAAACTAATATTGTACCGTGGTTAGATATATACGTGAAAGTATTATACCAGTATCTGCTCTATTCCGGGATGAATCGAGACCACCAGCTCCCAAAGTGTGACTTTTGATCAGTATACACCGGAAGTGTTCATGTTTCCACACAAAAGGAAACGGGAAGGCCGGATGTCGCCATTACACCATAGGGAAATTATACACATTATACCGAAAGTACACAATCAGCGAATACAATGTATTTCATTTACTTGTGAAATTGATGAACATTCCTTCGGTTAATCATGTGTGACTACTTCCTGCTTCGCTTTGCAGAGCCGCGGTGGCCAAGTGGTTAAGGCGTCTGACATTCTGATACCGCTAGCCCTCCACCACTGAATCACGGGTTCGAATGTCGCCAGGTACTATCCGTAGGTCGGTGTTTTTTCTCCGGGAACTCCGGCTTTCCTCCACCACCAAAACCTGGCACGTCCTGATCAATGACCATAGCTGTTATAGGACGTAAAACACAAACAAACAATCAAAAGTCTTGACTGTCCAGCCCCGAAAGCCTCGACAGGGCGAGGCAGTATAGCGATATGCACATTATTTCCAAACAGAAAGAAACAAAAATTCCGATTTAACTTATACCCGCGAGCAGTTTAAATTTCAGTATGCATGATTTGGGAGTATGTTTGTTGTGCCGCCATTATTGCGCACGGATTAACTGACAAAACGTTTGTCCGGAACAGTGGCATGGTTTTTATTTTAAGGATCATTGTCCACCTCTACTGTGTTGTTTTTTGTATATCAATTTAGCACAGTTGGGCCAGGACGATTCCGTTGACCAGGTAGCCCATTTGCATTGTATTAAGGGTTCGAATCTCGGTCTAGCCAAGCTAATTTTTTACACTCAGAAGACTGTTATTGGTCATATTTTGTATATATCATATGTATATCATAAAAATTCCCTGAAACTATGGTTTTCTTTCCAGAAATGATTTATCAAAGCCATAATCGTGCTGGGTAAGACACTTTTCAATGCGTAATTAGTTTTTGGCAGTGGTACGGTGATCCTTAACCCAGGGAGGATATTACAAGTTTAGAACGCCAGCACTGAACGTAGATTTGAGTCGTGTTTGACAGAGCAAGCCCTGGTAATGTTGAGTTATTCTGTAACCGGAAGTACTATAATAATGTTGGCCGGAAGTTTTAAAACAATGCTGGCCGGAAGGACTATGGCAAAGCTGGCCGGAAGGCACACTTGGTTCCCGATATTGTCATTATAGTTCAATGTATGAAAAATGTGTATTTCCTTATTGGAGACCGAGATCGATCTAATGTATACAACTCCAGTGACAGGTGTTTAACAGAAACATACCGGGGCATGTATCCACAGGGGCATGCTAATTTGTTACAGTCAAATTTGGACACAAACGGAGGTTTTCAAAGTAATAATACACGTTTAAGGGGTTTATATGAATTTTCGGTAAAAAAAAAAAATATGCCGCCCCCGTCATCTCATTCCCTCAAATGTGTAAAACTACTCTGAACACCTCAGTTTAGGTCCAACTTTATTTGAAACAAATCCCCATGCCCCTGTGCACGTACCATAAACTAGTGTACTTCGATATGTGCTTTGAGCACGTTCAAAGGATTACATAACATAATCAAACGGATAGTTTGCCATCATTTAATTTTTAAGGTCGTTTGGAAAATGTGTCATTGTTTCGAAATAGTTTATGTTTTATTTGAAGACATCAACATCAATCAATCAATCATTATTACGCAGTCAATATATTACATAATCTAAACATTTTACTGTGAAGTTTTAATTTCTATTCGAAATAATCGATTTCAAACTTAGATATTCAAGGGTTTTAGTAGTTTATTGACTGGCTATCCAAAAGGTTAACTTCTGTTTACTATATAATTTATTTATAATAGATTATATTTTCATCTTTTTATAAATCATGCATTATAAAAAGATTTATTGATACCTATGTTCAATAGCATTGCAGATTCAACTTTAAGGTTAGCCCCTTACAGGACATTGTAATACTGGCATTTAGCGGTGGGAACCGTAGCTCAAACGGTTACTCGTTTATTTATTTATATTTTTTTATAAATGTTGTATCGGATAACATTCTCTCCGCTGTCCTGGCATTATGCCCAGAATACAATTGGCAATACTGACCATGTACGAGTTATCGTTCTTGGTGATTTTGTTATCAGTTCGCAGCTGTCGACAATAGACTCTTATCTCGTTCGAGTCGCGGATATAAACGGACACATACAAATATGATTACGAAATTATTAATAATTATTCTACATGTTTGTATCCCTCTTGTGGGTACCACGCCCTCTACCGGTGACCAATCGCTCTTCGAGAGGTCGCTAGATGCCACAGAGGGACTTTTGGAATTCTTCAGTGCGGACTATAGCAGCATCAACGTTGACGGACTTTTTGGACTTCGAGTGGGAGAAGGTAAAAGTGAAAACATGGCGTCGAGACAAGGATGAGAGAATATGATGAGAAAAGCCAGTGAGATCACATGGATGTAACGACTTCAGAGAAGGCTTGTCCGGGACCTATTTAATATTTTTTGGTGAATTGATATTTTTGGGATATTTTACATGAGGATTTTCAACTTATGAAATTCAAATAGTTTGTTCAATAAGATTACAAAGATGTTCCCCAACGAGTGATGTTGTTAACCATGTTTATCAAATTTTTAGATTGTTTAAAGATTACGAGTTTGGAGACTTTTCTCTGCCGTTCAACGTTCATATGTTATATATAAAAGCTATATTTTTATCTTTTTACCTCGGGAATCCGTTTTTCCTGATTCTGATCGGGTAAGCAATTTCCATGAACTTTGATGTCACAATGGAAGATGACGTCGCCAGTATTGTCACTTAATGTCATGACTTGAATATTGACCAATGAAATCACTTGAACGGTGTTACCCACTAGTGGGTATCCAAAACTGTTTACCAAACCTAGCAGGTTTATCCGGTGAGTATGGAGTGAGGAAACCTTAAGTGAGTGTGGAGAGAAATATATAATTAATGTAATGCACAGGGTTATACCGTGGGTCGGGAAAGACTAATGTAATCAAAGGGGCATAACGAGGGTCGAGGACGGCTAGTGTGATCACAGGGTTATAACGAGGGTCGGGAAGGCTAGTGTGATCACAGGGGTATAACGAGGGTTGGGAAAGCTAGTGTGATCACAGGGAATAAAGAGGGTAGGAAAAAGCTAGTGTGATCACAGGGGTATAACGAGGGTCGGGGAAAGCTATTGTGATCACAGGCGTATAACGAGGGTCGGAGAAAGCTAGTGTGATCACAGGGGTATAACATGGGTCGGAGAAAGCTAGTGTGATCACAGGGGTATAACGAGGGTAGGGGAAAGCTAGTGTGATCACAGGGTTATAACGAGGGTTGGGAAAGCTAGTGTGATCACAGGGTATAAAGAGGGTAGGAAAAAGCTAGTGTGATCACAGGGGTATAACGAGGGTCGGAGAAAGCTAGTGTGAGCACAGGGGTATAACATGGGTCGGAGAAAGCTAGTGTGATCACAGGGGTATAACGAGGGTCGGAGAAAGCTAGTGTGATCACAGGGGTATAACATGGGTCGGGAAAGCTAGTGTGATCATAGGGGTATAACTAGGGTCGGAGAAAGCTAGTGTGATCACAGGGGTAAAACGAGGGTCGGAGAAAGCTAGTGTGATCACAGGGGTATAACGAGGGTTGGAAAAAGCTAGTGTGATCACAGGGGTATAACGAGGGTCTGAGAAAGCTATTGTGATCACAGGGGTATAACGAGGGTCGGGGAAAGCTAGTGTGATCACAGGGGTATAACGAGGGTCTGAGAAAGCTATTGTGATCACAGGGGTATAACGAGGGTTGGGAAAGCTAGTGTGATCACAGGGTATAAAGAGGGTAGGAAAAAGCTATTGTGATCACAGGGTATAACGAGGGTAGGAGAAAGCTAGTGTGATCACAGGGGTATAACATGGGTCGGGAAGGCTAGTGTGATCATAGTGGTATAACGAGGGTCGGGGAAAGCTAGTGTGATCAAAGGGGTATAACGAGGGTCGGAGAAAGCTAGTGTTATCACAGGGGTATAACATGGGTCGGAGAAAGCTAGAGTGATCACAGGGGTATAACGAGGGTCGGAGAAAGCTATTGTGATCACAGGGTTATAACGAGGGTTGGGAAAGCTAGTGTGATCACAGGGGTATAACGAGGGTCGGAGAAAGCTAGTGCGATCACAGGGGTATAACGAGGGTCGGAGAAAGCTAGTGTGATCACAGGGGTATAACATGGGTCGGAGAAAGCTAGAGTGATCACAGGGGTATAACGAGGGTCGGAGAAAGCTAGTGCGATCACAGGGGTATAACGAGGGTCGGAGAAAGCTAGTGCGATCACAGGGGTATAACGAGGGTCGGAGAAAGCTAGTGTTATCACAGGGGTATAACATGGGTCGGAGAAAGCTAGAGTGATCACAGGGGTATAACGAGGGTCGGAGAAAGCTAGTGTGATCACAGGGGTATAACAGGGGTCGGAGAAAGCTAGTGTGAGCACAGGGGTATAACGAGGGTTGGGGAAAGCTAGTGTGATCACAGGGGTATAACGAGAGTCGGAGAAAGCTATTGTGATCACAGGGGTATAACGAGGGTTGGGAAAAGCTAGTGTGATCACAGGGGTATAACGAGGGTCGGGGAAAGCTAGTGTGATCAAAGGGGTATAACGAGGGTCGGAGAAAGCTAGTGTGATCACAGGGGTATAACATGGGTCGGAGAAAGCTAGTGTGATCACAGGGGTATAACAGGGGTCGGAGAAAGCTAGTGTGAGCACAGGGGTATAACGAGGGTTGGGGAAAGCTAGTGTGATCACAGGGGTATAACGAGGGTCGGAGAAAGCTAGTGTGATCACAGGGGTATAACGAGGGTCGCAGAAAGCTAGAATGATCACAGGGGTATAACGTGGGTCGGAGAAAGCTATTGTGATCACAGGGGTATAACGAGGGTCGGAGAAAGCTAGTGTGATCACAGGGGTATAACGAGGGTCGGAGAAAGCTATTGTGATCACAAGGGTATAACGAGGGTTGGGAAAGCTAGTGTGATCACAGGGTTATAACGAGGGTAGGAGAAAGCTATTGTGATCACAAGGGTATAACGAGGGTGGGGGAAAGCTAGTGTAATCACAGGGGTATAACGAGGGTCGAGGACGGCTGGTGTGATCACAGGGTTATAACGAGGGTAGGAGAAAGCTATTGTGATCACATGGGTATCACGAGGGTTGGGAAAGCTAGTGTGATCACAGGGGTATAACATGGGTCGGGAAGGCTAGTGTGATCATAGGGGTATAACGAGGGCCTGAGAAAGCTAGTGTGATCACAGGGGTATAACGAGGGTCGGAGAAAGCTATTGTGATCACATGGGTATAACGAGGGTTGGGAAAGCTAGTGTGATCACAGGGGTATAACGAGGGTTGGGAAAAGCTAGTGTGAGCACAGGGGTATAACGAGGGTCGGAGAAAGCTATTGTGATCACATGGGTATAACGAGGGTTGGGAAAGCTAGTGTGATCACAGGGGTATAACGAGGGTAGGAGAAATCTATTGTGATCACAGGGGTATAACATTGGTCGGAGAAAGCTAATGTGATCACAGGGGTATAACATGGGTCGGAGAAAGCTAATTTGATCACAGGGGTATATTCAGGACGGTGCCTCCATGTGTGTCATGCGTGCGTGCTTGTTGTATGTGTTTGTCTATACCAGGACCCAACACAATAAACCCAGCCATGGAGGAACGCTTCGTCTCAGAGGCAGGTTACAGTGGTCACAAAAGCGTGTAAGGCAAATGGACGTTTCATCTACTGTAATCGTCACACAATTTTTACGTCAATGACCAATTCGTTATACTGAATTAAGACAGTTAAGTGACACCAACGCTTAAATCTTTAAGTTGAAGAGCAAGTACAAATAATGGAAAGTTTTTACATAAAATATAGCATCAACGGTTCAGGTGTTTACAGACGCTTTCAAGCAGTTTCTCGCGAGAAATTTAGATTTTATTTTACTGTCGATAGTGTAGCATAATCAAATCCAGGCTTTTCGTTAGAATTACTACCTATATAATTATGAGATCTTAGACGTAGAAAAAAAATTATCAATCAAGAAACTCGTGTCAATTTGGTTATCCATTCCATACAGGTCAGCTGCTGGACGCCATCGATGTCTGTGAGAAAAAGCCGACATGTCCATTTTCAATACTCTCCCGCTTGACGGCACTGGCAGTCAAGCTGGGGACCACGTGCGAACGCGCCTTGCCCTACGTTGAACAAGCTGACCCAGCCTATTATGAGAGATTCATGCAGACTATAGACGCCCCCTACCGGCTGCCATATAGAGTTACTACCCTTTCCGATGACGAAGTCGAAAGTGTGACGATTGGAAAGAATTCTCTATACGATGAAGACAAAGGAGACGCATGTTATGCACGACTCTTAGGGACATATGAAGAAGGCGGCTGGTAAGTCACGTGACGTCGAGGGACCTATGAAAACGCACGTAAGTCAGTCACGCGACATTGATAGAATAATATTGAGGCAGGTAGTTAAAATAATTCAGGGTGTGGCAAGTCTCGCAGGAGAATCACGAGCTATCGATAGAATTATCATGAAGTAGATAGGTAAATCATGTGTCAATGAGGGACCAATGACAAGGCACGTAGGTAAGTCACGTGACATTGATGGAATTATGATGAGGCTAGTAGATAAGTTGCGTGATATCAAAAAACCTGTGACGAACACTTTAAGTGTACCCTAAACGGAAATAGTTATGCATGTATTACTATTCGATATGATCCTAAAACAAAAATGTCGAAAACCGCATAGAAATCGGTCAGCCGAATGCCGAGATATTGACGTGCATAGTGTTAGATTTTCACCTGTCCTTCTATTACTAATTAGCATAATCGTAACTTCCGGTAAATGGTACACTTTTTTGGCTCAACAGTTCATCACGGAAGGAATAAGCGAGACCGAGAACAGTCATACAGCGTCAGATTGCGAATTAACATGATTTTTGAGGAATCAAATTACGCTTCGCCATAGATTGTGTTTACTATGTATCCGGATTGTTGTCTGCGTATGTTCTGCCTTCTAATACTGGCGTGAGTTCCACCGCTGCCACCACGCCAGTATTAGAGGGTGAATGTCTTAACAAAATCACAACACAGGTTTTGTAGATGTGGCACATTTATATAGGAACAAGAATACCCTGTTTAACATACAGAAAATACGCGGACAGCAATCCTCTATTAATTACATGTTTAAAGCATAAATGACGTCACGCTTGACAACAAGGCTGCGCGCCATTTTGAATGGGATACTAAATGCAATTCCGACGTTTTCTACTATTTTCTGGTATGACTGCATATAAAAATGTAATTAATTGTATATTTATGTAAATACTTAAGTGTGTGTACCAAACATTAATACCATAACAACCACTTATTCTACCGTCTCTTCATTTGAATCTGAACAAAAAAACGTTGCCTTTGAATGCAGCGAATAGAAGATACCGTTATGATTGGTCAATACCAAACAGTGATATTAAATATCACTTTTGATATTTGTCACAGTGTGAAAGAGATCAGTTTTATCAAGTTGATAGAATCCGATATTTCACTGGCAAAAATGTAATAGATTGTAAACACAATCGATGGCGTAAAATGGCATTCAGCCATATCTAATTTGCGAGAAATGTCAGATAGTGGTTGAGTAGAAACCCAACTGAAGAATCTGAAGATGGTAACACAGACTAGTAGCATTGCATGACCAGTTTCTGAACACAAATGAAAAATGTGTTGAATAAACGAATTTCTATTTTTTATTTTTGTTTGCAAACCACAATCAATACATCTTTATGTCTGATCAGGTGGTTCTATGATAATTTACTCGTATTTGTGAGACTTGGACGCGCTGATTCATCAGATAGGTGAAACGGATAGATTCGTTTTCTGCAAGATTCTTAAAATTGGTGTGTATATTCATTATTTAATGAAAATGAAAGAGGTGTGCTTGTTAATTTCCTAGATTCCCTTGATTGCATAAAGAATACAAATATGTAACGTATCCCCTTCCCATACCTCCATATTCAATGCAAGAGACAAGGCAACTCAGGTCACAAATAGTACATACTGTATCACAATGTTTTTTGTTTTTATTACTTGGGGTATAATACATAGGTTGCTGCTCTTTTTGAGTATATATCAATAAGAAGTGGGGTGCGCTTTCGTTTGACTCAATCAAGAAAAGAACATAATACATTGTATAATGTTAAACTTTATGCAACTAAATTTTGTCTATTCTCCACTACATCATTGCAGTGTCTGTCAATGTATTTATGTATTGTTAATATATTTACCGATTAGCTGAAAAGCTTAAAGTCAGTAAATGAATTTGAATTTGAATTTGACTCAATTTTTATCTATAGACTTTGTGTTGTGTAAAGGGTTCATCGTCAATTCAAGCGATCATTTGATTAATAAAAAGTTTCATATTTACAGTACGGGATTAACGAATTATAAATACACATATGTATATACGTATAATCCCATGTTAGGATACCCCATCCCTATGTGTGTTCGGACACCCGTACACAGCACATCGTTTGCCTCCTCGATAGGAACTCATTTTATCATTTAAATTGTAAAAGTCTGTAGCACTTTGGAAACGGAGGCCATCACGACGTTCGAACCTTTTCTGCCTTTTATTGTATTATAGGAAGCATTCAGGAATACTTTGACATAGGTCACTTGGCATTAATTAAGAGGCATATTGACAGGCATATTAATAAATGTTTAAACGTTATAGCCAAATCTTCACCAGCTGTTCTAAGTTATCTATATTGTAAAGAACAATGACTGTGACATTGATGTTTATTTATGTTTTTAATTATTTTTTAAGGAAATCTCAGCTTACTTTAAAGAAATGAAATTATCACTTTCTGGGATGAGAGTGTTCCTGTAGAAACTAGGTTTATGGCGGACAAAACATAATTTCTGTGAAACAAAACATGGTAACTTTATTTATTTATTTATTTTATTTTACAGTCGTATTGGGAAATGTAATGTCACCAAGAACTGTGTTGATATGATGACGTCGAAGGGAACATCTCGTTACGTGACCACACATCAATTACTCTACTTTATCGTCATGGAAACAGTAAGATTTCTTTGTGTACTACTAGTAATTTATCATGGTGTGCATTGTATGTGACATACAGGTCTAGCGTGTAGTCCATTCTCCCGGTATCTCTGGAAAATATAGGAACACCCTATTTCACTCAAGAAACTTTTGCATTTCTGATTGGTAAATTTTCAGGTCATTATTTCTCCCAAATTTATTTTTACTATATTTTACCAGTATATGTTAGTTTGTCTTCAATATATGTTCACAGGGACCCGCATCCTCGATATCCAGGGGTTACGCTCCCTTTCGCTCTGTTCACCCCTGGGATATGTCATAGTGAAATTGAAGGCACTGAAATAGCTGTTTGATTGGTCTCCGGTAAAAAAAACCTGACCAATCGTTAGATTGATACCTGTCTTATGAAGATTACAGAGAAGCGACACCCGACGTCAAAGCCAGTCAACTTTTACCGTTACGCGACCGCAAGATTGTTTTGATTTACATCAATAAGGTAGAGAGCGTACATGAGCATAACCCGTTGATTATCGAGGACGAGGGACCGCTGAATTTGTGACGGTTGGTATGTTTGGACACACCAGGATAGGTGTAAACTTACCAACTGCGACGCATTCTCGGGCCCCTGTGTAAATGTAAAACCATTTTTCTCATCAAGTGACATTGCAGATCAGCTATTCCAGTAAAAACAACAACTTAAATAACACTAAGTGAAGTCGTAGTCATTTTGGAAAGCAGTAGTTCTTTAAGGATTTAATTAAGATAAAAGACATACGCTTTTCAATACAGGTGAAATGTCGAGAGAAAGTGGAGGAGTTCCTGGGAGACAAAGGCGTTGCTAGCTTCCAGAAGGATCTGTGTACTAATATTTACAAAGAGGCTCTCGAGGCGACCTCTGGCGGCAAGGTCATGGAATCGGAGAAAGATTTGTTTCTGGAAAGAGGTAGGCATTACAAGTTAACTGAAGATGATCCCTTTGCACTGTACCTAGTTATTAAATCTAACCAACGTAAGGATACGTCCTCACGTGTTTAAAGTAGTTGAGATATTTTAATTTTTATTCATATTACAGACCGTCGGCGGCTACCATCGTCATGTTTCCTCTTCACGTAACTTTTTTTGTATATCATAAATACTTTTTATTTGCGAGGGGAGGGGTTATATACACATATTTTATATTATGAGAAAACTGTATCCATGCTACCAGGATTTACCCTTCCATTGGTCTGTCCCTATCCCAGGGGACTTGTCCCTTTGTAATAACATCGAACCGAATGCTTGTAATGTAAAAATGAATACACCTATGCCACTAGGACTAGCCCTGGGGTCCAGCCCGCTCCTTGGAAACTTAGTTCCTTGATCATAGCATGAAAACTGTCAAGACCCCCCATATAACCATAGACAAATAAGGCATCCTTAGTATTGCCCGATGTTTGTGACAGACAGGAGACCAAATTGGGAAATATTTGTATTATTATTACATTTAATGAGATTTGTTTGCTGTGATTGCTTAAAAAGTGCATCTAATGAGAGATACATTACGAAATATTTGCAGTAATGTAATGTATCAAATGACAATATTTTGCCATGTTTGCTTAAATAACCAGGTGAGAGATACAGCCCATCTTGCCTATTGTTTACACACTTTCACATTTCGTCATTTTCCCATCAAATTTTATGTCTCTTTTATAAAAAGAAAATTATGTCTTTGACATCCAATTTTGATGAAAGTTCACACCAGTAAAACAGGTTGTATATTGTTCCGGTTGGTAAGATTTATATTTATTTATATATTCGCTGCATTGTCACTAAATAGACTCACGTTTAGGGTCATATTACCATAAACCGAAAGGTAGTGAAACAAACGTAACCACAACGGAAACAAAACACGCGGAAGTCTCGCTTGACTTGTATAGGAGTAGAGAAATAGGATATTGATGCTCTAGGTTTCTCATTATCATTATACTTGAGTCACGACACGGAACTGTGCTGTAGCTTTGAGCAAGATGCGTTACTCCGCTTGTTCCAGTCAACTCAGCTGTAAATGAGTACTTGATGAATGGATTTATACACTGCAAGATAAATTATAAAACAGACTTACTCAGTAGAAAGCTGACTTGCAATTCATCACAACGGTCGGGGTTCGATTCCCCGATCGGAGGTGTAAGATATGGGTCAGCAGCCCGACCACGTTGGTTTCTCTGGGTACTCCGGTTTCCGTCTACAATGACGCCCTTAGAATTTTCCATCTTGCTTACCGTCAATATATCTCAATATCCACTTTCCCTTTTTTCTTTCTGATTTCCTTTATAAATCCCCCTCGTTATATCGTCAGTACCCTTTATAATGTCAAAAATTGGTTGAAAAAACGGTGGCAATATAAAGAGGCTTTATATTGCATGTAAGGAAAATGAAAACAGAAAGATAATAATAGAAAAGAACTAAACAACATGGTTTTGCGATTAAATTTCTCAACAACTTTGTCTGCCTTCTCAGTTTTACTGTGTGGAACCCTGGGTTACGAGGACTTCCTTAAGGAGGACTGGATCAAAATGACGCTTCAATGGCCGGACAGTAGGACTGGCTGTTTCAAACCTCGATACCACAGCAGTATATTTACAGGAAGGTAGGTATGGGGCTTGATTCGTTACACCGTGTACACAAGTGTGCGTTGGTGTACACCAAACGTATTCAAGTATCATGGTGTAACCACACTGGGTGTACGCCTTCTACCGAGGTAGAGCAGCCGGTGTAGACGTCATTGCTAACATGGCCGATGATTGGTAAGAGGGCAACGCAAGATGGTAACAAATTAGATTTTTACTCTTGCTTTCAATGAGAATGTTCCAATGATTACGTTCAACTTCTTTTAGTGTTTGTCTTAGTGTTTTTGATCAATTTTAGGGAGATGTGGTGGTTGAATGGCTTATCAAGTCCATAATATGGGATTGATCAGACTTAATACCGCAGTATACTAAACGCACCTTCATCAGCGGAGGCGATTGTCTCGCATGTATGTATTTTCAAATACTTGTGTCACACGGGTGTTATAAAGTTGTAAGTAACATCGGTATGACACATGTATACCCGAGACAATCGCCTGAGATCACAAGGTTAAGTTAATTTAAAAAGATAATTCAATGGCAGGAGACATGCGCTCATCAAAGAGAATATCATCTACGGTTTGGAATAGAGACATACTTTCCGCCATGTTTAGTGCACTGAAAACGCTTGATTCGCATACACACGGCGTAGGAATCAAGCGTGCTCTTCATGGGGATCACGGTGATTTGTAAGACTACTTAACATTTAGGTAGCAAAGAACATGCTTACATAAGATTGGTTCAGAGAGGAATAACGTCGAAATGTTTAAAGGAACAAACTCAATACTGTTTCAAATCTAACGCATCAGACGTCTCGACGATTCTTATTTCTGATATGTTTTCGCAAACAAAATCATTAAATACATTATGATTTTGGAATGTAAACAAGTAATGTGACGACACGATACTGGAACTTCATGGGAAAAAATACCACAAAACAAAAGTCTTACATGAACATATTAATATATTTAGATTTCTAAATGAAAATGTAAATAATTAAACTTCATAACACGTAAATATTTGTTTCAATGTGGTCCTGAACGCGCTACACAAAACGTTGTATGTAGATTTTTATCATCGTACAACTTACATGAACAACTCCTTTACGCACCCGTACTCTATGACCAAGATATGACGCTCACGTTCGCTCTCTGCACCCCTGGACTGTTTCATAGCAAAACTGAAGGACGTCGCTTGCTATTTGATTGGTCTCTGGTAAAAAGAAATCTGGCCTATCGCTAGGCTGATACCTGTCATTTGAAAATTACAGAGGAACGGTAACCGACTTTGAAACCAGTCAATTTTACCGTTACGTGACCGCAAGGTTCTTTGATGTAGATCCAAGGATCCAACTAGTCCTCTTGTCTCATCCACAAAGTGTTGCACACCGAGACTTTGATTTTGCTATGACATATCCCAGGGGTGCAGAAAGCGAAAGCGTGCGTAACCCCCGGAGTATCGAGGATGAACGACTCGTTATCTTTTAGATTTTCATTATCGTACAACTTATCACATCATGTTATGTTTCACAGAAGTGAGCGGTCCAATATGAGGAAACTTCTTCGGGAGAAAACTATGAAAGGTAAAGTTTCAAATTCAGCCACAGAACCTACTAAAGATAACTTATATATCACTAAGCTTTACCAAGGTCCCCAAGTCCATCTTCACTATATTTCACATAAAACGGCAATAAAACACCACCTTAAACTTAAACTTTCTTATAAATACTATTTAATGCAGATATACATTTATGTAGACATATGAAATGACACTCATTGACTTAACGTAAACAATATATCACATGTCTTATGGTGGCTAATCACGGCCATCTCGCGTTGTCGCGTTGTCGTGTTATCGCTTTTTCGCGGTTACAAACCGCGATAAATAGAGATTTAGTAAATAAAATGTCACATTGTCGTTTTTTTACTGTGACAAAGCGACAACTCGACGAGGACATTTAGAACACGCGTTCATATTGTCCTGTTTTCCCCAGATTGTCGAGTTGTCGCTTTGTCGTATTGTCGCGTTGTCATATTGTGGCTTTGACCTGTTGTCGCCTGGTTTGTTCGCTGTAATATCCATTTTTTGTGTCTTGAACTTGAATTATACTTGTTGTATTCGTGTTATTTCCAGATGGCTGTCTGTCTCACACCTCCGGGCTGGGGTTCGGAACATTCTGTCTATACCTCCATCACCTCACCATGAATATATGAGTACGGTATCTGAAGAATAAACATTACAACTCCACCACAACATTTTCGTTGTAATTTTTACCAAATAACTTCTTTATTCAATAACCCAATATCCGTCGCAAAACATTTATGTTTTCATTCTGCAATTCATAGATAAATTAACAAACACCATATGTTATTATCAACCAGATCTATTACAGATTGATGTTTGCCAAAAGGAATATGTTTGGATCTTTGCGTCATACAGCTAGAGTAATAACGGCATACGTCAAATTCAAATTACGAAGAAAATTGATTGATTTGGTTATTACAGAGAACAGGGCCTTGCTGAAATAAGTTTAGAAGTGTGTTAAAAATAAGTCGCGAACACGACAAGAAAGAAGGGGAAAAGGAAAAAAGTAGAGAGTAAAAAAGTACAAACACACAAGCGCAATTTACTTTGTTGTTTGAAAATAAATATAACGATTGAAATTATCTTTTGTCATATTATAATTGTATGAAACACACTCCGGTCAAGGATATAGAACCCAAAAATATTTAGTCTTGACCGATCTAAGAAACAATGAACTAGGTAAACACTAGATATCGGTCGTTACTGTATCGATGACCGTTATGTATCTATCTCATGTTGTATCATATAAAAAGTATGATTTGATTTTCCGTATATTTCACCTGCGTTTGATCTAAGGGAGACTACTCGTGAAATCTTATGGGCACAACGGACACGTATTGACGATATGGTCGAACACAATGTCACTACACTGATATAAAAATAAAAATGATCATTACACGTGGTACAGAGTTCCGGCATACAGCTAAAAACCAGTTGAATTCAGCATTTATCTCATGTAATTTATTTTACATGTAATGTCTATACTTGATATTATGTTATATCATCTACTAATTTAATTTTAACGAAGTCAAAAGTAATAATGACATTTTAGTAAGCTGATTATTTATGCAGCCGTCGGCAACGTCGCACAACCAGGAACTACTGCACACTGAATTACATTTGTATTAAATCGCTCATAATACACCACCCCTGTAAATAGAAAGGTAGATAACAACACCCCAAACGTCAGGCTGGGGAGAGCACACCCTAACCGAGCTAGACTGTGTTGTCATAGAACTGTCTGGCCGGGTAGACAACAAAACACACACTTTTTGGCCTGGCAAATTCTGCAATGTCAGTTACGGATTTCAACAGTTCTCCCGAGGAACGATTTATTAACAGAAAAACATCTATTATTATGTTTGATGGACGAGTATATTAAATTGTTGTTGTTCGTTGTCTGTGGACGGCCTGACCTTGTAAACAAGGTGAGTTATTATTCGTGACTACAAATGTACTGTGAATCCTATATATAGAAATATATTCTACAACATCATTGCCCCAACGGGTAATTACCACAACTGCCAACCACTGGATTTTGTGAAACATAGATTCTAGTGGACACAAGATTTTAGATTAATTCGGTTTTATATTTCTGATGTATTCACTGAAATTTACGTTCTTTTCCAACGGACAATAACCACGAGATTTGGTGAAACAAAGTTCACGTGCATAATGATAATCTTGTAAATACTGTCGATTTTTATTCCTCTTGTGGAAACAAACTTTTCAAAAACCAATGTAAACAGTTAAACATCAACCTGCTCCACTGTGTAATCAACTGTAAATCAATAATCCTCAATTGTTTTCTCCTTTTAGAAAAAATGGCTACTTCCCTAAACAAAGGTCAGATTCCTTTCCGTGTCAAAGGTCAGACGAACTGTGTTCACCACAAAGGGGGACAACTGGACCTTTACTGTGAGGAATGCCAGCAGCTTGCTTGTATTAATTGTCTTTCTTCTGTACATCAGAAACATTCTTTGTGTAGCCTTAGTGAACTCACTACTCAAAAGAAGGAAGACATTCAAAATTTTATAGACAAATCTGAGAAAATTGACCTTGTACAAATTGACCAGTACATCACTGTTACGGATACACATCTAAAGGACAATGCCGGCAACTTTGAGAAACTTTCACACCAGTTAAAGACACAAACTAACAAATTAAAACTGGATCTTGACCTCCTAACAGCTGAGATTCTGTCTCTTTATCAACAAATTGAGGAGGATAACACCAAGCTACTACAATCCTACAAACAGGACCTGGAAATGTACAGTACTCAGCTAAAAAATCAAGTACAAGAATGCAAAAAAGCCCTTCAGCGAGGCTCTGACATACAAATCTATGACACAGGATGTGATATTCAATCTCCTGTCACAATCCCCGTAAAACCTGCCCTGGGTACCGCTAGCTTCAGTCCTAACCAAAATCCTCAGGGTGACCTGAAACAAGCTTTTGGAGAAGTAAACATTTCAGGTCAAGGTCAGGGGCAAGCCTTTCAAAGTCGTGATCGTTCAGTTGGAACATCTGCTGGATTATTCTCCACACAACCTCAGGCAAAACTAAAGATAAAGACACCCTCTACTACTCAACAGAGATCAAATGGAAGAAAGGAAGTGACCAGTCCAGTAGATACCCTGTTGTCTCAGACCAAGATGTTGGGGGAGTGGGAGTCTCTATGTGGCATCACCTCTGTATGTCCCACCACTGATGGTCAGGTGTGGACCAGTTACTTTTCCAGTAAGACCTTAACTCTCCTGGACAGGAACGGGAAAGTTATACAGGAGGTTAAACACAATACTAAGATCAGAGACATAAGTCTGTCACCCACAACCAACACAATGTGGGTCTGTGACTGGGAAAACCACATCATAGAGCTTGTGTCAGGACGGCTGGTACATCGATTCAGCTACGGGGAGGAACCACGGTGTATCTGTATTACAGCTAGTAACCATGTCATTGTGGGGATGGACAAACACATCTCAATATTCACCACTAAAGGTACATTGGTACATACTACATTGGCAGCAGGGACGTGGAAACCATTAGTGCATGCACCATACAGGATCTCAGAGTGTCCTGTCACTCACAATGTTGCAGTGGCTGACATTGACGGTGGTAAAGGGAAACCATGTGTAGTTGTCATGGACACAGATTTCAAGGTACTATTTGTATATGGTGGTGAAGTCCCACTTACATATCAACCAACATCAAAGTCAGGAGGTAAACAATTTTACCCCTGGGGTGTGGTGTATGACAGTGTGGGTAACCTGGTCATAGCGGACTATAACAAAAAGCGTGTCCTACTCATCAGTGGGCGTGGTGAGTTCCTCAGGAACATACACAGAGACAACAACATACCACGGGCTGTTGGTGTAGACAAGGCGGATGTCCTGTGGACTGTGTTTGGGTTTAACAATGTCAAACTTCTACAGTACAGCAGGTTGTGAAATCTGGACAAACCACCATGAATATACAGAAACAAACACTGAAAGGATGCTGAAAAAAATATCTTGAAAAATTTCAACCCAAGATGTAAACTACGGACCTGAGAAGTGTACCAACGCATTAGACAGTAATAAACATGTACGACAATTATTGAAATGTTTAAATTAAAAACAACAACAAAAAATCTAATAATTAATTTAATCACAAAAAAACTGAACATGATGTTTGACGATAGTGATGAACTTCGGAAGAACTTCTCGGCCTAAAATAATATTTGACTTTTTTTTAGAATCCAAATTCTTTGATGAATATCTATTCCCGCTGAAATGTAGTAAGTTGACTTGATATATTCTGCTGCCATTTTAAGCTGACCTGATGTCACAATATGGCTGTCGAATGAATATGTGAATATTTTTTATATAACTAGTTTTAACGATCAGCTGTTCAATTCAATTACTCGAACATGTGTTATGCGTAAATAAAAGTTTTTGTTTGTCATCAAGTAAGATCTGTATTGTTTATTTCAAATGTTAGTATATATCTCATTACTCCAGCAAACTGCAGGCCACATTTCTTCACTCTCAACCTGTCTGTTCATAGTTCATAAGACCATTTCGTTTAAAAACGTTGAAATATTTTAAATACGTGACTTTAAATATGGATCAAGGTCATCAGGTTATATTATTGAAAACACTGATGAGAAAACATTTAACATTTATCGTTCAGGTGTTATTTTGTTCAAGTAAACTATTCAATCCATAACTAAAGGACCTTTTATCATTCAAGTAAGATCTTAATAATTTCTTCAGTGTCCGGAATTAAAAGGTTCCACTGAAATATATTAAAGTGTCGAGGCAAACAATCAGTGTTCCATTTACAGAGAAATCCAAGTCTCAAGCCTACCGAGGTTACCCTGTAATAACAAAGTGTCCGGATTAACGAGGTTTCGATGTATATACAACGTGTTCGGAATAACTAGATTCCTCTGTAATAACAAAGTGTACAGACTAACGATCTTCCACTGTAATAACAATGTTACCGTACTTATGAGGTTCCCCTGTAATAACAAATTGTGCGGACTAACGAGGTTCCCATCTAATAACAAAGTGTCTAGACTACAAGGTTCCGCTACCATAACAAAGTGTCAGGACAAACGACGTTCTGCTGTGATAACGTGTCTGGAATACAGGTTCCGCTGTAGTGACAATGTGTCCGGACTATCGAGGTTCCACTATGATAACAAAGTTTAAAGACTTACGAGGTTCCGCTGTTATAACAAAGTGTCCGGACTAACGAGGTTCCGCTGTTATAACAATGTTTCCGGACTTACGAGGTTCCGCTGAAATAACAATGTGTGCGGATTAACGAAGTTTCCGCTATAATTACAAAATGTCCGGCTTATTAATATTCCATTGTACAGAGTAATCAAAGTATATTTATTTTTTCCATTTAAATCGCACAATGATAACACAACAGTAATTCAATGTTTCCAATTTATAGAATTACATCATAAAACACAAACTGACCATTGAAATGTCATATACCAGAATAGCTTTTATTTTGAATAATTTTAGAAGTGATGGTGGCAAGAATTTTATTGAAAATACCAATACCCATGAATTTAACATTTACCGTTCCGTAGCAAACAATTTTATAATCTTAATAATTTTACTTACTCTGATCGTTTATAGAACTTAAAAATAATAATAAGAATTTTAGTACAAATTTCTCGCCCTACTCGAGAAAAAAAGACCAATAAAGAAAATATCTTTCTACTACAATGGTTTCTTTGTGATATGCTAGTCTCTTGTTTTATTAATTCTATTATTGTAATTTTACGCGATTAAATCGCACGTGCAAATAGTCCAAATAATGTTTCAATTATTGCAGAAAATATCATGCAAAAACGTGAAGAAAAAAACAAACAATGCGATTCTATCATGGTATCTTCCGGGCAAGGATAGAGAAGCCGAGGTGAATCCCCATCCTTTTACCCCCTTGAACGGAAAATGGACTAAACCTGTGTTTATTGCCGTGAATGGGGAGCCTGCAATCGAAAGGGGTAGATAGCTATAGTACACATCGGGAGAGAGCCAGGTACCGGCCTATTTAGTAGCCCCAGTTAGACCCGGTGGGTTGTATAAAGCTCCCTTGGGAACTACGGACTCGGGTGCATTGCATGTAAAAGGAAAGGTTGAGAACTCGTCAGTGTTATAAACACAAGGAAAGTTTTGTAGAAATTGTGACTTTTACACCAATAGTGAAATTGACCGATTGTTTACTGTGATGCTCAGAGCGTAAGGGAATGACTGATAGCCCAGACAAGGGTGGAAATAGAACGTGTTACTTATACATGTTGTTATAGCAGCCATCTAACGTTATATATCATTGCGATAGGTAGAAAAGATTCAAACCTAAGACACTTACAGGTTAAAGCACCCTTTATGTTTAGTAATCCAAATGATTTACTGTCGAACAGGGATGGGTGGGTTAGAATTGGTAAACACATTAATTTAGAAATATAGAGGAGTACAAATTAATTTCATATTTAATTAATTATAAAGTCTTAAATCATGAACCGTGCCACTACTCAAAAGCGATAACTGGCCATCAAGGTTACAGCAAACCTCGGAAATGTAAAATCAGAATCTACCATCTTGTATCTTGAAAGATGACCGTAACACACGTACAGATGATAGAACCTTTAACGTTTGTAATAGATACAGTATGTAAGTAATGAATGACACTGCATCATACAGCTGTGTCGTCCTTATAGGTGATGCTCGTGGTCAAAACGTTGGAAATTCATATTGTCTAAACTACTGTTGAAACCGAGAGGAAGGTGCTTTGAACCCCATAATTTATCATTTAAAATAAAAGAAGATTACCGGTTGATTTCAATTCAATAATGTGAAAAGGAAACAACTCAATTTGAATCTCGTTGGTGCTATTTCTCACTATATCACTAAACTATATTTCTAATTGTGCCCTTTTTATTTAAAAACCAATGTTAACTTCATGTGTATTTCAAGTCTTTGTTCAAAACATTAAACAATTTAGGTGCGCAAAAGTAATTCATCTGAATCTGCGATTTTCTTTCAAAATAGATCGTAAGGCCTGTCTTTGTGTAAGTTAGTGCAATATATATACAGTTACCTGTGCTTAGTGCATCTAAACTCTATAACTGATACGGGTACACGTGCATTGTCTAATTAACAACTTACATGTGTGAGTGACATAAGTATACACCATATACGTATCGAGATTTTACTTGATACATAGTCAGCTTGATACAGAAGACGATTATAAAAAACAATAGGTGTATCGTTCTAGTTTGATTAATATATTTAGATAAAACGTTCTTTAAAAATCCATTGATATGTCTCGTGCCTCAGTTAAGCTAACCAGGACGTTCTGAGTCATACCACCTGTGTGTGTACATTTATTTTTGTTATCTTTTAGAAAACTGCAGTAACGTGTGATTTGTAAAGAAAACCTGTTTAAGTTATTAGCTATTTCACTCACAGTGACAAGTATATTGTTACATAGTCAGCTTTATACAGACCACGCCTATACAAAGGTACGTGTATGTGTCTAGTTTTATTGATTGTTCAAAAACATATCGGTTTAAATGCATTGATATATCCCGTGCCCAAGTAAAGCTAACGAGGACGTTCTGACTGAGACATACCACTAGTGTATTGTGTTATCTTTTTAGAAAACCGTGTAATTACGTGTACTATGCAAAGAATTTTTTTTAACTAATAACTGTTTTCACTTCATCGTCGTTAGAAAAAAAATATACATGATAACGATTTTTTCAACCTAACTGAGACAAAAGGGCCAATGAAGAAAACAATGGTTTGTTGTAATTTCCTATCTCATATTTTGTTATTGTTTCGTTTTAATTAAACCAAATTAAGTCTCAGGTGCAAGATAATTCCGAAAAAAACCACCCACCTATGTTGATGAAAACATTTTAAAGAACAATTTACTACGGATTTACGCGTTGTTTTTTATTATGCTTTATGTTGCCTTGAAAGCTTAACTTTTTTTAAATAAGCAGGATTAACCATAGATTCCCTACTTGTAGAAAATATTACGACAAAAACACCTTGATGAAGATTAGAAGTGAAGATATTATTCCAAATAATGAAATCAAGAATGGCATCTGTGCGGCAAGGTAGAGAAAGTGAGGTAATTTACCATCCGTTTTCCCCTAGAATGGAAATAGGACTTATCCTCTGTATGTTGCCGTGACTGAAAGCCTTTAATGGAAAGGGTAGCCAGCTATATAGTACAACGGGAGAATTACTTCAATTGAATGCCCTAAATTTCTTTTTAGAGATATCTGTTTTTAATTTAGAGATATATTTATTTCAATCAAATCCATTTTTTCTCCTTCTTTTTATATGAGGCATCTCTCAATGATGTCTCTATAAGTATAAAATAGGATAGCTCTTTCACATTTAAAGATATCTCTTTTTGCATTGTAGATATCAGCATTTCGTTAAAGCTATGCCTTTTACGTTGAAAGATATATATTTTTTACTTTGAAAACACCTCTGTTGGTATAACATGTTACGTTGACTCGCCATATGGGTAGCTCTCTTGAGAACTACAGACTCGGGTACACTCGTACAACAGACTGGGGTACACTCGTACACCATACTCGGGTACATTCGTACAACATGCTCGAGTACACTCGTACAACAGACTCGGGTACACTCGTACAACAGGGACGTGTGTGTACTCGCCAGTGTTATAAAAACCAAGATAAGATCTCGGAAATTCTGACATTGACAAAAATTGTGAAATATACTGAATATTTACTATTATGCCAATCTCTTGTCAACAGTGACCACATAACACGTATATACTTTCTATATAATCAAGCATAACACAAGATATACAGATATTTTAAACTGTAAAATATACCACAGCAGAGATATACAAAAAAATTATGTTGCCAGCAAGCACTTGGAGTTCTAATAAAAATATCTACCAATGAGGTTCATAAAATACAAATAGGGGGATGAAGCTTTCCTATATATTATTATAATGATATATAACGTTCAAGTGGCTGTGACAATATCTAACGTAGGCGTTGTACGTGAATTACGTTCTATTTTGGACACTTTGAGACCTCTCAGCCATATGTGTTTGCTCTTAGGTATCATAGCATATAAATCAGTCAACTCTTTATAAATCTTCCCTGTTATAACGTCATTCCCATTTTGATTGCCTATATTTAGCTGGAAAAATACTGACATTAATTACGAGGCTTTATTGTAAGTATGAAAAGCGCAGTTTTCTGTATTTTACTCGGTAATTTTGTCTTTCTTTGGAAAGTGGTCCATTAACCTACTATTCACTGTTTCGCGGAAACAAAACACAAATAAGTTTAAACACAAATATGTAAACATTTATTACAAAGCAAGCATTGTGGAGAAGGACAAGAAAGACAGTGTTTTGCAAATAAACTACTACAATGTAAAAAATTTTTTATTGGCTACGAGAACTTCCTGACGTTTTAGACTGGATCAAAATGACGCTTCAGTGGCTGCACAACAAGACGGGCTACTTCAAACCTCGGTACCACAGCAGCATATTTACTGGGAATGAAGTTAAAGGGAAGTCCCAGTGATTGACAAGAATGCTTTAAACCTTTAAGCTTAGGTATCACAGCAGCATCTTAACAGGAAGTAAGGTTCAGAGGAAGCTCACGGTGAAATATAAGACTGATTCAAAATTCGGTACAACAGCAGCATTGTTACTGGAAGAAGGGTTTACAGGGAGAGCACGGTGATTTATAATACTGCCTACAATTTAGATAAGATAGAAAACATGCCTACAGAAAGTAGGTTTAGGGGGAAATAACGATAATAATAAATAAATAATAATATACATCCATTGTATAGAACCCTATATAATTACTTTACTATAATTTGCAAAATTACTCTAAGGTGCTTTACGACATATGAATAATGGTATTCCTAGAGTGACAGTTATACACATCGTAGATGAAAAAAAGGAATTCAAATAAACATTACATATTAGGTAACAAGACATTTTCTTCATAATTAGTTATGCACATATACATATAACCAATATGACGTCTGCGCAAAAGAGCCTAAAATGCAGACGTAAAAAGTGTGAAGGAAATGAAATGAAAATGTTTAAAGGAAAAAAAGTCAATTCATAGAGACATTTCACAGAATCGGATTTGTCATGCAATATCATAAAATATATAATATGCATTTGTTAAATAAAGAAGTAATGTTACAGGCCGTATACTGTTTTCAATATTAATTTAAACAAGAAAAGTCATTGACAGGTAAAAACTTTGTTTTCAATGTTATCCTATGTACGCTACACAACGCGTTACATTTAATTGTCGTACAACTTAAAACTCATGTACGCGCTCATTCTCGCATCCTCAATACTCCAGGGATTATGCTCACTTTCGCTCTCTGCTTCCCTGGAAAATGTCAAAGCAAAATCGATGGCACGCGACTAGCTATTTGAAAGGTGTAGAAAAAAACTGACTAATCGTTTGATGGATAGCTGTCGTTTGAAGATTACAGATAAACGGTAACCCACTTTAAAGCCGGTCAATTTTACCGTTACGCGACCGCGATATTCATTGTATGTTCATCAAATGATCAGACTAGTCTTCTTGCCTCTTCGACAAGGTGCCGTACACTGAGCCTTTGATTTTGCTACGACATAATCCAGTGGTGCAGAGAGCGAAAGTGAGCATAATTCCTTGAGTATCGATCATGGTTCGCTACGCTACGCAACTCGTTATTTGTAGTTGCTCATTATCGTACACCTAACCACACTCTGTTAAATTTCACAGAAATTAGCATTTCATTATCAAATTACTTCTTCAGGAGAAAACTATGAAAAGTGAAGTTTTTAATTCAGCCGCAGAACCAACTTAAGATAAGTTATATATCGATAAGCTATACCACGTCCAACCCCACTGTAATCCACATAAAACATCAATTAAACACCACCTTAAACTAAAACTTTCTTGCGCTATTCTTATAGATGTTATTTAATGTAGATGTACATCTATGTAGACATATGAACTGGTACCCATTGACTAAACGTAAATAATATATTACGTGTCTTATGGTGTCTAATCACGGCCATATTGCGTTGTCGTGTTGTCGTTTTTTCGCGATAAAGGGGAGATTTAGTAAATACAAGAGGCCCATGAGCCTTAATGGTCACCTGAGTTATTTAAAAACTGATGTTATCGATGCTGCCAAATGAAAAAGAAATAATTTTGTAACAAAGGTAACTTGAACTACATGTAATGCAAAAGTAGTGTGAAAGATCTGGGTAGTATATGTTCTGTCAGTCAGCTGAATTATGGTTAAGTACCTTAAGACCCTTCTATCTATGAAGAGTATTTGATTCTACCATATCTGGATCTTGAGAAGACGCTTTTTTGGCCCCGCCCCTCAGGCACCTGGGGGCTGGGGACCATTTACTTTACAATTAAGCTATAGTAAAGTTTACCCCCTCCCCAGGGGGAAACGTGATACCCGTGGGTCATGAAATTCACAATTTTGGTAAAGCACTTTAAGCCCCTTCCATCTTTGAAGAGTATTTGATTCTACCATATCTGGGTCTTGAGGAGAAGATTTTTGAAATGTTAGTCAATTCAACCCTTTTTAACCCCACCCATCAGCCCCTGGGGGTCAGTCAGGGCTGATATGTGCATACCAGCAAACTTCTATTCGATGCTGGTAATGCTTACCAAGTTTGAATTAATTCCAATGGAGATTAAACAAATGTTGGTCTAAAATGTGATTTCCCTATATAAACAATAGTAAAATGTATCCCATCATAGCATTTGATCCTACCATATCTGGGTCTTGAGCAGAAGATTTTTGAAATTTCAGTCAATTCGATCCTTTTTTGCCCCACCCATCAGCCCCTGGGGACCATATAATTTCATTAAAATTGGGTCAGGGGTTATGGAGAAAAAGTCGAAAATGTAAATTGTTTACGGACGCACAACGGACGACGGATGACGCCGGACAAAAGGCGATCGCAATAGGTCACTTGAGACTTTGTCTCAGGTGACCGAAAAATTTCACCTTGTCGTTTTTTTACGTCATTTACGGATTTAAACAGTTCCACCGAAAAATGGTTTTTAACAGAAAACATCTCTTATTATTTTATGACATAATCTGCTTTGATGAACGTGAATGTGCATGTGTTGTTGTTCGTTGTCTGTGGACGGCCTGACATTGTAAACAAGGTGAGTGACTATACGTGACTACAAATGTACTGTGGTTCCCAAACGGGCACCAACCACTGGATTTAGTAAAACAAAACACACTTTTAGTTGACACTAAGGATTATGAGAAATTCCTGATTTAGGGACACATTTTTCATTGTGGTCGTTTTTAACGGTATTAGATACCATGTAAACAGCTATACAACATACTGCTTCACCGTGAAATCAATTTTCTATAGTCAATAGTCCTCAACTGTTTCACATCTTTTTATCACAATGGCAACATCACTGCACAAAGCGCAAATCCCTTTCCGGGTTAAAGGTCAAACCACCTGTATTCACCACAAGGCGGAACAATTGGACCTTTACTGTGAAGAATGCCAACAACTTGCATGTACTAACTGTCTGTCTATTGTACATAAGAGCCATCCATTGTGTAGATTAGATCAAATAACTCCCAAAAAGAAAGAAGACATCCAAAACTACATAGACAAAACCGAGAAAGCTGACCTGGTACAAATCGACCAATACATCACTGCTACTGAGGAACATTTAAAGGACAATGCAAATAACTTTGAAAAACTTTCACATCAGTTAAAGACGCAAACTAACAAATTAAAACATGATCTTGACCTAATTACAGCTGAGACGTTGTCTCTCTATCAACAAATGGAGGAGGATAACACCAAACTACTACAAACCTACAAACAGGACCTGGAAATGTACAGTACACAGCTGAAACAACAAGTGCAAGATTTGAAGACAGCACTTCAGCGGGGCTCTGACATACAAATCTACGACGCAGGATCTGAAATTCAATCTTCTGTCACACCCCCTGTTAAACCTACCCTGGGTACCGCTAGCTTCAGTCCTAACCGAAATCCTCAGAATTTTCTGGAACAAGCATTGGGAAAAGTTAACATCTCAAGTCAAGGTCATGGTCAAGCCTTACAAGAACATTATCGTTCAGTAGGATCATATGCTGGGCAAGGATTACTCTCTACACAACTCCAGTCAAAACTAAAGGTTAAGACACCATCTACTCAACAGAGATCAAACGGAAGAAAGGACGTGTCCGGTCCAGTGTTTACCTTGTTGTCTCAAACCAAGGTGTTGGGGGATTGGGAGTCTCCATGTGGCATCACTTGTGTATGTCCCACCACTGATGGTCAGGTGTTGACCAGTTACTATGGCGGTGACACCATAACTCTCCAGGACAGGAAGGGCAAAGTTATACAGGAGGTTAAACACAATACTTTGATAGGTGACATAAGTCTGTCACCTACAACCAACACACTGTGGGTCTGTGACTGGCTAAACAACCTCACAGAGCTCGTGTCAGGACGACTAGTACACAGATTCAGTACCAGGAAGACACCAAGGTGTATCTGTATTACAGCTAGTAACCATGTCATTGTAGGGATGGTCAAACATATCTCCAAATTTACCACAAAAGATAAACTGGTAGTTACTACATCAGCTAAGGGAAAGACACTAGTGTGTACACCACACAGGATCTCAGAGTGTCCTGTCACTCACAATGTCGCAGTGGTTGACTTGGATATAAAATATAATGGTGGTGAAGGGAAAGCACATGTTGTTGTCATGGACACAGATTTCAAGGAACTATTTGTATATGATGGTAAAGTCCCACATACCTTTAAATCAACATCACAGTCAGGAGGTAAACGATTTAACCCCTCTGGTGTGGTGTATGATAGTGTTGGTAACCTAGACATAGGGGACTATTACAACAACCGTATCCTACTCATCAGTGGGCGTGGTGAGTTCCTCAGGATCATCCACACAGATGACGACTGGACACGGTCTATTGGTGTAGACAGGGAGAATGTCCTGTGGGCAGCGTTTGGGTTTAACAATGTCAAACTACTACAGTACAGCAGTGTGTGACGACTGGACAAAATATCATGTGTATATAAAGTAACAAACACTGAAAGGATGATGGAAATTGTCTTGAAAAATTTCAACACAAGATGTAAACTACGGAACTAAGAAGTGTATCAACGCAAAAGATACTAATAAACATATACGACAATTATTGAAATGTTTAAATTAAAAAACGACAATTCAGATAATTAATTTAATTTCAAAAGAACTGAAAAAGATGTGATGTTTGACAATAGTGATGACTTTAGGAAGAAATTCGAGGCATAGAATAATATTTAACTTTTTCAGAATCCAAATTCTTCGATAAATATCTATTCTCGCTGAAAAATATTTGGTAAAAATGTAGTATGTTTATGTTTTCTGCTGCCATTTTGAGCTGACCTGATGTTACAAAAAATGGCTGTCGCGTGAATATGTGAATATGTTTTATATATCTAGTTTTAACGATCAGCTGTTCAATTCAATTACTCAATCTGTAAATAAAAGGTTTTGCTTGTTTTCATTACAGTAAGATCTTAATCAGCTATTTTATATGTTATTATATATCCCATTACACCAGCAAACTGCAGGCCACATTTCTTCACTCTCAACCTGTTCATGGTTCATTAGAACATTGCGTTTAAATACATTGAAATATTTGACCTACTTGACTTTAGATATTGGTCAAGGTCATTATTTTCACAAGCTTGATAGTACATAGTATGACCATAGCGTCTTATATTCATAGGAAAAAGTTTAAGTGGGGAAAAAAGTTTCTGTATCAGATTCAAGGTCATAAGAGTCTTATTTGAGAAAACACTGAACATTTATCGCTCAGCTTTTATTTTGTTCAAGTCAATGACTCAATATATAACAAAAGGGGCATTTTATATTTCCGTAAATTCATAATCATTTTTAAAGTGTCCGGACTTACGAGGTTTCCTTGTAACATCAAAGTGTCCAGGTAAACAATTAATGTTCAATTTACACAGTAATCCAAGTCTCCAGCCTAACAAGTTATCCTGTAATAACAAAGTGTTGGGAATAACAAGGTTTCGCTGTAATAAAAAAATGTACGGATTAATGAGGTTCTGTTGTAACAACAATGTTTCCGGACAAACGAGTTTCCACTGTTATAACAAATTGTACGGACTATCGAGATTTCCCTCTAATAAAATAGTGTCCGGACTAACGAGGTTCCCTTTTAATAACAATGCGTCCGGACTTACGAGGTTTCTCTGCAATAAAATCGTGTCCGGACTAACGTGATTCTCCAAGGTAATAACAATGTGTCCGGACTAACGAGGATACACTGTAATAACAATGTGTCCAGAATAACGAGGGTCCTCTGTTATAACAGTGTCCGATCATTCGAGGTATCCGTAATAACAAGGCTCCGCTGTAACAAAAAAGTGTCAAGACAATGTATCTGGACTTACGAGGTTTCGCAGTATAAACAAAGTATCCGGACTCATTGATAAACAAAGCCTTACAGGAAATATCAAATTCCAATCAAGTATACCAAATAATTGAGAAAGTTGTAATGTTAGGAAGCTGTCATTTCAACCAAGAATATAATGCAGTAATCAATTTGTTTGTCTTTACTACAAAGTGGCACATATGGAAAGAAAAAAATAAGATAAAATTTGATAATGACTATGAAGTTGCTGACTTCACACAGCATATTTTGAAGTGTGTTAAACAAGAACTTAGGTTTACAATAAATGCAATTGAAAGCGTTAAAAGATATCAACAATTGGGGAATAAGTTACAAGCAATTTTTGCAAATTGAAATTGAAATCAACGTAAGAGCAAATGAGTAGAAAGAAAGAAGATGAATAAGAGAAAAAAATGGTCAGAGTGAGGAAGATGAGCGTACAAATTAGAGCGAGTCGGAGAATGAATATGCTACATGTACTATGTACAGGGACTGGGCCAGGCCCCATCCTGGTATTCCCTATTGTATTCGGGATAATAAACCATAAAATAGAAAAGAAAAAAAAGTATCCGGACTAAATCAGTGCCACTGTAAGAACAAATTGTCCGGACAAAAGAGGTTCCGCTGTAATAACAAAATAACAAAATGTACGAACTAAGGTGGTTTCCCTGTAATAAAATAGTGTCCAGACTCACGAGGATTCGATGTAATAACAATGTGTCCGGACTAAAGAGGTTCCGCTGTAATAACAAAGCGTCCGAACTAACGAGGTTACCCTATAATAACGAAATATCCGGACTAACGAGGTTCAACTGTAATAACAAAGCATCCGGACTAACTAGGTTTCCCTCTTATAACAAATAAGGACTAAATCATTTCCACTGTAATAACAAAGCGTCCAGACTTACGAGATGCCCCTGTTATAACTACGTGTGCAGACTTACGAGATTCAGCTGTAATATAAATGTGTTTGGACTAGCAAGGTTTCCCTGTAATAACTGAAAATCCAGACTAACGAGGTTCTGCGGTAATAACAATGTTTCCAGACTAACGAGGTTCCCTGTATAAACAATGTGTGCGGACTAATGAGGTTCCTCTGTTATAGCATAGTGTTCAGACGAACGTCGTTCCCCTTTTAAAAATAATGTATTTGGGCTAACGAGATTCCCCTTTATTAATAAAGTGTCCAGACTTACGAGAATTTGCTGTAACAAAGTGTCCAGACTTACGAGATTCTTCTGTTATAACAAAGTGTCCAAACTTACTAGATTCCCCTGTTATAATAAAGTGTTCAGACTTACGAGATTCTCTTGTTATAATAAAATGTCCAGACCTACGAGATTCTCCTGTTATAATAAAGTGTCCAGACTTACGAAATTCTTCTGTTATAACAAAGTGTCCTAACTTACTAGATTCCCCTGTTATAACAAAGTGTCCGGACTAACGAGGTTTCGATGTAATAACAAAGTGTCTGGACTAACGAGGTCCCCTGTTATATCAAAATGTCCAGAGAAACAAGTAATGTTCAATTTTTCAAAGAAAAGTCCAAGTTTACGGCCTCACGAGGTTCCCCTGTATTAATAAAGTATCCGTCCTTACAATGTTCCATTGTATCGAGAAATCAAAGTATCAAGACTGACGAGGTTACCTGATATATTTTATTTTCCCATTTTAATCGAGATTCCTGAGATTAGCACAATGATAACACAACAGTACTACGATGTTTCCAATTTATAGAATATAACACTATAAAATACAAACTGACCATTGAAATGTCATATACCAGAACAGTTATTTTTTTGAATAATTTTAGAACTGATAGAGGCAAGAATTTCCCTGAAAAATTCCCACCTCATGAATTTAACTTTTTAACGTTCCGTGGCAAAGATTTTTTTTTATCCAAATTTTACTTACTTTGCTCTTCTATAGAAAATAAATGAAATACAAATTTCATTATAAAATTCTCGCCCTACTCGAGAAAAAGAGAATAAAATATTTATTTTTCTACTACCATGGTTTCCTTGTGGTATTCCAGTCTCTTATTTAGTTATTTTTTTGTCGTAATTATATTCAATTAAATCGCACGTGCGAGATAATCCGAATAATGTTATTAAAAAAATATTTAATCTAAAAACATTTTCATGTACAAGATTAAATATTTCCATAAAAGTTTAGCTTTCCTAGTTGCAGAAAATACCATGCAAAAACTTGAAGAAATGCAAAAAACAAGTAATGCAATTCCATCCTGGTAAATAGAGAAGGCGAGGTGAATCACCATCCTTTTAACCCATTGAACGGAAATTGGACTAAACCTGTGTGTATTGCCGTGAATTAGGAGCCTGCAATCGAAAGGGGTAGATAGCTATAGTACACATCGGGAGAGGGCCAGGTACCGGCCTATTTAGTAGCCCCAGTTAGACCCGGTGGGTTGTATAAAGCTCCCTTGGGAACTACGGACTCGGGTGCATTGCATGTAAAAGGAAAGGTTGAGAACTCGTCAGTGTTATAAACACAAGGAAAGTTTTATAGAAATTGTGACTTTTACACCAATAGTGAAATTGGCCGAATGTTTACTGTGAAGGGTATGACTGAGAGGCCAATTAAGGGTGGAAATAGAACGTTTTTCCTATACAGGTTGTTATCGCAGCCATCTGACGTTATACATCATTGTGATAGATAGAAAAAAATTCAAACCTAAGACACACACAGGGGATAACACCCTTTATGTTTAGTAATCCAGTGATTTACTGTCGAAACAGGGATGGATGGGTTAGAATTGTTAAAATCCTTAATTTAGGAGTACAAATTAATTTCACATTTAATTTATTATAAAAGTCTTGAATTATGAACCGTACCAAAACTCAAAAAGATAACTGGCCATCAAGGTTACAGCAAACCTCGGAAATGAAAACTCAGTCTACCATCTTGTATCTTGAAAGATGATCGTAACACACGGACAGATGATAGAACCTTTAACGTTTGTAATAGATACAGTATGTAAGTAATGAATGACACTGCATCATACAGCTGTTTCGTCCTTCTATAACTTATACTTGATGAGGAAAGAACTCAATTTGAATCCATTTGGTGTCATTTCTCAATGTATTTCTGATCAGGTTTGTTTAAAAAAAATATGTATCTTTAACTTGATGTGTATACCTAATCTTTGTTCAAACCATTTTTTTCAAATTGATTACGTTATGTGCACATAATGACTTCAACAGAATCGTTGGTTTCTGTCAAAATTGATCGTTACGTCTATCTGTGTGAATGATATTAATGTAGCTCTTTATCATATACGGGTAAGACATGCATTGTTTACTTCACAACTTACATGTGTGAGTGACATAAGTATACACCATATACGTAATGTGGCATAGTCAGCATGATACAGACGACGCCTATAAAAAAGGTATGTGTATCTGTCTAGTTTGATTAATTGATTTAGAAATGTAATATATATGTTTAAATCCGTAGTGGATATATCGCATACCTTAGTTAAGCTAACCAGAACGTTACGACTGAGACATACCACTGGTGTCTTTTGTTATCCTTTAGAAAACCGCCGTAATGTGTAATTTGCAAAGAAAACATTTTCATATTATAAACATTTTCACTTCATCAACTTTACAAATACAAAATGAAATGATAAAAAAANGGAAAATACAATGAACAAACTTGTTAATACAATGATT